GGAAAATGTCTTTATACACATGTTTGGTTTTCCGGCTTCCTGCCTTAAATTTCTGCCTCCTCCCGGAATTATTAATGCTACTTTGCTCACTTTGCATAATGAAAAGCTGAACAATGTTGTTGTTATTATTATCATCAGCGAGTGCTTTCAAATTAAGGCTGGAAATGTCGCCCGTCTTGCCAAATTTTTAATACGTACATATTCTAAGGACGTGTAGAGAAATGCCTTTAAAATCAGACCGGATAAAAGGAAGCGCGGAATTACATATTTTTTTTTGACTTGGCCATGACCTAAGCTTGAGAGTCTCCCATCCCGGCCTGGGCAACCGCCGAGCCAGGAGCCGCTGAACCCCCGCTGACGGCTATTACAGGCCATGTTTGAGGTTCTTTGTTGTCGTAACTGTTACTGCTTTCATGTCACACAACAACGCTGTGCAATAAATCAAAAGTTGCCAACATGAAATGGTTATTTATGATATTGCATAAATGCCGTCTATAGCTAGAATTCTATCCTACATTTGGGCATGTTTAAACAGACTGATTTGTGGCTAATTTATTTATAGCGCGTTCAACTAACTAGGCAGGAACATAAAGCCCGGCGACACCTCTCCAAACAAAGTCAACTAACGACAGTTAACAATAAATAGGTGCGGCAGGGGAAAGAAACTATAACTATAAACTATATTATGACGTGGCTGACAAACAAACTGCTCTCGACCAAGTGAAATGGAGCACAAGGCCAGCAAGTCAAACAATGGCTGACAAAGGAGGCCGAGACCGTCAACAAATGCTGCCAGCCCTCGGTTCTGCCCCACAATGCATGTCCCCACATACACGCTCTTGAAGTCCCCTCTTGGAGCTCCTCTGATGCTTCCATTGGGTATCTATATAAGGATTCTCGAAGGAACCCGCTCAGAAGTTTCCATCTTGTAAGCCACACACACAATGCACTAAAGTTTTGCTTGAACACACAAAAGAAGTTTGAAAATAAAGGAAAATGTTATATACCTGGTAATCCTTAAGAAAAGGGGTATGCTATATTCGAATTAAATATGTACATTTATAGATCAAGGGAGACTGATATATTTGATGTTTGATATATATGATCCTTTTAAGTAAACCATAACTATCTAGGGCTATCTTATGGGGTGTCACCATAAAGGCAGTGATCCTTATCACTTCCATCAATAGAGCCAGTGTTTCCTAAGTAGATTTTTTTTTCTTAAAGTTCTATCTTTCAATCTTGAATGAACTTTGTTAAAACTTTTAACTTAAAAGTGAACTTATTCCAAGTATACTAAATTTGTATTTCTTTTCCATGGATTCAAACTAAACAATAAAACGTAAATAAAGAAAGGTTATATTATTCTCTAAATGTAAAGAAATACAAATTGCGACACTGGGTATAAAAATACACTAGTTTTATGTGAGTTCTTTCTTATATGGTGTATATTACCACCCATTTGCCCCGAAGTGTAACCACACAGCCAATCGCACCAGAAACTAACACACGCCGACAGCGACCCCCCTGACATGTTGGTCATGTCAACCGCTTCGATTTTCCTCCTTTTCCGTGGAAAAGTTTCTGCCCTGAGGCAGGGCATGGGGGGCATGGGGAGCAAAGGAGGTGAAGGAGCAGGAGGCAGGTGGCGATGTGACATTCTGGCCAGATTGACATTACTTGTTCCCTCAATAGATCGATGTGTTGGAGTGAGTGAATTGCATTGTAGTCGTTGTCGTTGCACCTGCTGGGAATTCCCCGCTCCATGTCGTTCTGTGTTCAGTGTTCGATGTGGAAATGTTCAGATTCCCGATTGGAGTAGTCCGTGTGTGACGGAGGTCTCCCTGACACAACAAAGCTGCCGGTAAACGGATTCGAACATTTATTGGTTACCTCTCGTCTCTTCTTCTATTAAATGGTGGTATTGCCTGCCTTAATGGCCAGTTTCATATGGGCCCTAAAATGTAGGCAATGGTTTATAGTTTCTTTATAAACCATTCCTATTATATTTCAATATTGAAAAAAATAACTATTATACATTAAGTCTTTTAGTATTCATAACAGGTTTAAAATGTAAAATAATCAGAGCTTTAATATTCCAGGAAAAAAGGATTATGAGCTCGTCGCTCGCCTCGTTGGATTCGTAATTCGCATGCATGCATTTGACGCACTCGCTTAGTTGATTGCGGTCCTTGTGCCCAGCGGCGCGACATGGGAGGACAATAAGGACATTAAGTAGACCCGTATCTCCTGGCCACACGCACACTGGTCGAGCAAGTCCGTGGGACAGGCGACATGGCACAATAACGGGCGAATTACATTTTCATATCACACGGCGTATGAGCAATCCCTGGCCCAGGGACCGAAACAGACGGTCGTACCCCGACTGCAGGACATGGAAATGCCATCGTCAACGCAGCGTGTCGTTTTGTCCACAGAGTGGACTCCACACCCACTAGTCTATGAAAGTCTCATTTATTTATAGAGTTCACCAGAGCCGAACACTAATGTGGATTTTATTTCTTGCAGAGTGAATGAAAGGGGAAACTACCAACCCTAAATCGATGACTGGGTTCAAGGAAATTGCTTAAATAGATTAGGGTTTAGTAAAATATTTTTAATAATAATTTAAAAATAAATAAGGAGATAATTTAAATTAAAGGAACATGAAACGAATGTACCATAATTGAAGTAGAAGATACAGAATAGGTACATATGTAGTTATATATTTAAAGAAAAAGTGTCTAAAATAAATTCTTAAAAAAGACAAATGTATTTCATAGAACGGCCATGCAAGAATAGCATCTCAAAATTAAGCTCAAGTGTCGAAGATTGTTCTCTAAATGGGAGAGAACTGAATGAACTGAATGCTACGGGAAGTGTAAGGATGTAGGTAGGTAGGATGAGTTTAAGCTGTTTGGGAAGCGGACAGACAATGCAAACACTTAACTCTAGGAATGTGTATAGTATTTAGAATTAATTGGGCTCCTTTATATGGGAAAGACAGGAGCAGGACACTTACGTAAAACGGCTCAAGTACTTGCACTGGATGTGCGGCTGCACCTGCAGCTATTTGGACAGTCGATGATTCAGCGGTTCAGGATAGTGATTGGCATGCATTCGGGGTCGCAGACACCAATGCAAACAGGAGCACAACAACAAGCACAGACACAGACACATACGCAGGCAGGAATAGAGGCGTACAAATACAGGATATGGTGAACGCAAACTCAAACTCAAACTCAAAGGCAAACAAACAAACGGCGACTCGCGTAGACAAAAATGACGTAAACCCAAAAGTATGCTACAAATTTCGTTCGCTTTCGCTTGCTCGTCCCTCGCTTACGAACCGCAGGATGGGTTTTGGTTTTGATTCTTAGAATGCCTGTTCATCGGGATTTCCTGTCTCTCGTCGGCATATATTTATGCATTATTTTTGATTCTTATCGCTGGCATTACTTTTTCGGCCAACTGCAAGGAAACATCAAAGAAACACGTTTTAATTGGCGTCAAATGGCTAACGGCAAACGCCAATCGGCGGGGGCTCTACAGTTGTAGGCGTGGCACTCAGACTCGGCGACGACATCAAGGCCATTAAGCGCACACAAAGGCCACCAAGTCAACTAACAACTAACAACAAAGGAAGAACGCGCGCGATGTAAGGACCCTCTCCTCGAGGAGTATCTGGACGCGCTGCTTACGATTCACAGGATTACACAACACTGGCCCGATTGTTCGGAAACTCTGCCATCTGACTCTAGGCTAAGGAGCACACTAACACTGCATAGCAATTGGCTACAACTTTAAGCCAGTTGTTGTTGGTAGCACTTTAAGTGGGCCTTGGTAACCCCTATCCGGACTCGCGACTGTGGCGCTCGAAAGCCGAGGACGGACTGACGGGCACTGCCAAAGGACTCCATGCTTATGCCATCATCGTCACCATTCGGCTTTTCGAGTGAGTTCCTCGCGCCTCGGTCGTTGAGTGAAATTGGCCAAAATCATGGCTCTGTTGCTTTGGCTTCCTGTCGTGGCTGCTTGCATTTTAATTTCGTGCTTACTGGCTTTCGGTGTGTTTTCTTTGTCGGCTTTGGTTTTTGGGATTTTCAGCTTTTTTGCTGGCTGTGCGTTGAGATGCGTTTCCGGTTTCCGGTTGTTATTAGCCCACAGAAGGGGGTCAAGGTAGGGAGGGTGGAACGCCGGTGCTATTTGACTCTCCGGCCCAGCCATGATTTATTTACGAATGCTTTTATTTAATATTGCACAATTGGCCTAACAATCATTAAATTTGCATGCCAATTTAACGCCTTGTTCGAATCCCCAGGAGGACCTGTTTTGTTTGCGAGTGGGACGGCGTAAGCGGGCATCAGAATGCCACGGGCGTCTGTCCTGGCAAGGGACTGAGTGAGTCTGCTTTTCGCACTTTGGCAGAGTGAAGGAAAGCAGATGGCCCACCGAGGGCCTGAGCAACCTGTTGGCTGTGCGTATAAATTTCACCTGCTGTGCGGATATGTATATGGGCAGTCGGGTTCTTGTGTTAGTTCGACTGGCAGAGGTCCTTTTGCTGCCGTTCGACAATCGTTTTTTCTCGCAGGACGCCAACGGGTCGTATGCGCAATTATTTTCGTAATGGCCTCACTTAAATCTTAACCCCATCAGTGTACTGGTAACTTTTCTTTGGTTCCGAGTGTTTTTAGAGAGAAGTAAATTTAAGCCATTTTTATCCTTATATTTTTTTTATTTTTTTTTTATATAAAAATTTTTTTAATTTAAAATATTAAAGATATTTGTCTTTAAAAATGCTTCCATGCAAGTGTTTTTTAAATGACATTTTTATAAGCTAACTTACAACAATTAAAGGATTCTATTTTAGTTCTTTTCTTCAAAAATTCTGTCTAGTTTCAAGGTTTACCGAAAATACCATGACCTATAAAGCTATCAAACTTCGTTCAGGGCTACTCAAGCTCCACACCCTGGTTGTCAGACAGAAACTAGCCCGTATCGAACAAACAAACTGAATACAAATTCCGATACTATTTACTTCATTTAGTTGAAACGTTATTTGAACAATGTCTATAAGAAAGCAGCATCAGTATGGGTCGGTTGTGCGCCGTACCATTGTGGCCCGGGCCAATAGGCCACCGTACAATCGGATGCTGCGTTCCGCCCACCTTGACTCCTTCACGCGCCGCGCCAATGCAAAGCCGTTAGCCCACGAAAAGACCACGGAGGTGAAGGCACAGCTCATGCAGAAGGAGCGCTCCTCCAGCACCGGCATGAGCGGCTTCTCCGAGTTGGCCGACCGGCCTGGCCTGGAAGGAAAGGCCTACTGGAACGAGGCCATCGAGGAGGTGGAGTTTGCGGCCTCCTGTCGCTTTCAGCCCCGCATCCCTATCATCGACTACTCCTTGGTGCTGCCCCCGCGGTTGCGCGAACGGGTGAAGCGCATCCAGAACTACGACTACTCAAAGTCGGACGACGACATATACATACGGGACGAGATGCAGGAGGTGCGGCCCGAGGACTACATGAGTGCCAGTAGTGCCGACAGCGAAGAGGAGGAGGACTCCGTGGTAAGCACTCCCAACTAATAGCTTAATGGTTTCAAAGCACTGATGGTGCGTTGGTTTTTAGCTGGATATTGGCCGAAAGAAGGTGGAGGAGCACTTCAACGAGAGCGAGCACTCGGACATTGTGCGGATGGAGCACGAGTTCGAAAAGTTCGATCTCAAGCTGGACGAGCCCGTTGGCCACACCCATCGTACCGTAGACAAGACCTCCTGGTACTCCAAGTTCCTGTGCGCTCCCAGGGATAAGCGCGTCTGCTGGCAGACTAGAGTGGAGCATCCTGGACAGAACTATTCGATGGTAACCCTGGATGAGCAGGCAGAGAATCTTATGGATGCGGTTAGTAAGGAGAAGTTTTATAGATCTTTTATTAATATTTTCCCAGTCGGCAGAACGCTTTGTGGAATGGCTAAACTCCTTTGGAACTGTGGAGAGTAACTTGACCCCGGAGAAAGTAAAAAATCTTTTCTCCATCAAGGGCGATCGTACCCTGCTGGCCTCTGTAAAGACAGATCCCAAAGAGGTCAACGCCATCGCCCAGACAGTGGCTGATAAATGGAACAAGCCACACGTGAGTAAAACCTTTCCTAAAACTATAGGTTCTAACTCTCATATTCCTTTTATAGATGGCCATTGAGCTGAAGTACGAAAAGCACATCAACGACCATGCCGCCCGCGTAAATCAAAAGCCCATCCTCAGTGCCTTTGGGCGGACGGTGCCCCTGAAGGACCGACCCTGGCTAAAGCGGTCTAGCGATACGGCCATCAAGACCGTTTATCCCGAGGAGCTGCTAACCCGCGAGAAGATCTTCAAGGGCATCACCCACTTGCGCAGCACCACGGCTCTTATCGATTTCTATCTGGCCAATCCTAGCCTGGAACGGCCTCAGTATCTGCTGCAAAGTGGCGACTTTGAGGAGTCCAGTGCCAGCGAATCGGTGGCCGAAGTTCCGCTCTACGAGCTCCTCGGTTTGCGTTATTAGTCATTCTATTTTTTGATTATTGTGCCTCATTAAATTAACTGTTGTCGAATTAATAGTGCATTTATATTTAATAGATTAAAATATCACTGAGGTGTGACATATTAATTACTAGTTAATGAAACACATTTCTTTTAAAATGGACGACCATCCACGTAAGTTTCAAACTGCAATCGTTTTTCGGCGGAGTACTCCTACTATATAATTAAAAAAGCCCACTAAAACTATGTACTTATATTTTACATTAAGAAAAATTTGTATTTTATGAAAATAAATCTAAAACCAAGTTAAAGTTAAATAATACTCAAAAAATTAGATAAAAACCTATACAATATTTTAAACAATACATTTCATCAACAAAATGACTGCTTTTATAGCGTCAAGGTGGTCTGAATCCAGGGAAGATAGGTTCCAACGTTAACATAAACTCCTGGTACGCCGGCCGTAGCACAGCCGATGCCCCAGGCCACCAGCCCAACCACGTACCAGATCCCGTTGCTGGTGCAGACCAGCGGAGAGCCGCCGTCGCCCGTGCAGGCATCCTTGCCGGCCTCACCACCCGCACAGATGAAGCTGGTGGGGCTGAGGACGAAGGACGAGCCCAGGCGTGTGGCCTGAAGGGCAGCCTGGCAGTTGGCGTTTGGTATAAGCGGCACATCCACCTGCCGCATGATGGCCTGGTAGGCTCCGGTGGGACCAAAGTCGTTCTTTCCCCATCCGGCCACCCAGCAGCGCTGACCCACGAAACTAGTGGTGGGCAGGCAGATGGTCCCCACGGTGGACTTGCTGGTGAGGGAGACGGGCGTGCTCAGCTTGAGGATCGCCACATCGTTCTGCAGGTTGTTGGGGTTGAACGACGGGTTCACATACACGTTCGAGATGTAGACGTCCTGGGCGGGAATCGGCTCGCTGGTGCTGCTGGCATCCCACTCTCCCAGGCGGACCTTGAAGGAAGTAAGCCTGATCCACAATAGGAGAAGAACTATGATGGAGATTCAAATACTTACGCTAGATTGTAGACCTTGTGGGCGGCGGTGAGGACGTGCTGAGCAGTGATCAATGCCCCTCCTCCGAGATAAACATCCGCGGTGGTGAGAAGGGCTGCCTGCCAAGGGTAGGCCCCAAAACTAGCCTGCCCTGCTCCAGGAGAGGAGGCGCCGGGAGGAGGTGGGAAACGACGGCCGCACTGATAGCTACCCGCCTGGCAGCAGGCCACCAGGCCGTAGCTGCAGGTCAGCGTTGAAGCTGTAGAGGGTATGGTGGGCTGAAAATAGAAAATCATACACAATATGGCCATTAAAGATATCCTAGCTTTGGCGGACAAATATGCCTTATCCTTGCAGTTGTCCACTAAATGTAGAGCCACTAATGATAAAAATTTAATCTCACATAGGCTCCATTATTGACGATTCTGATATCCAGTTGGCCGCTGCCATCAGTGGGCACGGTGGGAAGAGGATTTGCGCAGGAGCCGGGTGGCACGCACTGGCAGTAGCTGGAGGTTCCGGGGTTCACAATGGAGGGCACAGGTGGCCAGGTACCCGGCGGAAGTTGGGGCGGCACCAAAGTACCCACAATTAGCTGCCTGGTGAGAACTGTGAGAAAGTATATATCCTGTAACTAACGACTGGATTAGCGCTTATGGGTCCGCTCACTCGTATGGTTTGCCGTACTGGCCACATCACTCGGCTGAGGTTCCCGGCCGGAGTCGGGCTGGGCTGGCCCGAAGCTCCAGGCCTGGCTACCGATTCCTCCTACACCGAGAGTCAGCCACTGCAGCCACTGTATCCAACCGAACTGAGTCATAGCCCTGCCACTGTCAACTAAACGAGCCACCAACGCTCCACAGGGCTATATAGCTGCCCCCATGTTGGCTGCCCACAACCCGCTCAATAAATTGCCTGATGAATGGCCTCCTCAGCTCAGGGATTTTCCGGACTGCAATGAGCAAAAAAGGTATTCAAATAAAGCAAATTAGGGGAAACCGCAATTGGTAACCCAGAACCGAATGGGGGTTACTCTAACTGAATAAATCCATTGGAGTGCATCCATTGGGAATGCAGAATTTTAGGGAGTCACTGGATTCTAATAACTAGAATGATATATATATTTTTTTTATAAACCTCTGATAAAATATTTTTCTATAAAATAGATACCAATTAGATAAGGGAACTGATATCCCATAATGAAGAGAATCCAACTTTATGACAAAACCAAATTGAAAATAAATTTTAGGTGAGCACTGAAATACGTATTAAATTATTAAATTTAGGTGACTAGTGCGAGTGACTAGAACTCTCCGGTTCGATAATTTCATTCAGCGCCATGTCGCCATTGTCGACCCACAATTGGAGCTGCTCCAAATTTAGAGCCATTAAATATTAGAATAATAACTTAATGGTTTAATTGTCGCCGATTTGAAGACGATGCATGTTTGACACTTTCCGCTTGGTGTGCCCCGTCGTGAATCCCATAAACCCGCCCCTGAACATGAGCGATGAAAACTTCTGACAACTTAGCGGTAGAATTTATTTAATGATTCACACCCGCACCCAGTACGCGCCGTACTCCATCTAGTGCTAAGGCCTCCGGAGCTGTTAAACCGGGCGCTCTGTTAAACCCCAGATATGGAAAGCTCCGGGGGCTGAAGCTTTCATATCGGCTGTCCCATCGACCCACCTAGTTCCAATCTGTATCGGACTGCAGAACGAAATGGGTCACCCGGAGCTGGATTTCAGGGCCATTCCCAAGCTGTATGGCAGCCAGAACTACTGGCAGTGGCGCGTCCTCTTGAGGACCTACCTGGATGCCAACGATCTGTGGAAGCACAATGAACCCAAGGAGGTAGTGAGTCAGCCGGCGGCTGGTATTCCGATCTAATCGCAAATACCTTTTCAGAGTCCCCACACCAAGTTCATCATTTTGGCCACCGTCGAGGGCGATAAGATTGAGCCAGCCTACGAAGACCAGACCTGCTCGTATATTTTCCAAAACTTGGAGACCCGTTTTGGTCCATTTAGGGGTTAAAGTTTAAAGTTTAAACAGTGATTATTATTTTAATAAAGCTATCCGAGTGATCGTAGACCTTACTGTCTTACTTCTTACTGTTTTGGTCGTTGTCTTTGTTTTCTGATTTTTTGGAGCCTCCACCATCACCGCCCCGGCCTCCTCCTTTACCGCCTCCGCGTCCACCACGTCCTGATCCTCCATCTTCGCCATCATTGGGATTTTTCTTTTTTTCTGGATTTGATTCTTGTTCTCCGTCTTTTTTTGAATCCTCGTCTTTGTCTTCGCTGCCCTTTTTTCCGCCTCCATCTCCACCACGCCCACCACCTTTGCCGCCACCACCGCCTCCACCTCCGCCACCACCACCGCCGCCTCCTCCACCAGATCCACCGCCTTTTCCGCCCTCGCCTCCACTTCCATAACCTCCCGAGATCAGTCGATTTTGAATATTGTTGTTCGAGTCTGTCATGATGGAACAATAAGGGGAATATAATCTTAAAGTATAATAAATTACTCAGTAACAATGTGATTTTTGTGAATCAAAGACTCATTATTTATTGAAATAAATTTTGGTTTTAACATGGAGCTTCCATCTGAACGGATCAATATGCTTCAATTCCATCATAGGGCACTGCTCTCTGCTTACAGACTAGGGTTACAAGTTAAGGCACTATGGAAAGCACTACATACAATTAATTTCAATTCGGATTATCGAGTGCCGAGATGTGTCGCTATTGAACAAAGTAAACTCTTACAAACACTACGTTTGCATAACCTATTTAAATTTATGTACATTCTAAAACGTGTGGGAGCTGACATCCGCAGCTCCTTTGTTCCGATAACTTTGATAATGATGATATACGATTTATGATTTTTGACTAGCACGGTAGAACGCCTCCCGGCTCGGCGTTGTTGGGATCGTAGTAGTAGACAGAGGGCGTCCAAGGCCTCTCGGCTCCGGCCGCCAGCTCTGGATGTGTAGTGGCAACCGCCTTACAGGCACACTGGCTGGGAACTCCATCGCATTCCCCTGGAAAGTCCTGACCCACTGCCTGGGCACGCAGCACGATATGGTGCGGGTTCGTCACATCTATGTTGGTAATCACTCCAGCCTGATGCCGGAAACTGTAGAATCTATTCGTCAAATGTCCATCCACGTAAATCTGGGAAAGAGCAGGGTTAAATAGGGTTTTGTAAGGAAAGTGGGGGAGAGCTCACCTCGTATCCTGCTATAGCGCGACAGTCTGCAACCTCCCACCGGACGTAGAGAGCCGAGCATCCCAAACTGGAAACGGCGTTGATAGTAACTGGAAAACTGTCACCCGGCCCGGCATTTGAAGCATCATTTGCTTTCACGTCCTAAGGATTAAAGGGAATTATGGATTACTATGTATAAGTGCTAAGAATCGTTAGAAGATAGTTACCTTGGGCTTTGCTTTTTTCTCACCCAGGACACAATCCATGGCATGCAGATCCACGATCATCGAGTCAATAAAGTATTTCTGAGATAGATAATGGTTTCAAATCGATTCAATTACAAGGCAGGACTTAAATACACACCATTTCACAGAGAGGATCGCACATCGCCGAGCGCAGGGTCTTGGCGACCGTCTTGCACTCGTCGTCGCAGATGAGGGCGCGACAGTGGCAACAAAGGCATCCCGGGCCCGGGTCACCATCGCCCTTATAAGGAGCGTCCTCCTCGCCGTCAGATGGACTTTCTTCGGGGAATGCCGATAAAACTACGCCATGGCCGCCATCTCCACCATGTCCGACACGTCCGTCGAATTCTTCCTCATCCACGTCGCACGGCTTTTCCCCTTTACCTCCATCCACCCCTCCACTCGCATCACCACTTCCGCCCCCATCGGTATCTTCACAGACATTGCATTCCTTGAGGGCCTGCCTCAGAAGATCCTCGCACAGACTTCGGATTTCGGGCGGCAGTGGCTCGGCTGGAAGTACATCCTGCGCCTGCTCCCCCCGTGAGCAGAGATTTTTAAGGAACTGGTATGTGCTAGCGGCATTTTCGTCCATCTCGGCACCCCCAGTCATCAACTTCTTTTTACTCATATAGAAAGCTCTAAGTTTGGTGCAAAAGTCCGGAGGATTGCAAGGACATGGCAGATCGTCTTCATCACCTGCACCTGGGCAAGTGCTGTCCTCCGAATCCTGAGGAGCTTTTGATTGGCAAGGTGGATCCTTTTCATCATATCCCCTGCAGTCTTGGTACATCTCCCCATCGAGCATCATGGGAGTCTTTTGCGACGCAGAGCCTCGTGGGGACTGCGGAGCGCCACAATCGGGTGGGTTTCCATCGCAGGTGCGTGTATCGCCAATATCGAGAAATTTATCTTTAGGATCTTTAAACAGCTGTGTTGGATCCATTTGAATACCATCGGGACAGAACTCGGGATCAGGCTCGAAATCGTAAATGTCTCGCTGCGGAATTGGTGGCGGTGATCGGGGCAGATAACACTTCCGGACATACTCCTCCAAGGCCTCGAAGCACTCCTCTCGTCGCAGCTCCGCCTTGGTCTTGACCTTCTTCGGCGGAGATTCACCTCCACGCTCGTGCTGGGTGGCGCAGCAATCTTCGAATTCCACCTCGGGAGGGGAGGGCTCGTCCGCCGGTGCCACAGCGGACTCCTTTTCCGAGCGGAGAAGCAGAGTAATCTCTCGGAAAAGCTGCTGTATAAGGGTGGCACGGCTCACGCCACAATCACAGCTGGGACGGTTTAGCTGATCGAGGAGTCCCAGGACTCGTTCCTTTCGTGAAGCACACATATTCTTGATCAGTCCGCAGGCATCCTCCGGTGTCTGGAAGCCAGTGCCTTCGTTGCAGCTGCACATTTCTTCTGTCTGCTTCGATGGGTTGTAGGAGCCCTGCATGGACATGTCGTACTTGGAGGTCTTCACATAGCACTTACAGTCCTTTAAGACGCACGCCGACTGGGACAGGTCGCCAGGGGGGACAGGAGGATCATCTCCATTGCCGCACATGCAACTGCCACCGGAAAGGCTCCGGTGCGTTTTCAGACTGGTCACAATACAGTCGGACGGTTGCTCGGTACAAGCTGACTTCTCGTCCTCACAGCAGGACTTTGTCTCCAAGAGATCTGACTTCGCCTCGTCGCAGCATACCGAGATATCATCCCGACAAGATGCTGCGGAGGCTTTATGGATTGACTCGTTCGAATTACAGTCGCAGAATTGTTCCTCCTCACGGACGCTCACTTTCTTCGAGGGTGCCTTCTGGGAAGGACCTGACTCTTCACTGATGTAATCTTTGAAGCCGGATGAGTGCTGTATTCTCGCCGAGGGGCATGGATTAAAGCTGAGCTCTTGCGTCCGCTGCTGACTTTGATCGGTACAGCAATCCACAGTTGGCTGCTCATTTGAGCCGCACAGGCAGGTGATCTTGCCCACTATCGAGCGTGACCTGGTCGTTGCCGATGTCTCCTCGTCCACCCCAAAGGATGGCTGATTGCAAGGGTGTCCTGATCTCGGACCACTTTCTTTGGTCTCGATGCTGGGGTTGTAGTAGCGGCTTTGCGGACAAGAGGCTGACGATGCGGCCCGGGATGTCTGAGCTGCTGTGTCGGTAAAGACCAGTGCCGGGCAAGGAGCCTTGGGTGGCTCGGGTAGCGAATTTATGTCATCGGCATCTCTTAGAGCGGACAACCAGGTCACTCCGCTTAGGTACACCTGATCTGCTATATTGGGTTGACTCTTGGAGGTGCATGGATTGGTTCTTGATGAGCACGGGTCCGGCTTGGGTTCTTCGGGGGGATTGCAGCTGCAGGAAGATAAGGCTCCTTGGGTGGCCTTTGAGTTATCGCTCCTGACCTGTGCACTTGAGACTATGTTGCTTTGATGCGGCCAGTAGGAGGGTTGGCTGCCACTGGCGCCAGAGCAGGGTTTCAGGATCTCCTTTGTGCATGTGGACACCGCAGACTTAAAGGATCCGCATGACTTGGCTTTGGAGCCCTTCTTGCAGCTGCAAGAGGCTGGAGGTGGTGGCTCGACTACTTCACACGGTTGTGGCTGAGCGCGTCGGTCGCAGACACATATGGGGCTTTTAACTGGCGGTGGATCGGCGGACTTGGATCGAGTAGAGCACTGGCATCCGGATACGGATAATCCCTTATTTGTGGTGTCCGTCTCCGATCGACCGTACTTTGGCGTGTGATGTTCCCTCAGGAAGGAGGCCTCCGTCTGTGAGGGCTTGGCGAGAGGATCGTCCATGTCCATGGCCGAGGCCTGGGACGATGCTTTTGGCTTCCAGTGGTCTCTCAGGTGGGATGTTTCGGTTTGTTGGGCGCGGGAGTTGGGGTCGCTTCCGGTTGGTTGCTCGTCCTGCATATACATCAGAGCCGGGCATTCTGGAAATGGAGGAAAAGAGGACATTGAGTTAGAGAGATGAACTCAAAAGCTAAGCTTCTTAAATCTAAATAACTAAAGACATATATAGGGATTATAAATGGATAATCGATGATCCGCTGCCGAAACCAACTCGATCAAGAGCGACTTCCTGAAGCACATCGTAGATTCCCCCGCAGAATACACACTCGATGTGATGGGCAAACACACACACTTTATTCGTATTGGCGCAATGGTACTTGGAGCTCTTTTATCTCCGACAACTGAATCTCACGGCCACGAGTGTTGTCCGGCGCGGACCACATCTCATTGTGATACAGTTCCAGGAACTTGGCCTCGGCCTTCTCCCGACACGGACAAAAATCGAAGTAGGAGGCCTGGCTGCAGGTTTCCCGGTCCTCGAACTTGGTGAAGACTGTGCCGCGCTGCACGCAGCGGCAGACCTTCACGTTGATGTGTTCCCGGTTCTCCTCGAAGACACGACGTTTCCACGGACACATGCAGCAGCCACAGTTCCCGGGGCAAAATACATTCCCGTCCTCGTCCATAATCGGACTTGGATCGAAGCGACAGGGCGAGCAGTTGGAGAATTCCTTGTTCTGAGGTCGGACCATGTAGTACTTTTTGCCGCTTGGTGCTGCAATATCCGACTCAGCCTCGTCCAAAGGAACCACCGTTTCAACAGATTCCACTGACTCGGTGTCGGACTCGTCCGTTAAAGTTTCCTCCGGGGGTGGGATTACAATTCTTACATCTTCCTCGATTTTCTCTTCCTCCTGAGGCTCCTTTATCTCTGGAGGTGGTAATGGCGGCTCCTCCTCCTCCTCCCAAATCTGGTTGGTTTCGGGAACAGTAAGGTAGGAAATGGATATAACCTCACGTGCCTCCTCATCGAAGCGGTTTGGGCAGACGTGACTACATTGGATGGTGGAGTCGCCACAACTGCCCATGTACGCGGAGACGTTGGAGCGGGAAACGTGTGACTCGTACTGGAAGATCTGTTGTTCGCTGGCGGAATTACCTGGGCAGGGCTTCTTAGCCTTCGGGGCACCGGTCCGGCATTCGCATATAGAACCGCTGGTCTGGTGACGGGGTCGGGGCATCTCCCTCTTCTGGCAGGTTGTTAGTTTCCCGCCGCCTTGCGGATTGAACTGCAGCGGCATCTGAACTGTGACCGGTTTTCCGTGCAATGGGCATCCCGAGCGCGACTTCTTCGGATCAACCAGACGGGCAGTGATCTCCAGAGTCACGGCACAGGGATTGTTCCAGCCACCAGAGTTGTCAAAGTTCTTGAGCAACGTGTTTGTGGCATTGGCCGCTCGCTCCAGGGCTTGCCTGATGGCCGCGGGATCGTCGAGCCGGCACTTGCTCGTGGCACTGCGGCTCGTAGCACTGGGGCCCCCCCGCGGAGAGTCATCCCCGTTGCTCTGGCAGTCATAGAATACGTCCTGGTCGCAACGCCCATGCTGGAAATGGCTGCCCATAAAGAGCAGGCGAGTGGAGTCCACAGTGCGCACCACGCGAGATGTAGCATTGCTGCCTTGCTCGACAATGCGGTCCCGCAAAGAGGCTAGGTGCTCCTCGCTTTCTACGGCGGGAGTAATGACTTGATCCTCGTTCATGGCGCTTCGACGAACCGGTCGTTCGTACTCTTTTTTCCAAATGCAAGTAACGCACTTACATGAAATTTTTAAGGTGTGTGTTTCCTGCTCGAGATATCCTAAAAAATGAAACTAATTCTAGGCTTTCCCTAGAAAATTGACAGCTTTCGTTTCCAGTCGACTATGATTCAATCATTCAATCAGGTATTTGTGCTTTATGATGGATAGGTGCATGATACATTGTATATATATATACAATTCAAACTTTATCCTTGAAAAGCTATACTTTGTAATTACAACTATATACTCATGGTACTTTATTCTAGATATCTTCTCTTCTTGAAGTAGAGTCCTGGATGCCAAAGACCCATTCTTAAGCAGAATTAACCTCCCAAAAAGGCTCTTTAAACCTCAAACCCTTTCCAATGAGAATATATATCTTTTAAATTTCCAGAAACCTTTACTATGAGGACATCAAAGGGACAGAAGATATCTATCTTTTTCAATTCTAAAAACGATTCTTGAAGCAGTTGCTGCACATTTCGTCCTTGGCGGACCAACGGACACTGCGATTGATGGATCGCCGCTTCCTCCTGTCTCCGACGGGTGCATTGCATCCACAAACCGTTCCCATCGACTTGGGCTGAAATATGTTCACCTTCACTTGACCACTCTCCGGGTTCAGCTCAATGGGTAGCTTGAGTGTCACGGGGTCGCCGCGCAGCTTGCACTGCCTCTCCTTGGGGCAGGGACACAGATCATCGGTGTGCAGGCGGGCGCTCAACTCCAGGGTGGCTGGGTAGAATCGCGTCATTGATGGTCGGGGGGCCGGGCATTCGGCGCCTCCGTAGCAGCGCAGAAGCTGCTGGGTGGCAATGGCTGCTCGCTCCAGAACGGCACGAATCTCCACCGGATCGTCAAAGCGGGGCGCCCGCTTACAAACCACGGCGTCCCCGTGGGCCATTTCTTGCTCCTCGACAACCTCCTCGTCGTCGCTAAGGCAATCGTAGAAGGTGTCTTCGCCCTCAGTCGCTCTAAACATATTGTTCTATCAGTACGAATTTTGACAAATCCAAGAATATACTAAACAATCTCAAAAAACTAATAAATGTAGTGGATGAATCGAAAATCTCGGAAGAACTGATGTCTATATTGAGATACAAATTTCAGGGGATATTCCCATCATAGATATGATACTTTGTATAGGTTTATTCGATAGGGTTACCTCTTTAGTCATTATCTTTTGAAGACATTGATAATCGGATAGTAATGGTAGTCCTTGACTTGGTTCCACTTTTTACGATGAATAGCATACCAACATCGTATCTACATCTACATCGTACCCTAATAATCACAGCCGGAAATACGCATTGGGCTTCCTAAAATAGTTTAGGTTCTACTATTTTCTACTATATAACCTGATGGTGGGTCTGCACCATTTAGAAACCCCCTTTAATAAGTAGCTATAGGAATACTCTCTAGGATAACCCCCTTTAAAGCCGTTATTCAATGGACAATCAATTACTCTGTAATTTTCTTTTATCTTAGAGCAATCACATTCAGATGAGGATCAGATGAGGGACGCCACTCGACTGTCTACGAGGAGGAGTCGGTGAAATAAAACGAGTTTGGTCGCTTCACGGGATAGTAGATGGTGCAACCGAATTCCGACTCCATTTTCTGGTTGTGATACAGGACTAGACGTGCATTGATCCTCTGCTCGATCTCTTCCAGCAATGCCGACAAGACGGGCTTGAGGGCCAGCTTCAAGCTCCTGACGCAGTCCAGAGCCGCCACAAAGCCTTCATAGCTTTCCACAGACTCTGGGTGCTGCTTCTCCGTCCACATGTCCTGAAGCAGCTCGAGGTGTTCACGGAAGTCCTCGCCGCCCTCCCACAGCTGGAGGAGCTTGGCCCGGAAGGGCGCCACATCGAAGTACCCATCCACGGAATTCTGGAGGAGCTCCACAAAGCAGCGGGTGCGCAGCGGCATAAGAAGCAGGCGCTGTTCTATACCCACGTCCGCTTGCGAGCTGCACTCCGCCGTTTCCGGACGCACCTGCACTTCCTGCTCGGAATAGTCAGGCGAGACTTGAATCCCCTGCTCCTGGATCTGCGCCTGATCCGTTTGGGTGAACGAGGCGCTCTCCAAGCTCGCCCACTCGATGTCGCGGACGTCGGCGTGCTGCGAGTGTAGGGAGAGATGGGATTTGGCCGAGTGAACCGTGTGGACGGACGCTGCCGAGTGGAAGCTGTTAACCGAGGAAGTGGGTGTGAGAGATTGGACCAAAGGCCGGATGGCGGCTGCAAAACGAACACGTGAGCGATGCATCCGTTTGTAGATGAAGCGCCGCAACATAAGGCGCTGGGCGCGGTACGGGGAGGAGCGGCCCTCCTTCTGGTCTTTATCGACATGGCTTCTTTGGTGCTTTTTCTTCTTCTCACGCTCCACTTCCTGCTCCAGATGCGCGTTTCCGTAAATCAACTGGCGCAGTGTCGACGGAATCTTGGAGATGTCTTCTTCAGTGTCCTCCGCGCTCTTTTCAGTTATTTGTAAAAGTTCTACCTTCGTCTCGCTGGCACTTCCCGCCTCCGATCGCCTTGGCGAGGTGGACTTCTTAATGCTGGTCCAGCTGGTCTTCACACTGGTATCCCCTGGTTCGCTTACTTTGCCCCTCACAACCAGCTCGTTGCCAACTACACTCTGTGACTCTTCTGTGCCTTGAGCCGTTTCCCAGCTATTATCCTCTACTTCGGGGGCAGGAAGGGCCTTGTTCGCATCCTTTTTCTTAACTAGACTCACCTCGGACGGGCTCTGGGAGAGCAGGGTGTCCGCCAAATGCTTTACACTGCACGCTATCGCCTGGAAGTCCTTGTGGGTGGGAAGTTCCAGCTCGCGGCGCTAGAAGTAGTTTCGATTAAAGAACTATACGTAAATATTGGCTGATCCAGACTTACCTCGATGTCCAGCAATGCCAAACCCAATCCCTGACTGGCTGTCTGCAGATCTGGAATCTCATTCTTCTTGGCCCGCTTGGCTGGACTGTCGTAAAGCTCATCGGCTAGGCTGAATCCTTCGGGAATGACGCCAAACTTCCGCTCCATTAACAAGCACTGCTCGTCCTTGGTGCGAAGCTCGTCTTCCAGGCAGCGAGCCCTTTCCTCGGACTCCTTCAGCTGCGCCTCCATCTGGTGGATCTTGTTCTCCAGCGTGCCCACCTCCTCCTTTAGCTCCCCGTTGGTCACCTCTATGTGCATGTACTCCTTCTTGATGTCGAAAATCTGCGTGCGCAGGGCGTCTGTCTCCTGTCTCAGCTGATCCTCCGTGTTTTGCTGAATCTTCTTGGCAAAGGTCAGGTCATCCATCAGGGCCTGGCAGCGTTTCTTCTCGCTCTCCAGGGCTTCAGTGAGCGGCACCTTGAACTCCGCCTCCACCTCCATCTTGGCCATTACATTCTCCAAGCTGCACTGCATCGATCGGTTCTCGGCGAGCAATTCGCGGTGCTCCTTCGTCAGGCGCACCAAGCAGGTCTTGAGACCTTGCTCCGCCTCCTCCAACTGCTGTATCTTTTCGGCCGCCGCCCGGGAGTCGTCCCTGAGGCAGTCTTGCAGCTGGGTTATCTTTTGCTTCAGGCTGGTTTCCTTGCCGCGGTAGGCTTCTTCCCGCTCCTTGTACTGCTGCTCCAGATCGACCCAGTGGGAGTCGGCAGTCTCCATGGCCTCGTAGTGCCGGGCATTGAGCTCCTTGAGCTGGCTGCGCAGGCTCTTCACCTCCTCCTTAAGATACAGCACATCTCGGCCCTCACCAAGATCGGAGAAACCGCTCGGGCTCAGACCAAAGTCAGAGGCTCCCATCTTTGCATTGGACTCTTCTACAGCGGATGTGTGGTAGCCCGAGGAGAGGCGATGGCGGGGGCTATTTTCCGGCGAGGACAGACTATTGCCCATCTTGGCGAGGGCCAGTAGGCGACAGATCAGAAGCAATGGCAGCGATTTGCGGAAGTCCTGCAGTTCCTTCTTGGCTTGTTTCTTCTCCAACTGGAGGTGCATCAACTGGGTCTCGGCAGCGTCGAGATCCTCGCGAAGGATCACAACTTCGGCGCGGCAGTCTTGGTACTTGGCGCTCAAGGCGTCCTTGTCGAACACCAGTTCGACGTTGCGCTGGCGCAGGACCTCTAGCTCCTCCTCGTTTTGCTGCAGATGCAGCCGTGTATCGTTTTCGGCCTCCTCGAACTCGCACTTGGCTTCGTCCAACAGGGCGTTCTGCTCAGTCAGCAGCTCCACCCGCTCCGTTAAATGCTTCAGTTCCTTCTCCAGCAGCAGCTGTTTTTGCAATCGCTGGGCCAGGAGGCGCGCCTGGGTCTCCCCGGTGCTCTCGTAGATCTGGAGCTTTCCTTCGAGCTGCTCGAGCCGCTCCTGATAGAACAGCAGGTGGGGGTGGTTGGACGAGATTGATTGGCTCGATGGTGTTAGGTCGCACTCGACGAAGACGCCGCTCTCACTGAGGCTGCTGGTCTGCCACGAGGCTATCTGACTGCAGTGGCGTTTGCTGGGCGTGGGCGGGGCTGTGGGCGTGGCACAGTTGCTGTACGGCTGGACGGTGGCAACAATCCGCTGCTGCTGGCTGTGTTGGTGCCTTCGTGGGCTTTCCGTGGGGTTCTACGGACGGGAATAAAACAAAACTTGAATTTTAGCCGGACAATACCGATCGCGATAATCAAAAGGTTGGGAAAGTGTGGTTAAAATAAGAAAATCTGTGGAAGTGGCTCGACTACCAATATATCTAAATAAATATATAATATTGTGAGTTCTTATTCGCATAATTCTACGTCTAGGGTTCTCTGATCAACTGACAAACTTGACTGAGCTACCTAGGCTTGTCTATAATAGTTTTATTTTACCCACCTGTTCTCCTGTCATCATTGAATCCAGGTCCAGCTGCTGAACGCAGTGCATCAACTGCTGAAGGCACCGTCTCTCCCGATCCTCCAAAGTCTGGGAGCTTTTCTCTAAAATAGTTTGCAGGCGTTGACAGTGGCCCTCGCAGGTACTTTCCATCTGAGAAGAGGTAACAATAAAATATTTTATATTTAAATATATATTATGCTATAAAAGATGTGCTTAATGCTCCGCTGCAGACACTTCAAAGTGCACACCATGCCCCCAACTAACTAATTTCACTCTTCCACTTGTTTGTATAATTACATTTGGTTATTGCAATTAGGTGAGTGAATTGGATTTTCAAGCTGAACGACTTTGTGGTGCGGGGTGCGAGTTAACACTGCTGGCGGAGCGTTCGGCTCTAAAAATTAAACGTACCAAAATTAACAGTGAGTAGAGAGTAGTTCCGACTACCATATACCCTTTGGAGAAGATCTAGGCTTTAGGCTCTACCAGAGTCTCCTCAAATCTTAGAAATTTAAAATTGCACGAGCTAGTCCTGTTTTTTATTATAATCTGTTTAGATCCTAAGGCCTTGGATCTCTTTAGATTGATACAACCCTTCTTACACGTCCAATACCCTGTTTTTCACTCATTTCAATAGCCATCAGCCAAGGTGTGGAGCTAACAAAGACTCGATACTCGATTTGGCTTGTTTTATGAGTAATGGCAAAACACTCATATCTATAACAAGACTCGTAGATGGCAGCCACTTAGGGTCTTCCCTTATAAGTATAGCTTATAGACCAGAAGTAGGTTTTTGGCTAAAACAACTACTAGACCAATTTGCGTTTTTGGCCAGAGTCCAAGAGGTAGGCGTGTGTCGAAGGCTCAGATTAAATGAAAAGTGACATAATGCCACAAAACCGAGTCACTAACCATCGGAGTGTCCAACCACAGATAATACCACAATGTACCACAGATTCCTGAATATTTTATAACACCGACTGAATGTAATGATTTTCTCATTAACTGCGAATGCGAATGTCCCACTGAAACAATTTCAATTGGAAAACATCGAGATTGGTATTGCCGTTAAACCAAAACAATTTCCGCACTGACTTAGACGCCAAACAAAACTGAGCCACTGCAGCACCCGAAGCTGGCCAAAAGAGCGGGATCGGCTCGAGCCGAACTCGGTCTCGAATGAGTGGCTCAATTCATTCATAAACCACCGCCAAGTAAGTCATTCGCTTGAGCGGTTTCACAAACAGGCTTTGAGTGGGTTACCTCTTGCTTTGGTGGGGGGATTTTGCGCGGGATCGGGTCTTACCTTATCGTTATCATCTTCCAGCTCGAGAATGCGAAACTCGAGGAGTTCATTCTGCTCGCGCAGCTCACTGCACTCGTCGGACAGCTGGGTCCGCTCCTCCTCCAGCTCCTTGACGCGCTGCGTCTGCTCCCCGAGCTGGCTCTGGCTCATGCTGGTGGCCCGGGCCGCCTGCTCCGCGCCCTCCAGCTCCTGTTTCAGCAGATGCACCTCTTCCTGCAGACGCTCGTTTTCCTTCTGGTACATTTCTGCTTCCTTCTGTAGTTTCTCTAGGTCCTGCAGCTGTAATACGAAAATTGGTTCCAATTATGTCCCAAAACCTCTTGTATTTGTATTCTTGGTTTTTAGAAAACGTATAAAAATGTATTTTTATATAAATAGCGAAACTTTCCTAGCTTGTAACATTGTACTTTTTAAACAACTACTCCTTTATGAAAAAAAACTTTACCAATAAACAATATTGGTCAGAAATAGCGGGTGGTAACTAGAGAGTTTTTATTACTCGTCTTAAGGGTTTAAAGAAATTAATTTTTATTTAAACTTGGTTTCATTTAACATTTGTTTACTTTTTGTTTTAAAAATCATTTCTTATTAAAGGCCATTACCCTTAGTATACCCTCTTAACGAGAACCATCTTAAAACACTTACCGTCTGCCAAATCACACCGCTGTCCGAGCCACTCGACGGCGGCTGGGGGCTGATCGAGGGCGGGGCCGAGGACAGGGCCGAGTCCGTGTCCGAATTGTGTTCCTTAAGATAGGGTTAAAGATAGGGTTTTTGAAATCAGTATCTGAGAAGTAGCTTGGGTCTTAATGGTGACTCACCTTTGGCTTGGCTGTCGGATGGCTGCCGAGCAGCGTCGTCATCCAGGTGGTGGCCCCCATCTCGTTGGGGGCCCTCATCTCATCCAGTCCATTCGTCTGACTGCTCTTCATAGTTGTGCGCATCTCGAGCGCTGATTTATGCGCATTTTTCTTATTGTTGATTAGCTCAATGTTCTTGAGTTGGGTTATCTGCGGGAAATAAACGACGATGGAAAAATTAGAAAATGTCGTGCCATAGTTACATTTTCCAGCACTCTCTCTCTCACGTTTTCTTTCTTCGACCGACCTGGCCCAGAACGGACAAAGCAATTAACAAAAGAATCTGTTTTTTATCTGGTCGTGGCTTGGGTCTTTGGTAGAATGGTCTTCGTGTAGAAAGAATAGTACAGAACAGAACATAAAAGAACGAACGCTCCGCTTTATTATGTGCTCTTTACATGTGTGTTAACAGTTATGACTTGATTTCTTGGCCCAGACACACGTTTCGCTAAAAAGCGCCAAATCATTTATATGGACAGGTTGCTTTGGATCCGAACAATGCGTCCCAATGGGTCCCCTACATAAGGGGTTCAATGACATGGTCGAGATAGGTGCGTGGCATTGTGGGCTAAGCTGGGCCAAGGCATCGTCGTGTACTAGCCAGTCCTGGTCGTCGTGAATCACGAACTCCACGCACCTCGTCAGTGAAAACAATTGGGGGCCGAACATTGAACAGTTTTTGCTTGTCCCTGGGTCCCATCACGATTTTCAAGCCATCCCCCCATCCAACCATCCATCCGTTCCCCCATCTAGCCAACTAATTAGCCTCTAACTCGAAAATCCGAGCCAAACCCAATTGGAAACGTCAAGTCACTTTCCAATCAAGCAACGCCCAGTTATGTGTTACTTTCAAGTCAATCCCATGCTTTATGTAACACCCATAATAGCAGTGTTATTATACGCATAATGCTGCATTATGCTAATTTATGGGTCTCAGCGAGTATTTGCGTACTGGCCGGAGAAATCATAAATCAATCACCCAAAAAGTTTCCAGAGAGTCCGGTGTACATACGTAGGCAGAGCCAGTGCAACGACCAATCGGCAGTGCTTTGTTTAATATTTAAATTCAATCATTTCACCACCAACTACACTACCAATAATATTTATTGCTGTTCATTAACACTAAAAACATGAAAATTTATTGTTAAATTTTAATAGTTTTCAATAAAAACTTTTAACAACACAACGTATATATTATATTTTATTTTCCAATCACTAAGAGTTCCAATAAAAGTATCCTTATACTTAAAAAAAAGCCTTTTTTTCTACGGTCTACATATCCTTAAGCCTTAATACGGAAATAATATTATTCATTCGGGGACTCGAAAAACATCTTAAAGCGGATTCTTATCAAGCATTTTAACACTCATATCTTGTTTTTAGAATAGAATAGAATAGATAGAAGTAAAGACATCTAACACTTAGGAACTATTTATAAACTATAAACACTTTTTTTCAAAAACATTCCAAAGTTCTCACAGCAGTTGGGCAAAAGGTCTGACATTTTTGATAATTTCAAAAGATCTATTAAGAAGTTTGTTAAACTCAATCGAATTTAATGAATTTCTCCCTGTGTAGGCCAGCTTATGCGCTTGCCAGACCAGGGTCTGGGCCATAAATGGAGTTGGCGGTATGAGTGTGTATGAGCTTGTGGGTGAAGTATTGCCTGCGGCGTTGGTGTCGCATGCCTGCACGTCTTTGATTGAAATTATCGGAGAGCTGGGGAGCTGGTGAGCCGGGATCGAGATCGACGCCCGGGGCTTCATCCGATTGCCAGCTAAGTAACAGTTATGGTAATTTCTTGGATCGATTCCAAAAGAACTTTTTGCATAACGGCCGCCGGTTAACGAACCCGATCAACGTGTCTCGCAGATTAAGCAACCCAAGCCAAGCCAGGCCTAGGCTCAGGCTCAGGCAGGTAAGCCTCAGACATTATTCCGGGGGATTATTCGATGGCTCTATTGATGCCGAGATTGGAGCCACTCATCACGTATGCAGATTGCGCTAAATGCAGCGCCGACGTTGCGAGACGGAGATGCGCCATCGGGTTGATTTCAAACGCTCGATGGATTGTTTGTAAATCTGTCAGCGGTCCCAACCTGCTGCGCCATATACGATACGCCCAGATACTCAGATACTCGGATACTGAGATGCTCAGATACGGAGATACTCTGTTACCTATACAAACAATATAGGTGTGTTTATGCTCCGATGTCGGTTTGTTTGCACAAGCCGCGGGCCAAGTGATTGTGATTGTGTGAAATGATTTTCCTTTCTGCAGACAGGTTTCACTTCGATCGGTGCCACTGCATCTGCAAGAGGCGAGAGGAGACTTGCAACTGGAAAACGGCAATGGCAACAGCGATGGCGATGGCGACGTTCCGGGTTCGACTCCCCCGATCCGTGGACGATTACGTGTAACAGCAGCCATCAAAAGGTATCGGCGGCGATGCCTTATATACAGACATACATTTTCCAACCTGCCAGGTAGTCTGGTATATAAATTTTCTTGTATTTGCATTTGGCATTGTAACACCAGTGTCTGCACAAAGGCGAAGCATTGATTTGATCTTGCGAAAGCGAAAGTTTATATGCGCTAATGAATTATATTGTATTGTATATCAGGAGGCCAGCCAAGCGCAACTCTCCTCCCGGGATAAGCTAATTGAACTAATGAATGGATTTAGTCGGCCCTGTTGACATATATATATGGAGAGATATATGCATTGCTGCATAATTTGCATCGATATCGCGCAGCGAACCCGGGGATTAACCGAGGAACCCGACTGTGGCGATAGCCGCCAGATATCCGAGGCCTTTCCCTTTCGATCGAAGATACCACAAAAGGGTAATTATTCATCCGTTGCGGCCTCAACTGATTTTGACGATGGCCCCTTTTGTGGATAAAAAATTAGCAAAAATTTTATCGACGCTGTGTGGCAGAAATGTCGGACAGAAGTAACTTTTGATATAGCCGATGGATGGATAAACAATCATCCGAAATGCTCTTTTAATGGCTTTCGAAAGTGTATTAAATGGAGGTCGGGTTTCGGAAGACTATTAAGGGATTATAGGGACTATATTAGATTTAAAGATAGTGTAGAGTGTGAGATACTAATAGGAGCTAAAAATAAATGTATTTCTCTTCTATATTAGATATATGGAGACATTCCATAACGACAGCTCATAATAAACCACTTAGTTATGGGCTGCGCATCGTATGAGCCGAAAATGAGTAACAAATGTTCCCAGAAGTGGCAACAAATTAATGGCTTATACTTTTTGGTCTGAAAGGGGGCATTGGTCAATTACCTTGACATCTCTCCGGTTATAGTAGTAATCCATTGTCAGGCGTGGTGTTTATGCATTATTCCCACATATGAAGTATGTGTTTTTTTGGGTGGTTTAGCAAACAAAAAAGAAACTATTAACTATTTAACCGCAGTTTTCAAGTTTTCTTGTCGAATCTCTTGGATATAGCGAATAGTTTTCACCGTGGTAATTTCACTAAAAACATCGAAATTTATAGACACATTCGCCCAAACGATTCGTAATTTGCATATGGTTCACATTTCCATTTCACACACACCCCTTTTTTCTACCATGTCGTTTATTTTTTGTCTGCACACTTTTTGTGTTGTGATTACTTTGCATATTGGAAGCGTCCGCGTCTTGTTTTAGCAACATCATCATTATCTGCCCCATCACCATCATCATCACCGAAGTGGCTCCATCGCCCCACTCGCTTTTACTGTCGTTTGGCGATGCGATGCGATGGGATGGGATGGGATCGGGGATGACTATATTTTTGCCAAGATCCACGCAGGCCACCACAGTCATAGTCACAGCAACATATCGTATTTAAAATAGCGTTAACATTTTAAAAGCTTTTCACTGACCCCAATTGTTGGTGTCCACACTAGAGACTCTCCGGGTGGGGGCTGGGGAGTGGAGTAGGACATGGCACGGGCGCCAATTGATTCATGTAGACTCGAAAGAATCAGAATAATATGAGAGCTAATAACTAGCTATACTCGATTCTTTCAGTGTGTTTATTGATGCCGTGTTTATTTCTTGATATGTTGCACTTTGCCATGCAAATGATGGCTAGATTACTAGAAACTTGCGCACTGGCCGAGATCCGAGAGTGGATTAAGTGGATCTGCCGATCCGATCAGCTATTCTGCGAATGGAGCTGTCACGGCTCGATGATCCCCAAGTCGTATCTAAGGCAGTGGGAGCTCTAGCGAATTCTCGACTACTTGGGGCATCGATAAAAACAATTACTATCTGGCGCGATTAATGAACTGTAAAATCGAATTCGCTCACTGGATCGGAACGAGAGTAGGCTAGACTGGGATGGGGGTATGCACGGTGTGAAAGGAAATTAATTTTTAACGTTTTTGGCATATTTTCCACTAATCTGCAGTGCGAACTAATGGCGAAATTATGGGTTCGTGTGCGTTAGACAATGCAAAAGTGAAAGACGAACCGTAAACGGTAAAGCGCGTTTCCTACTGTTCGAAACCCAATTCAATAGTAACGATTGTTCGCGCCAGTGTGTATCTGTATCTGTAGCTGTATCCCTCAAAATGTGCGGCATGCTATTGTCAATGTTTGGTTTTTGGTTCCTTTGCTTTTTGGCATAGAAAAGCGGACAATGCACTTGGCATTTCATTAGCGCTTCTTCAGTAGAATTAGCCGCGAATTTCACCTAGTTATGCACTCGTTGAACTCACAACACCTTTTCCTTGATTTGATATTTATGCACTTCACTTGTCTCGAAATTCAGATTCAGTGTTTGGAACTGAACCCTGGTGTTAACCGAAATGCGCGCGCACCTGCGACACCTGCGTCAGCCGACAGCGAACTTAAAAACCCAACTGACGGCCATCCGCTGGGCCATTCATGCGAGCGACTTGATCGGGATCGGGAGAGAAAGTGAGTGAGTGGTGCAAAAAAGAAACCGGCTCTCGCTCTATCTCTTCCCCCAAACGATCCACACCACACGATACATACATAGCCATGGATGTATGTATATACATACACCTTGTACATCCAAATATCGGAACCTCTCTTTGGCGGAGAACCAGCAATCCACTTGCAACACTTGCGCTGCTGCAATTGCTGCAGTTGCTCACGTTTCAGTCGAGCAGGTTTTTTTTTTTCGATTTTGCCCACCGCTTATCGACGCTGTGATTGTTGCCGTTGCCATTCTCATAACTAACGCAAAATTATATCATAGATCATGCCAATGGTGTATAACCGCAGTGCACGACAGATACAGATACACAGCCGGCTGCAGCTGCCAGATACTATATCTGCATCTCTGCAACTGAATCTAAATCTGTATCTGTCTCTCTGTATCTGTATTTGTATCTGTATCTGCAAGTGGCGGAGCTCTTAACATTTAACCCAAGCCTCAAATCTACCGCCATGGCGTTGCAAGTTCAAGAGCTGCCCCAGCCCCTGCTATAGCTCCAGCTACAGCCCCACTCCAGACCACCCCACTCCACTCTACTATAGCCTGTAAAATAATAAACCAAGAAAGTAAGACCAAACAGACTCACCTCAGGTGTAACTTGAGCCTGGCGTATGGGATTTTGTGAATCTTTATCTGTATCTGGTTCGTTTTTAGCTTTTGTTTCTCCTGCTGCTTTAGCCGGGTTCGTAGTGGATTTCTTTGGCTTTTGGCCTGGTTCGTTGGGGTTCGTTTTGGGTTTCGTTGTCGCTGGCATTTTGGCTTCATTCTGCTTTTGTTTTTTGGGACCCTGCAATGCCAACAAGTCCTTCTTCAGTTGTCCTATATTACGTTCTTTGGTTTTGATTTCCTCTAGCTGGAAATTTAAATTAAAAGATGATATTACTAAAAAGATATTTGAATCAAAATAATTAAGATTTAAGACTTCTTTTAATCTCAAAGGTTCTGCAAACTTTTCAAATTATTTACCATAACTTTTAAACTTAAAAGTAGATTTTTTTGTATCTTTTTTTTTTTTGTTGCCTAAAAAACTGCATGTATGAATTTTAATATGAAAAGTTGTCAGTCCGCTTATGAACCGCTGGGTTCCATTCCATCCACCGCTTTATTCCCCCTGGTCTCCTATTTATTTGGTGACCCGTTAGCAGCCGCTACGCACAACTTACCAAACGTGTTATTTCAATTTTGGCTGATTTCTGTATGTGAGTCAATCGGTTTTCGTACGCGTTCTTCAATTGCCGCATATCGGCAGCCTTGAGTCTATCAGCCTGCCCCATAATCTGCAAGAAATGGTCAAAATCGTATACGCGTTTTGCCAATAACAGTACGCCTGGCGGGGAACGCCCGATGGGGCGGGACAAGGAGCTAAAACATCCAATTCCATGCTGTTAGTTTGCATTAGCGCTGGGGTCTTGCCACATCCATTAGCCAAACGGGACAAAAAACACACAGAATAGTAGAAAAAAAGAAAGCACAAATGGGTCTCTTCGGAAAAGTCGAAGACTCTGTTACCCTTGCGGCTTTATCTCAATAATAGGGGTTAAAAAATAAGATTATTAGTTTCTAACGCATAAAGCCAGGGCATGTTTTAAAGCAAATGTTTTAAAGTTTTTATATCAAATATTAAGAAAATCTTGTTTAGTTAAAACAATAAACCATGCTCAACATGAAGCTCATAGGAAGTAGGTAACATAAAAACCAATTAATTCAAAGGTCTCGTCGGATAGAGTATAAGATATGGCACAATATTTGTCTTTCGTCCTCCGCTGATAGGACGAGCATTAGTGAAATTGCCATATCGAAATGGGTTACGGGTATAAAAACAAAGGTGCCATTGGATTGGCAAACAGTTTTCTTAGCCATGGCCATTCTGAGCCTGAAGCAGCTGGTGATCCTTCTACTCCTCGTCCTGACGGGCGTGGCATGTAAGAGTCAGATACGGGTTAAAGTCAAGAAGAGTTCTCATCTGATGGTCAAAGTCAGTGAGATTCTGTGCAAGGCTCGGATCAAGGTACTGTTCGTGTACTTTGAGAACGTCAGTTCCCACCAACACACGGGCCAGATTCTTCAAGAGGTAACCAAATGCAACATATCCTACATTTCCCTAAGGTAGGTCCAGAGATGGAAGTGGTTGGAGATAAATAATTTACTTCATATACTTGGTAGGAACCAACTGAAGCCTCTTGAAGCCGTCAAGGATGATGGAATCCTCATGTATATGACCATGATCATCACGAACATCTCACAGCCCCTGGAACTGTCTCTCATCCGTAAAAAATCAGCCGCCAAACACTTGTCCCACGTATTCCTTCTCGTCAGAGATGCCAAAACAGTTTCCGATGCGTGGATGCGAGCCAGTTTCCGGCAGTTCTGGAAGATCTGGCTGCTGAACATCGTCATCCTGTACTGGCGGGATAAACGCCTTCATGCGTACCGATATAATCCGTTTACGGACAATTATTTGATTCCCGTGGAACACGAAGCAGACGGACTGCCGACAATGGCGAAGCTCTTTCCCAAAACCATTCCCAACATGCAGCGGAAGCCGCTTAGGATGTGCATCTACAAGGACGATGTGCGGGCGATCTTCTTTAGGCAGGGCATCATCCTTGGAACCGATGGACTTTTGTCCAGCTATTTGGCCGAGAGGCTGAACGCCACCATGATGATTACCCGGCCGCACTCCTACAATAACCACAACCTCAGCTCGGACATCTGCTTCCTGGAGGTCTCCAAGGAATATGTGGACGTGGCCATGAACATACGCTTCTTGGTGCCCGACACTTTCAAGAAGTTGGCCGAGAATACCGTGTCCCACATGCGCGATGATCTCTGTGTGATTGTTCCCAAGGGAAAACCGGCCCCCACCTTCTGGAACATATTTCGATCGTTCGGCCCATTGGTCTGGGGCCTTATTCTTGCTTCTGTTATCCTCGGAAATATATTCTGTTACATACTGCAGTCGGGGGCGGGTGGGGTGCCGATGCAGCTTTTTGCCGGGGCTCTAACCATGCCCCTGACCAACATTCCCCGAAACCATGCCACTAGGCTGTTCCTAATCTTCTGGCTATACTTCGGCCTGCTCATCTGCTCGGCCTTCAGGGGGAATCTGACCAGCATGATGGTCTTTCAGCCGTATCTGCCGGACATCAATGGCCTGAGTGCCCTGGCAAAGTCCCACTACCCCATTCTGATCCGCCCCAGACACCTGAAGCACATCCAGCACTTTCTTTCTCTGGGCCACCAACACGAAGCTAGGATTCGGGAACTGATGAGGGTGATGTCGGACACCGAGGTATACGAAATGCTGGAAAACAACAATCGGGAGTAAGAGGGTTGATCCTTTATTCTTAACATTCTGCTAATTCTGTTGATCAACAGCTACGCCTATCTGGAGAAATACCACATCGCCCGCTTTCAGGTCAACAACCGGATACACATGCATCTGGGACGCCCTCTATTCCACCTGATGAACAGCTGCCTGGTGCCTTTCCACGCCGTGTACATTGTGCCCTATGGATCGCCCTACCTGGGCTTCCTGAACTCCTTGATCCGGAGCTCCCATGAGTTCGGTTTCGAACGCTACTGGGACCGTATCATGAACTCGGCTTTCATCACCTCGGGAACAAAGGTTGTGAATAGAAGGCGCGGAAGGAGCAGCGATGATCCAGTTGTCCTGAAGCTGGCGCACTTTCACGCCGTCTTCTCACTGTGGCTGGTGGGGATCGGAATGGCATGCATGGTGCTGCTCGGAGAACTCGTGACCCACAACTGGCGCAGGGTCTTGGCAAAGCTATTGCATAAGCTCTCGGGCGGCGGCATGCAACACGCAACGAGCGGATTGGGGCACTAATGTGACTATTTACCTGGGACTTCTCCTCCTTTGTTCGGTTAGCTTCCTTAAGCACGGCAATCTCGTTAGTCAGTCTTTGGATTTCATAGTTCATGAGGCCGTCGGCGGTCACATAGGTGCCGCTCGATTCCGGTCCTGATTCGATGGGTTTCTTTAGCCCATTGCTCTTCTTGGCAACTTCTAAAGTGTGCTGTAGCTTCTTGACTTCACTCTTCCAGCGGCGGCTATCCGCGTCATTTTGTGCCCTGAAATGGATATTATGGATGTGAATATTACACAAGCTCATTTAGTCGTTTCTTAGAAAATGCTCAGATTAGACCCTTAAGCTTTTATTCTTAGAAAAACCAAAACTATGACGGTTATTCTTGATCAAAGTTAATTCCCAAGAAATCTAAAATTATATCTTTTAATTGAAATATAAAGAAATCTAACAAAAAAAAGTGTTCCGAATTTCGTATAGTGTAAGTAGAGGTTAAGTGAGGTGACCCCAAACACAAAGGAGAGTATTCCAAAGTCGAACTCTAGATCCTAAATTTTGATAATCTTACTACTATATACAATTACTAGAGAGTCTTTCTTCCTATAGCTTCCAGATAAAAGTCTTGGAAGAAAGGTATTCTCACCTCAGGGCTCTTACTGCTCCTCGTTCCGTGATCAGATTCGACTTGAGTTCATTAACCTCCAGTCGAAGCTGTTCAGTGAGGGCGTTTAGTTTCTGAATGGTGTCCAGATTCTCCTGGAGCTTCCGTTTGATCCGCTGGGGCGGTGCTGTTGTAGTCACGCCCCCAATTATCACAGGGCGTTCTCTTTCGCGCTCTTTTTCGTGTTTTCCTGCAGACTTTGTGGATCCTGCAGGCAGTACCTTAACATCCTCGAAGGACTGCGTGTCCTTGGGCCGCAGCTTGCCGCGGCAGTGCAATTGGATGCCCTCGATGCGGGTGCGCTTCTCCTGATTCACTGTGTCCCCAACCGATGTCAGTGAGGCGCTCAGGTTCTTCTTGCGCTTCAGTTTGTTTTTGGCTATAACTTGCCATTCTTCAGTATCGCGTTTGCTCGCCTTTTCTCTCTGGAAGCTTTCATTGGACTTGGAGCCAGGATCCGGCCTGTGCTTCAACGTTCCATTGTGTGGCACTAGGATGTGGGCGGTCCTGCTTCCGTCGCATCCCTTGCTAGAGGTCGTTTTTGTTTGGGTATCAGCCATTTTTATGTAACTTTAGTATATAAAAATGTTGCCGTCGTTATATTTGGTTTTTATTTTCCTTATTTTATAAGTTTTTCATATGCGGTGTGGTCCGACCGAAAGTCTCTGCTATACTTCACTAGGTCATCCATGGATTGTCCTCTATCTAAAATAATAAAAATAATAGAAAAGTTTAAAAAAAAAGAAATAAATATAAAGTGTATAGACCAAAGTCCCCCAACAACTCATCAGCAATTAAAACTCATATACAATTAAATAGCAACTTGTTGATGATCTACTTATGTACATCAACTTTAATAGAATTAAATGAGGGGACCAGCTGTACAAGTATATTATTACACATTTTATATGTAGTATTTCCTTGGAAAATTATAGTCATATATTGCAATTAAGTCTCGAAAGTTTTCAGTCAAATCTCCAGACCCTGTTCGCGGGTCCATCTGTGTTTTGTCTATTTTTTAGAAACTTTTCTATCATTATAAGAAATTGGAAGACTCGCGTTGTTTGTTCAGACTACAAGTTACGCAAAAAAAACAACAAATGTTTGTATATTTATGTACATATTTCCCATTTTAGGCTTTTGGCCCTGAAAATTTCAAAAAGCGTCTTTTACCATACCACAGGAGACAAGTGATAAATGTTCTAAAATAATATATGTTCAGTTCATATACACTCCATACTTGTTTAAAACAAAAACATGTAAAAAAGATTTATATCCCATCCAGTCTTCTTCGTGGAAGACCCCTTTGTTGGCGCGATTTTATGGCTTCTGTTTCGCCATTGATTTCTGGGCTCTTCTGTGGCCTGCCACTAGCCAATCAACAAGTATCCCCATCGCACCTATTATTGATTTTCTCGAAAGAGCTTTTACTTTCCGTTCTCCACAATGGAATGGGGAACACATGAATGAAAAAACGCAGAGGTGCCCAGGGATTACGAAATAAACTGGTCCCTATTGGCGGTTCCCAGTGACGTTATAGGGTGCGCCATTGTGGAAACTTTGAGACATGTGTGTATTTTCCGGAACCCGCAGGGGCTCTTTGCACGCAAAAAGCCCGTAATTCAGCAACGTCTTGCCCACCCCTCGCTAAAATAGAGCAGAATTCTTTGCATTGCTCCCACATCCGCTCGAAAGATTATAACAAAGCATCCATATACGTGTACTATATTCTGTGGGGTGCACATTCGAGACCCTCAGTTCATAAAATGCTCCCAGAACGAACTGCCCGATCATCGTTATCAAGGCCGCGATCTACATATATACATATATTGTATATATAGCACAGCAGATGTATGTACTTAGCAACATTCTGCCGCTTTATTGGAATTTGATTTGTTTTTCCAACATGCCGCCCATAAGGTGAGAATGCAATGTGATCTTAAGTGTTCCCTAAACACTAATATTTAAGGCTAAGAGTTGAAAGCTTTAACTCAAATTCATATAAAGGAAAAAAAGAGGTCCCTGGATGCAAAGTATGGTATGTATCATTTAAATTAATTTTATTAAAAGCCTCTGCCCCCAGTCATCTGTTTAATAAAGTGCTTCGCGCCGACACACGACATGGTGACATCACAACCTTGGTGTGACCGGCTTGGCTTGGATGAGTTTTATGCCACTGAAGACACCCACTCAATTTCCATCCAACATTCACATCGGTAAATGAAAGTTTCTTTTTTGCTCTTAAATTATTTATATTTTCTGACATTTCTCATATCGAAATATTGCCAAACGAGACGGATGAGTCGGACAAACGTCGAATGTACAGTTCGGTTTTGCGCCCGCCGACTGATTCATTGAAGATCACGTATACGCACCATTAGCTCTGAAATCCTAGGGCGTATTCGACCAAAGTTTGGCATGCCCCGATGTCAGTACAAACTGTGTATATATTCACTCACTCCTCTTCACTCCGACGATTTTGTAATGTAAACAGTTCATTTACTGCTTGTTTACCACAGTTTCTAGCAGTGTAACTTGTGCAATGACGTAAATACGCTAATATTCTATTATTTTCTTCGCGCACAATGTTAGAAATTTTGTCGGTATGTGGAGCAGTTCTTCGACAATTGATTCACTATATTTTTGGATATATTTTCGTTGATTCGTTTCATAAATCGAATAAATCACCAAGTTCGTCGCACTTTGTTCTTTGTTTCGTAAAAATCACGCAGTTAGTCGAATATAAGTTAAGTTCGGAGGGAGTGATTAAATTAGTTTAAATCAGATTAAATTAATTAAATTATTCTAATAATATTTCGTTTGCTGGGCTAGCAGAGATTCTTTCGTTTCGGCCGGACACCGACTGAATGAAATAATGGCGAAGAAACTAAAGATTGTACTAACACCCCTCTCTTTACCCGATTCGCACCGATTGGGAGAGCTTTCACAAGCTCTTTCATTTGCCTCCATTTCCATTTAATTAAAGAGAGCTTTGCCATTTATTGATGCAGTCCAAGCATTCGCCTGTGTTAGTATTTCGAGAGGGGGTGGCAAAACTTCACCCGCTGTGCGTGCCAGAAGAACGGCTGACCGAGAAGCCGGAAGCGTCATTCTATTAGCAGCGGTCTTCTGTTTCTCCTATTCATAACAAAAACACAATTTCCTCACAAAGTACATATGTACTTATTAATATGGAAAATGTTGCGCCATTTCAAGTAATAGGACTGTAGAAATATTTTTATTTCGAAAGGATAATGCGCCCTTTGACTTTGTTACATTAATCAGTTTTAAAAATAGAGTTTTCGAAACCCCAAAGTTATTGTGTTGCTTAAATGAAAATAACTTATTTAGAGTTTTATTTACTTTATTCTGTTACTCAAAATATTATTCACTAATTTATTTATGGAAAACCATCAAAAAAAGATAAAAATGAACCCCAATTTGTACAACTTTCAACATCAGGTTAGACATGAATGATGGACACAATTAGAACATGCTCAGATTTCATTCCATCGCATACGTTTATAGCTCAAATTTACACATTAACTTACTCATTATTTAGTTTTATCGTTGTCGGGTTAAATCCCAATCCTGTTCAGTTTCGTAATCACTCCACGGTGTTCGAACGCATTCGCATTTTATGTGATCTGATGTCGTCGATTGGAGGAGCCTTGAGCAACTAAATTCCAATTCCACATGGCCGAATTAGATTTAACTGTCTGTTTCCCTTTCAACCCAATTATATTTTGGGTTGTTTTCAAAAACTCATTTTTTATCGTTGCTCGGGTGCAACTCACTCAAGTTGAGCGGTCGAAACAAACTGAAGATGCGGTGCACATTCTAAAATGGAATAAGCGACGTGCGTGCGTGCATGTAAGAGTCGTGGATCGCCAAATTTATATAAATAGAAATAATCACAAATCTATATTTGAAGTTAGAAGAATTTTCAAATCACGCTTTACGTTTAACAGTAACGTCAAACTATCGGGCCATTTATCGATAGATTACGTTATTTCAATTTTACTTTTCAAAAACAAAACAAAGTTTTAAGTGAATCCAATTAAAGTCATTTCTTCTTCTTCCTGTTCTAAAAAGTGATTTTTTTTAAACAATAACAAGTACATTTAAAATTGAAAACAAAATTAGTGACTAGGAAAATTGGTTCTCATAGTTTTAGTCCCCAGTGTAATTCTTAATGGCAGCCAAAGTGAAAAACTCCATAACGATTTTTTTCAGTTTCAAAATATTCAAAACTGGCGCCATATAACGTTATCTTGTTTTCCCACCTTTTTCCTCAAAAGTCTGGGCATACTAATTAAGCTGAATAAATTTAAATCGATAGTGCCGGCTCCTCCATCGATATCTTTTGACATCACCGACCAAAAACGTGAACTAAAGGCTGCCCTGTCTACTGTCTGCTAGTAAATTGACAGTTTTTATCTTTACCAACGTTGAAAGAGCCCTCCCATCACACAAAAATGGTAAGTTAGGCCGCAAATAACCATTTTAGCCGCACCGCAGCCCGAGACATGGATTCCGTTTCAAGCGGCACGCGAATGTAAACATAACCTGCAAAGAAGCTTCTCGCAAGCCGAAGACATCTGCTGACTAATCGCTGTATTTCGCTGCACTCCTTTGCTCCCTAGCAACCGCAAATCGTGCTCCTGAAGGAAGGCACCGATACGTCCCAGGGCAAGCCGCAACTGGTGTCGAACATCAATGCCTGCCAGTCGATCGTGGACGCGGTTCGGACCACCTTGGGTCCCCGCGGTATGGATAAGCTCATTGTGGACTCGCAAGGCAAGGCCACGATCTCTAACGATGGCGCCACTATCATGAAGCTGTTGGAGATTATCCATCCCGCTGCCAAAACGCTGGTGGACATCGCAAAGTCACAAGATGCAGAGGTAATTGAATGCGACTGCTGACAACTGAAGCACGTGACTACAAAAAGCTTGTTTATTTTAGGTGGGTGATGGAACCACAAGCGTGGTTCTGCTGGCCGGCGAATTCCTAAAGCAGGTCAAGCCTTTCGTGGAGGAGGGCGTTCACCCACGTGTGATAATCAAAGCCATTCGCAAGGCACTCCAGCTCTGCATGGAGAAAATCAGCGAAATCTCTGTGCAGATTGTGAAGCAATCCAAGGAGGAGCAACGCTCTCTGCTGGAGAAATGCGCCGCCACCGCGATGTCTTCCAAGCTGATCCACCAGCAGAAGGACTTTTTCTCAAAGATCGTTGTGGATGCCGTTCTGTCCTTGGATGAGCTGTTGCCGCTTAACATGATTGGCATCAAGAAAGTTACTGGCGGATCCCTTGAGGAGTCCCAGTTGATTTCTGGTGTGGCTTTCAAGAAGACCTTCTCCTATGCCGGTTTCGAGATGGCACCGAAGTCGTACGACAAGTGCAAGATCGCCCTTCTTAACATTGAGCTGGAGTTGAAGGCAGAGCGAGACAACGCCGAGATCCGCGTAGACAACGTTAAGGAGTACCAGAAGGTCGTCGATGCCGAGTGGCAGATTCTGTACAACAAGCTGGCCAAGATCCACGAGTCTGGCGCCAACGTAGTACTCTCAAAGCTCCCCATTGGCGATGTGGCCACACAGTATTTCGCCGACCGTGACATTTTCTGTGCGGGCCGTGTTCCTGAGGAGGATCTCAAACGTACAATGAAGGCTTGCGGCGGCGCCGTCATGACCACCGCCAATGACATCAACGCCAAGGTGCTTGGCCTTTGCGAGCATTTCGAGGAGCGCCAGGTGGGCGGAGAACGCTTCAACTTGTTCCAAGGTATTATTTTCAAGCTTATTTTGAAGTTGAAACCACAAACCCAACATTATTTTTTTTTTAAACAGGATGCCCGAACGCCAAGACAAGCACTCTGATTCTGCGTGGTGGCGCCGAGCAGTTTTTGGAGGAGACGGAGCGCTCCCTGCACGATGCTATCATGATTGTCCGTCGCACCATCAAACACGATTCCGTAGTTGCTGGAGGCGGTGCCATTGAAATGGAGCTGTCGAAACTCCTGCGCGACTACTCGCGCACCATCGCTGGCAAGGAGCAGCTGCTGATTGCCGCCATCGCAAAGGGCTTGGAGGTTATTCCACGCCAGCTGTGCGACAACGCCGGCTTTGATGCCACCAACATTCTCAACAAGCTGCGCCAGAAACATGCCCAGGGTGAGTAATCAAATCTTTTCATACAACTTGTAGCTTTCAGTCTTCATGACTCACTTTTATTATATATCCAATGGGAGCATTCTATATAATAGGAACATAATGTGTGGTTTCAGTGTAAAGATTTCAGTTAGTCCAATAAGAATTCCCTAGGATTGTTGAGACCTTCTGGGAAAGCATAAAGAAAACGAATCAAGTCTCAAAATTCTAAGTTAAAACCAATTGAATCATTAGATCACTTTTATTTCTCACTTCTTTAGTTGGTCATGCCATAGACGGAAGCAAGGTTCTTGGCAAAGACCAGGCTTGTCCGGGCAAGAGTTGCACATAAACTTGCTGAACTGCAGCATTCCGCCTTTGTGGCAATTACGACAGTTTTTCTTCGCCGGTTTTCCATTGTGCTGAATGAGTACGGCTTCGTGGCGGATGCTCGGGGGCGTTACTGGCTTCTTTTCCTTTACTTTCTCTATTGGTTCCTCCAGTTTTCGAGGGCTGATTGCGACGGGCTCTGCAACCTGCTCCTCCCGCAACAGGGACTTTATTATGACCATACGGAACTCTGCATAGCTCTTGAGGCGTCCTCCCCTTGCGTTTTGAGCATTGGCCATGTATAGCAGATGAGCGTTGTAGACTAGGACGTTTATGAGGAAGATGGCCAGCTTTTTGTCCGTGGGAAGTTCGTGGCAACCTGGCTGGTATTGGATGAGTTGCTGTCGACTCAGGTTGCCCGCTTTCAGCTGCCAATCAAGTTCCTGAATCAGCTTGGGCCTTGCGTTGGTCTTCTGCATTGACATTTCCTTGGCATATATTGCCAAGCAGTCGGAACTGAAAAAGTAGAGGCTCTTTTCCCTCCGCCGCCATTTCCCCATCATCAGAGGCGAGGCATAACTGGTGATGATGCGATTAGGCTCCAGTTGCTGGTGCACCAGGGCCTTGCTGTTGCCGTACCTATTCCTGTCCAGCAGCCCAGTGCAGTAGGTCTCTTGCTTGGCCAACTCGTGGGCCAAACCATAGCTGCCATAGAACTTCGATGCATACACAGTGCGTCCGCTTTGGTGATCTCCCATTAACTTCAGGGCCACGCCGATTCTGTGCTGCACCAATTGCCGGGAATTCCGTATCCATGCAGCAGAGTCTTCGCGCCGCACAATTTCTGGCAAGAGCTTCACCACCAGACCACTTTGTTCCGTCAGCATGTGGAGAACCATGGAGTTGCAACGGAACCGGCAAGGCAGATCCTCCAGGTAGCTGAATGTTCCTTTCCAAAGTACCACTGGGTCGTTCAGCACCAACTGTTGGCCACACACGTACAACTCATCCATCCGCTCGTTTATAAAATTCAGGAGGGGAATGGCGTCTTTTTCTTTGCTGTTATCATTAGGCAAACAATCGAAATTGAGCCACTGCAGCAACTTATGATATCGGTCTTCGCCCAATTTATCGGAGAAACCAGCAAAGCCCAAAAACGTGTTATTTTTCCAGTAGTCCGCTAGATCATGGAGCTTTAAATCGCTCATCAGGAGAGAAAGGCCTACAAAGGATTCCATTTCTTCGGCACTGGTGGACGCTGTTCCAGCACGAAGGTTTACACCTTGAGCCAGAGCAGCAAAGAACTTGGAGCGGTTTCCCACGAGTAGATTGAAGTACTGCTGGGGGCATTGAAAGCGTTTTGCTCCCTTCAAGCCAGTTTGCTGCAAGGGAGTATGAAACTTGAAGAGTAGCCTTGTGCTCGACTGCTGGGAGGTCCACTCAGGGTCGAACTCATCCGGCTCATCTATTTTTCAAGAAGTTACGTAAGTGGCGGACACTACATTTATGGGAGGTGATGGACTTACCCTGACAAAAGACATCTGACGATTGGTAGTTCAGTTCCGAATAGCCGTCTTCGTCAGAGTCGCTCTCCTGGCGGTTCAAGTCGCTGAGATTGGGATTGACGGCCGTACGCTGCTCGGTTGCCAGTTGGAGGTGCAACTCCGTGAGGTCCGGCTTGATGTCTGCAGTGCTCAGGTCGTAGTCCGCCAGTGCCGGGTACGAGTCTAAGGGCTCCTTTTTGATGTCGACGCTGCGACGCTTCACCGGCGATCGGTGATCGTCCTGCCGCGGCTTCAACTGTTGTTTGCGCTTTCTCCCTGAGCTGGACATCCTTTATTTTCAATTATTTTTGTTATAAGCTATAAAATCAGAGGAACGTAAAGAAAATGCAGCGCGTGTTTTTCGGCTCACTCTCTCTCTCTCGCTCGGCACAGAGTGCTGTAGTGTGTGCTCTTTTGCACAGCAGAAAAAAGTCGTTTCGCGGGCTGTTGGTAGTGTTGCCACATTGTCATGAATTTAGCGGTTACAAATTGTTTTTTAAATATTTTGGACATTTAAAAAACTTTATTTTTAAACCTTTTCTTATCTTCTTTTAACAGGTGGCCAGTGGTTTGGTGTGGACATAACCAAGGAAGACATTTCGGACAACTTTGAGCAGTGCGTGTGGGAACCATCGATCATTAAGATCAATGCCTTAACAGCTGCCGCCGAGGCAGCCTGCATGGTTCTGTCCGTCGACGAGACAATAAAGAGCCCGAAGGCCGGCGAACCTCCTATGGCTGGCGGTGGGCCCATGGGAATGGGCCGCGGCATGGGCAGGCCCATGTAAAACTCATCCAGAACTTCAGAAAGCACACTAATCATCTACTCACTTGCATTTCTATCCTAATTTAACACGAACACGTATTAGTCGGTCATACTTTCGCATTTTCGAAACGCACTACAGAACAACAGAAAAAATAATACACTGACCTATCTGTATATGTTTAATAATAAACAAAAAAATTTAAAAGATTTGTATAACAATTCAAAATTTGTTTTAATTGCAACATGGTGGCAGCTCCATCACGGTGCTGTTATTTGGCTGTCCAAAATCCGCGTGCTGTTAAGCGCACCTCCGAATTATTTCCATCCATCACGTAAATAAACAACTTAAGATGGGAAATCACAAGGTTCTGAGAACCGCGGGACACAATAATCGGTACTCCATGTACGAATTCATCGAGGCGGTCCACAAGCGTTCCATTATCTGGGAGCGTCGTCACCCTAACTTTCACAATCGGGAACTGAGGGATCTAGCCTGGCAGGAAATTGGCCAGGAGCTGTGCAATGAATTCGAGGAGGCCAGCGAACCAGAGAAGCAGGAAATCGGTATGTTTTGTCGAAGCTTTTTGTATATATCCACAATAAAGTTGTAAATCAGTTAGGACCTTGCTGAAACGTTGGAAAAACACACGGGATAGCTACTTGCGTGTAAACCGGCTGCGCCAAAGTGGCGAAGAAGTGGCCAGAGCTTCCTACATATACGAGAAGGAGCTTAGCTTTCTGTTGGGCGTTAAAGCAGAGACTGATGAGGACGAGGAACCTATAAAAGAGGAGCCCAATGTGCCTGTGAAGCGAAGGCGCCTACCGGCTAGTCAAAGATCACTCAAGAAGCGAAGACGTTCTTCTGGCCAAGAAACGGACCAAGAGCCCTCTTCCCCACAGACCGAAAACCTGAACTTGCTTTTGGACGATATACCGCCTGTCTTCTCTGAAAACGGGACACCACCAGGTGACCCAAATATCAATACATCCTCCACTTCCTCCTGTGCACCCACTTCAACTTCAACTTCCTTCTCTGATCCCGATCAGGCCTTCTTTGACAGCATCAAGCCTCACATGAAGCGGATGTGTGCTGATCGCAAGCTCGACTTTCAAATCGAAGTGCTCAAGATACTCCGTAACTTCAAACCCAATTAAACATAGATTTAAAAAAAAGAAACTTGTATTATTGTGATGGCAACTGGGTTAGCGATGACCATCCTAATCGTTATCGAATCGGATGACAATTGGGAAAGATATAGCCATCACTGTGGGCCTTATAGAAGAAAACCCCATTTTCAAGGGATCCCATCACAAAAAACGGACAAAAAATCTAAAAACTATTTTGTCTTAGGATTTTAATTTAGAATGGTGAAAAATCGATCCAGAAATCGTTTAAGGTACTCCGCTCGAGAATCGGATGAGAATTGGGGAAGATATAGCCATCACTGTGTACCCTAAAGGGGAAAACACCATTTTCAACGGATCCCTTTATGAAAAATGGAAAAAATAATCTGAAAAATATTTTGTCTCAGGATTTTGATTCAGAATGGTGAAGAATCGATCCAGAAATCGTTTAAGATACTCCGCTTGGGAATCGGATGAGAATTGCGGAAGATATAGCCTTCACTGTGGGCCATATAAGGAAAATATATATATAAGGTACTCCGTTCGAGAATTGGATAAAAATTAATTGGATAATTTCCCCATTTAGGGGAAAACCCATTTTCAAGGGATACCATCACGCAAAATGGACAAAAAATCTAAAAAATATATTGTCTTAGGAAGGGACGGACGCAGAAATTAGCTTATTAGCTTATATTACCATTTAATAGCTTATTGGAAAAACGATGCAAAAAGTTTTCAATGTTCATATTACTGTTTACAATCCCAAAAAAAAGCAAATATCAATACTCCAAATATATACAATTTGCAGTACTTGTGTACTATTGAGTTCTTGTAATTGTGTAGACTATACAATCTTTTTAAAAAAAAAAAACCTTTCAAGTTTTTATATCTAAAATATATTTCTTAATACAAAATATGTTTATTTTAAAATCTCAAGTGTTAGAACTCATATAGAAGACCCTTTAAAAAAAATATATGTACATATGTAGTGTTAATAAATATAATGCTTATGATACCTAACCAATCGTATACACATTTATATAAGGAAATAGGACATTTTTTATGCGGTACCCTATGTGGTACATGTGGTTCCCATACCTATCCCAGGCAGAGATATTTTAGTATAAACATAAACTGTCAAAATGGTAAATAAGCCGTTGGATGTTCGTTGCGACGGCCCGAAGCTGTTTGACCAGTTTTTATTAATCAAAAAAATAGTTAAACCTGTATTCATATAGCTTGTCTCTTTTGTGGCAATCGACTTTCCATTATGTATACAGATTTCTACATGGCTTTTGTCCTATACAAAGACCCACATTTATGTATTGAGTATTTATAACTCGACACTCGAAACCCGAGGCACCCCTAAAAAAAATCACCGAAGACCGTTACGAAATTGTTAAGGGTAACTAAGTAATTCATATAAGGTTTCGCCTTACATGAGCTCCACGCAGCTCGAGGTTCCTGAGAGCCTCGAGGGGGGTACAAAACGTTACCCTCGAAAGGACGCCCCACCCTATTGTCAAGCATATGGTGTTCGTCTGTATTTTCCAAAGTCGGCACTTTATTTCCCACTTTACAGCATGTGAACCGCTCAACAGTGGTTGGTTTCGAGCTAACAAATTTCGGTCCTGCGATCGAGGCCCTGCCCTGCACGCTCACATTAGCAACGGATCCGGCAGCTGTTGTTCGGCACTTAAATGATCCCCTATATTTTTCGATCCCTACTACCTGCATCTGCTCAATGAATGTTTCTGGCTATACAATACACTTAAAAAAATTGTACACTAAGAGACGAGTTCCTCTGAACCAATTTTGTTTTCTTAGGCTATTTATTTATCTTTGATTTTAGTAAACATCTAATTATACGCTTAACAATTGGTATTTTATTTTTGTCCCTGTGTATTTAAACTCCTCTTGGTTTGGCTTTTCCTTCCCCAGCCCTCCCCTGTGCCCTGTACCTGTTATCGTTATATACGTTCTTGTTTTATTAGAACTGTATAATAGACAGGATGTTCCTTTGATGGGTTTTTCTGTTTAGGAGTCCCGCTGCCTTTGGATGGTGCAGCAAAAGTCTTTGTCCTCAGGACTCTACCCTAATTCTATTCCTAAAGTGCATCCTAAGCGTGCTGTAGATCTTCTTTCTTTAAATCTCAGGTTGAGTTCTCCAAGATAACCACCTGTGAGTTTTGGTATCTCTGCCAAGCGGTCTCCGCCCTATCCAGTAACTCTCCAATTTCCTGCCGTTTGCTTGGGATATCGTATTTTTCCAGAACCAGTTTAAAGAGTACGTACTCCAAGCTGCGAGCTCCGCCGAAATTAGAGGGGTCGCGCAGGGTGTCTATAAGGCTGACAAACTTCCTTAGAAGCTCTACCAGCTCCCCAAAGTTGGTCAAATTCTCGAGACTGGCATCCACCGCGTTGACATATCGCAGACTCAGCTTTAGTGTCCTGGCCAAATAGTTGCTTCTACCAGCCAAGGGGGAAAGTTCTGCATTCAATTGCTGGACAATGCTCCTCGTTTCCAGAACCTTGTGCAGGGTGACGTCGTTATATTGGTCCTGATCCGACCACTGTCCAATTGGCGAGGCAGTCGTTGCTTCATAGTCCACCACGGATATCTCATTGTTTTCCACCAGAATGGTCTTATCGATCACCTCGCTCGAGTTGATTGGCTGCTTGACATGGAAATCCAAAGTGAAGTGAAACGTCACGTTGCCCTGTGAGGTACAGATAGTTAGTTGAGAAGCCTCTAATATTTCTTTTCTAAAACCCTGCCTGGACCAGCGAGAAAGTGCTCAGGATAATAAGAGCACTGGCAGTCAGTGCTGCGATGCAAAAAGACATCTCGACGAGGGACTATTATACGATTGACTGATTCCAGGCCAAAAAACTCCTGATCAGACCACATAATCTCAGCTCGGGAGGCTTATCGATCGACGTGGGGTTATCATAACTATTGGGTCTGAGGTGGCAGCTCGGCAGATTCATTCATTGACAGAATTTTCTGTCCAGGCCAAGAATGCGGGGAGCGAGGAGACAGACGATGTGTCACGTGGTGCCTGGGATTAGAAATACACTGAGACGAGTGACTATTGAAGTTTAAACTTAATTTTTGTAAGAATATGTAACAAATGGAATTTACACGTCGTTATGGCTAAAACTGTTTAAATTTAAAGGTGGAATATGTAATTTTTTTAAGAGGTTATACCAAATGGTTATACTATCTTTTGGAGTTAAAACCTCTACATCTAAACTTTATATTATAAAGCATCTTTTTTGTCTAAAACCTCTCAAAACAAATGGTATTTCATAGAGTTTGGAAATGCTGGATAAAAAAAACGTATAAAAAACGTGGATCCATAAACAGAAATGTAAAACCCGCATGCTTTTTATTTCGGCCCTATGAATCATCCACTTTTTTGGGAATCGAGTAATTCGTTTGATGAAACTTCCGTTGTGAACATTGATGAAATACTTCATTGGCTGCATCTGCTCGATTTCTGGGCTTATCAGGCATTTGAAGTAACAACAACCGCAATCGCTATTTTCTGTTTACGCGTGCAATAATAATTATAATCATACACACTTATACATAGAGACCACTATAGCGATAAGGTGCGAATGTTATCGGCATATGTACAAACATACATACATATTGTATGTCTGTAGGAATGAAAGTACTTTTGTGTCGACGAGTATGTGCCTTAATTTAGAAAATAATATCAAACCAAAGCAGGGCAGCCAGGGCGATAGGTTCAGTGGAAGAACGACATATCAAAAAAAATACAAACGTTCACACAAATGTGCGAATAACAGCCCGGGGAATCAATGGAAGAAATTGCGCAGCGAAAATAAATTATTCCATAGCTTGAAAAATAACAAAAACAAAAAAGAAGAAGAAAATAAAAAAACATTGGCACACACTCACATGATTCGCCCATACAGACATATTCAGATTTAAATTCAAATTCAGGGTATATAGACTTTATTCAGAAGTATGCTAAGCACCTAGGAAAAGTATCTGAAAGGGTATGACAATTTTCGTATAACTCTGGACTTACTTTTCTTTACATTTTATATTTATTTTTTGTTTTTGGCAAATATGCGTTCATACGTACTTACATACATATGTACATACATATGTTTATAAAGAAAATTAAGAAAATATATTCTCAGGGGGGGTGGACGGATGAAGTGGTTGGGTGATGATACGGGGGATACGAGGCCAAGGGGTCGTTGGAGACCAACGCACAAAGCTTGTAAATACACACAAACGAGGCCGTCGTCGGTGAGCTCCCTCGTTTCTGGCCAACAACTTTGTGTGAGTGCACGCGTGTGGCGGCTACGTGTGTGTATCTTACAGATACCATTTGCGTAGAAACATCGCATCCAACCAGTCCCACTGTGAGATCGGTTCACGCATACGGCTTGTTTTGGGCCAGCTCGTTTTGACACCCTGGAACAAAAAAAGTTAAAGGAGGTTTTTGGGTTTTATTAAAAAAATATATAAAGTATATATTATAAGAAAATAGATCTGTTATTAAAAAAAATGATCATTTTATTAAAGTTTAGGCTGAGTAAAATAAAATATATTTTTTTGTTAATTAAAGGGTAGACATAAGTTCATCCAGCTACTTTTTGTCTACTTAGAAAAAGAAAGATAAAAAATAATGTTTTTTTGCCAAACCACCTCCTACCCCTCGAGACTGGTACTATCGCAATTAGTTGAAGCAGACCGCCATAAAAATAAAAAAAAGTAGCAACAGCAACAGAAATAAAAACAAAGTTGTTTACGCTTTTGATTTGACTTGAGTTTAAGTGTATGTATGTACTATGAATTTATGTACATATGTACTATGCATGTGGTCATGTTTGTACGTCTTTATCAGAAGAGGGTGGTCTGAAATCATTGAAAATGAAAAACAGAAAGGGGAAAAATAAAAGACTGCTGTCTCAACATAAAATGAAAGCAACGGGGAAAGCTATTTCAATGTACAAATATGGTCAGCCCACACACTTATATTCCTGTATTCAGAGTACTTCTTTTTTTTGTGTTTAATCGAAGATACATACATAAGTACAACAAAGATACATATTATATATGTATGTATCTACATGAATATGTATGAAGATACAATGTACAAACATACTTAAGACGTAGCCAAGCGGTAAACAACGACACCGAATTCAAAACCGAAACCCATTGCCAACTTTGTGAGTCGTCCACAAATCCAGTTTTCTTTTGCGACATCGTTTATAAAGAAACCCAAACGAGATTGGTAAAAAACAAACAGACCTACAATGCACTAGAACACATACAGAAATTATAAAACTGAATTTTTGTTTTAATTTTTATAAAACGACTTAGTCATATTTTAGAATATTTCTTTATTTTTTTCAAATATAAATATTTTAAACTTTTTTAGAGGAATTTCTCTCTGTGCCTCGACTGGCACGATCAGAGGTGAAGCGAGGCACGTATACCACAAGCCATTTGGTTCGAGCAACCTCTAGAGAAATCCACCTAGATAATACTAGTTTGCACAGCCAGTGAGTGAGTCATGCTATTTTTTCCCACTTACCTGTAAACTAATCCAAGCCACTTACTTTTCCTTTGGTCTTTTGGGATCCATGCTAGGAGTTTTAAGAACCAGTTATATCTTGTCCAGGAGTAGTCCTTTATTGCGTTTCGGGATTTTCCATTGAAGATAATAGCTTCTCTAGTTACTTTCCATTGTTGTAGGTCCGGCAGGTCCATTGAGAAGACCCCTTATAGGTGGTCCATTGAAAATACCCAATCTCTTTGTTCATTTCTTAGGGGATTTGGGGAGGATGGATGGGATGGGTTGGGTTTTGGTTTTGGAGGTGTTGAAGGGCTTTTCTGGGTTCTGTGGTGGGGATCTATTATTTAGGATTTCTTCAGTTTTAACTTGACTGTATGCTTTCAGAGCTCTTAGTATAACTATTTCTGTCTTTTCATAGTTCATACATATATATTTCGTAATTACATTTATAAAGTTATCTATTATGTGTATTGTTTTAATAAAACCTTTAATCTCTTATCGTTATCATGCTGACTGGTTGCAAAGGAATCTATCAAATTCTTTAATGTTGCATATATTTTTTTATATAACTCACAATCGGATATTTATTTAAGAATTCTTGCCACATTCATTTATACAGATGTTTACTAACATAGAAGTGTTGTTTTCTCAGAAATGAAATAGAGTTTATTGTTACCCTCGAGAGGGTATTCTAATATTGGGGCTTGTGGGATTGCTTATGATTTTATTGTATCTTGTAGTTTGTGTGAAAGCATTCCATAGTTTCTTCGGCATTTATACTTATTTTTAAAACCATTTGCCTGTTTCGAACTAGGGTTATTTTGTTTAGATACCCTTGCAGGAAGGATTATTTAATTTAGAAATCTTTGAACACAATGAAGAATATATATGCTGAGTTAGGGATCTCCTATCGATCGGATAACTTCACATACCATTTCGCTTTTTAAAAATATATCCTTAAGACCCATTTAGCCTCCTTGGGGGAATACCTGCAAGAGTATTTACGCATCGGCTTTTCTCAAAGCTAGCCTTCAGTTTTCAGTTCATGTCTGTTTTAAATTTCTGGCCTAGAAATCGTACTGAAAAAATAGAGCCTGAAACATGTTGCCCATGTGTTTCGATTTCTGAAATGTGCTTGCCTAGGCGTAAGATAATATAGTGTTGTTATGGCAATTAGATTCAGATTCTTATGGAAAATAAAAACACAAATTTGTTGTTTTTGTTAATTATACAAGGCTTTAATAAATCACTTTACGAAAGCCGTGTACAATTGTTTATTTTTTCTATTGCTTTGTGGTTGGTTGAGGGATTTCTTTTGTTTTTTCTTTTCTTTCAAATGTTACAAGTTGACTTGGATTTTTAACACAATACCAATATTGCTTAGTGTTTTGTTTGTATCTGATTTTATTTTCACAATCGTTTCTATAAATACAGTATTGATTAGCAATTTTTCTCTTCATAATCGTACTCATCCTAATGGTCCATAGACGGCAATTGTGTGTGTGGGGTAATTGTAATTTATTTTAACTTTTTCTTCAGTTTTGTATATATTCCAGGTTTAAAAATATAGCAAAGTATCACAAAAAATTGCAAATTAAATTGTAAATTAGATCAATGGGAAATTAATAAAAATATTTAGTGCTTGGCTGCTTACTTTTTCTCTTATTTTCTTCTTTTTTTTAAAACGACGAATCTTTTGGCTTAAACAATAAAAGGGTAAAATTAATATTCGAACTCCAATATAGTAGTTGTCGAATCGTCGTCGTTGCGCTTTAAATTAAAATGAATTTCTTTCAAGGGACTGCAGCCTCCAACAGTTGCCTTGGAGGGCGGCACAAACGCATTGAACTCGGGTCGAGAGCCTCGTGTGATCTTGGCCGGGCTCGATAACTTTAAAATGGAAATTAATTTGTACTGATTGGTGTTGAAAAAGTCGGCGGTTCAAGGCGCATGTGCACGCAGTTCAAGGCAGAGCTGTGGCAGCTACTTGGCCCGGTTTTGGTCTGTTTTTAGGCTTTCATATTTTTCCTTTTTTTTCATAGAATTAGAATTAGGCTTTTGTATATGTTCTTCTCTTCAATGAAATCTAAGCGCTTCTCCTCTCACTTTCGGCTTAAATTTAATTCCAGTAAGTAACAAACGTTAGGCTTACACTTAAAAAAAAATGCAAAATTCTGCGCGACAGGTTTTAGAGTTCTTCTTTCTGGTTTGTATGGAGTTGGGGGGAAGGGGTAAATGTAGCTAGGGGCTGTTCCGGAGCACTGCTCGGGTCACCTTCGCCATATACAATACTCTAAGTAGTGGGAAGGTAGATGTATGGAGTGGGGGGTGATGGGGTGATTGTGTGTATGTATGTATGTAACTTGAAGATACAAGCTTTAAAGCTACCAATATATGACAAATTGTTCAGTATACCTAAACGGTGCTTGACTTTTTGGCTTTTCAACATTTTTCTTTTTAAAACTATTATTATCGAGAGCTCTGTGGTAGTTGGCTCTCTATATGATTCTGTATCATATCTTAGCTCTTTCAGGAAGTTAAACAATATGCGCAAACAAAACTCAAGTGTGCTTATTTCTGGGCTTTTCCACTATTATTAAGGTAATGGGAGTTCTTTTTAATTTTGTTTTCTTTTTTGGCTCATCACATTTAGGACAATTCACTTAACAAAAAAAAACACATAAAAACTCACACGCTGCCCTGTTCTCTCTCTCTCTATCTCTCGCTCTCATTCTACGTAAAAGACAATTAACTTTGGATCTCTGGGGGGGGGGATTATGGATGGGAGGGGGATGCTTAAATAATTTACATACATATCAATGTTAACAATTAATAAGTAATGCTAATAATGAAAATAAGGTACTGGGTTCAAGTGTTTCAGTATTGAGCATCAACGAATAGTTCTCAAAGTAGTTCATTTTCATTCTCTATTCTAGCGATATTCTATCACTCTCTACAACTTTCATTCGCTTTGGAATTGAAACTTGAATATTTTTTAAGCGCAAGATAAAAAATATTTTTCATGGAAATACAAATAAAATCTTGCTTGCTTGTCTCATTCAAAATCGCTATTACACATTCTTAATTGCAAGTATTGATGTTACACTTTCGTTCTTATGCTTACATTTTTGTATTTTAATCGATTTATCATTTAACGCTTTTATATAAAATTTTATTTGAACATTTAAGCATTGTTCCCTTCTATATTTACAATTCAAGAATGTTTAAATTAGAATTTGTTAAAGCCTTTCACAATTAAAGTTTAAGAATAATTATTAAAGTAAGCCTGATTGGGGCATAGCTCAATATTTTTTAGTTTTTTTTGGACAATTGGTACTTGGTAACTTTTCTTTCGTTTTTCTCGACTTTTAACTAAAAATAATGGAAGTATCTAGGCAGGTCAAATTGCAATACGTGAATTTATATCTTAAGGTAGAGGAGAGGTCGTGGTGGTGCTGCTGCTGCTGCTCTGCTGCGTCGCCTTTGGCTGCTCTGCTGCTGCGGCGTCTTCTGCAACTGCGGCTACGTTGAGTTTTCGTCGTTTTTTTTTTTTTGTTGTTAGAATTAGTCTTTGTGATTTGGTGGGTATACGATTTTATATTATTATTATTATATCTTCTTTTAGATATATATTATCGTGTCTCTCTGTTAAGTCAGCATTCTAATTTATTACAATTTTTAGTTTTGTTTGTGTGTTTAGATTTAAGGTACGTTGCACATTTTGTCCGCTTTTAGGGGGATAAACATAAACTGTACTTTATGCTGCGCTTCTAGCGTCCATTTTTTTTGAATTACTCATAAATATGATTATACTTTTAATTTTACTTATTAGTTAATTTTCAAGTCTATTTGCGTATCACGTTTAAAACAATGTTCAGTTGTGAAGTATCCGTTGTTAGACATACAAAGTTTATCTTCCCTTTCATTTAATTCTCATTCTCATCACTCCTTTTTTTTTGTTTTTTTAGCCAGGCGTCGATTGATTGTTTTTTTTTACGGTTTTTGGTTCCGATTTCCGACCGATTTCGGTTTTAAGTTTCAGTTTGTCGTCGATTGGCTTTTGGTTTTTTTAAAGTTTGCATATTGAAGTTGGCAAAGGGGTGGTTGCTGAGGATAGTGTTCTGTTCTGTTTTGTTTGGATCTGTTTCTGTTTAGCGGGGAATTTTGCATTTTTTATTGTTTATTTGTTGTCTTCTCGTTGTTTATTGTTGTTGTTGTTGGTTGTTTATCGATTGTGTGAGGATAGTTGTTTGTGTATTTTGTTTTTAGCTTGAAACGGTTTTCTCCTTCTCCCATATAGCTTCTCAAATAGGGGGGTTTCTTGTTTTATGATACACACTTGAGATCACAAACATTACTCTTTTTAGCTTTTTTTTTTTGTGTTTTTTTGTTTAAAAAAGTTCAATTTTTCAGTTGAAATGTTTTCGTTTTTTTTTAAGGTTTTTTCATTTTGCTTTTTTTCTTTTATTTTATTCTTTTTTTTTTTATATTATTTTTATTTTTCTCATATCTTTTATTTTTTGCATCTCGTTGACGGGTTCGGGGTCCTCCGGGGTTCAATCCATTTTTGTCGGTCGGTTGTTTCTCAATCCACTCGCTCCGGTTCCAGTTCCAGATACTGCTGCTGTTGTCAGGACTGTGATCCTCCAGCACCAAGGTTACGACTGCACGTTGAGCAGCAGCTTCAGGTTGTGCGTGTCGAATTCGTCAAGAAGATTGCGCTTCGACGAGCGCACCGGCATCATCAGTGGCATCTGGAACTTGGGCAACGACATCATCGCTCCCAACGGCCTCGTCTGCTTCTCCTCCGACTTGGACAGGGTCCAGTGCTGGGGTGGCTTGGGCAGCGCCGTAGGTGCCGGGGCGTCGAAACATTTGCTGCCCGCGAAATGCGTCAGTGCGGTGGGTATGAGTGGGTGCTGCTGCTGCATGTTCTGGGGCGAAACCTTTCCACCCAGTGGCGGGCTCTTGCGCTGCTTCCGAGCCGATCCCCCAGCGGTAGCCACCATCGTTGGCGAGAAACCTCCGCCCAGAATGGTGGCTGGCGACTGGCGCACTGCAATGGATCCCTGTGGGGACCGTCCTCCTCCAGTTCGCCGATTGTTGTTGGCAAAGAAAAAGGCCCCGCCGCCTCCGGCACCTTGCTGCGGCGACTGGCGCTGCTGCTGGCGGCGCTGCGAACCGGCGGACTGCGACTGTGATTGCCTGGGCCGCTGTTGTTGGTTGTTCGGCGTCGACAGGCCGGACAGGATGGGGGTGCAGTTAGTGGGCGAGGAGCTCAGCAAATTGGAGTTGTTGGGAGTTATGTTTGTACTGCTGGCAATACTGTTGGAATGTGCAGTTACCAAGGGCGTGACTGGCGAGGATGCAGATACGGATGTTGGGGATGGGGATGATGCTACCGAGGGAGATGCCGCAGCGGATGCTGCTCCCTTTTTCAATCGTATGGACTTGGTTGCTGCTGCGGTTGTCATTCTGATGTTGTTCCTAACGCTATTGTGCGAGTATGTCATAGTAATTTCGTCGTCGTCTCTCTCACTCCTCTTCTATTAAAATTTCTGCTGTTTTGCCTTTTTTTTAATCTTTGTTTTGTTTTTGGTTGCTTCGCTAAATTAATGCTTAACGTTAAATATCACACGCACTTAAATCAATTTTTTTTATAAATCGAAACCAAACTCGGTGTCTGCTGCTGCTGCTGCTATCGCTTGGATTGATTCTGTCGCTCGTTTTTCTTCTTCTTCTTCTTTGGTTCTTATCGCTTAAGATGCTCTTCTTCTTCTTCTTCGATCATCCACAAAATCCAAAATTGAAAAAATGGGCGAGCAAGGGCGACACGACGGGCAGGCACGCACGTAGGCTCGGGCTCTGGGTCCGGTTTGGGTCTCGCTTCTTATGTACAGCTGCTGTTTACTTTTATATAGTTAAACTTGTAACGTATGTATTGTTTATCAGTCTGTTGATTTATCTCTTTCTCTGGTTAAGCTATCCTTAGCTCTAATTTTGCAAATTCTCGTAGCTGCTGCTGTCGCATTTAAAGCCGTGCTGATCCTGTATCGAGAGGAGAATAAGAGAAAATATTTAAAAATACAGAATAAAGCCATGTTGCAGGTAGAAAATAGGGGACAAGCTAACAGGATAGTTACGGATTTACAGTTACGTTAGGTCCTCCCCCTTTCTTACGAAGAGGGAGTGTATGTATAACAGGGTAAAAGAAACCCCGAAAGGGGATGGCTTGTACTATAAGACTTGTACGATTTCCAGGTAGCAACAACCTGTAACAAATGTAACCAGCAAGAAAATATCAGCCGTACGTATGCGAACGTTCTTATTCTGTGCTATTTACGTCAACAAAAGGTATTTGTTTGGCTACGTACATACATACAAATGTAAGTATGTATGATCTGAGGACCGGGGACGTCAGAGTCACATACAAACAGACAGACCATAGCGGAATACCTGAATTAATGAATCAACACACATGCATGCATACATACGGCGATATACGTACATACATATATGTATAAACCAACACAATTGCGACTTACTTTTTCGCTGTAGACCTCTGACACGAACGCTCTCTGTAGGCTCTGTGTGTGTGTAGCGCAGTTATCGATTGCTCGGGGATTTTCTCGACACTTTGTTATACAGATTCCGAACGTGCCAAGCGTTATATATATATATATATATATATATATATATTAAGATATATATGTATATACAAAATGTGTTGAGTTTGGGTTAAAAGTTGCCTTGATTTTGTTGATTATTCACTTTAAAAATGTGGCGGAAGTTGATTTTGGTTTTTGTGTTTTGTTGATTTTCTTCAAATTGGATGGGTTTCTGGGTGTTTGTGTGTATGTATGTGTTCGCTGTGTGTATATGTATATGTATTGTAAAATCACTTTCAAAATGGCGACGGGCTGGCTTCGTACTTTTATATATGTATGTAATTCCGCTTAAAGCTTTCTCTCCACTCACAGACAAAGGCTCAAAAAAATCACACTTTTAACTGATTCTGATTCCGATTTAGTTAAACTCTATGTACACCACCGTCTATTGCGCAGCGCTCTGTTTTGTAACTTTTGGCTCTTGTTTTTGCCTAATTCGCTCGCAAGTACCCCGTTTCTTTGTGTGCGGTTAGCTTCACTCGTTGTACTCCGACGCGTATTAAAATATTGAACGTTACACAAATATCTGGTTTTTATCACTTAACTTAAGACATTTACAATATATAATTACATATATATAATATATATATTAAGCAGAAACTTTAATCGATTCTCCCTTTTCTATCTTCTTCGCTCGTTCTTTTTTGCGCCTCGGTACGCGTCTCTCGAAATTCTCACCATGACTGGTCACATCACTGAAGGAAACACCATTTTGTCACCTTCGTTTACAATACCATGTGGAATTTTGAACCATTTGGGGTGGTGGAAATTTCATTACCTGGCCACACTAGCTATTAATATATCGATAGTTGCATTACTTTTCCAACGATAGTTGCCAACTGTCTTACTTTTTCCGTTATAAAGCTAGATCTAGCTATTTTAAACTGAAAAAATCAATAAACTTTTTTGAAATATTAATAGCTACACGTTTCGCTATTCTTCAGACACAACAGAATTTTTTAAATAGATCTATAAGAAAAAGATTAAAAATATATGATTATGCTGCAAAATATGACTATCACATTGTTTGAATATGTTTTGTCTCTATAAATTGTAATGCTTACATTATTTTGTTTTATTAAATATTTAGATTTGTTTCTTCGTTAACTTAAAAGATTAACCAATCTTTGCATATTAAAGCAGACAATTAAACAAAATATCTATAATTGGTGGCAAAAATGTATTCAAAAAATAATCAATCCAATTTTGTACCAATAGATTATAATGCATTTATAATTTCTGACATCCATGACTCGCCTAATATATATTAATTTATATATATGTATGTAGGTATTTTTCCAATCTAAAATGCTTTCAGAAACCCACACTGGGGGCAATAATAAATAAAAGTAAACAAATTTTAATCAAAAGTAATATATACGAAACAAGTATATATTATTGACAAGATTCCCACTTTAAGGTGGACTCTAAAAACAACGAATTAAGCTAATTAAAGGCGTTACGAAATAATCCATTTTTGGATAAGTTCACAAGTATCTTATTTTGATGTCGAATGATTGAGGGAGGGATCTACGCCTTCACAAATTTTAGTTTCCAGGTTGAATCGGGTTCAAAATCGGTTAAATTTTGGGAAATGGATTTGTAAGGACCGTGATGGAGGAAGCCTGAAAAGCGTGTAATGATAACCGCTTCCAACCGGCAGCCCGTGCCACTCAAAACACCGCCTATGCTCAGATTTAGCCTGATCAAACCCATTATATATCCAAATTGCTGCCCGAGCACCATCATCTAGTTGAGCTTCTATTGTCATCCCACAGGGCAGGCACAAACAGTGCACTTTATGTTTACTTGAATGTTTTTTAGTCCCCATCAATTCTTCTTTGTGTGGGTTGAGGTGAGTGATACGATTCCCATCGGATTTGCTGTATGTCTATATATTCATATATCGCCTATATGCTCTCCAGCGCTTCTGAGCTTGTATCTGTGGGAGGTCGTCTATTGTTTATGAGCCTGGCTTCGGGCTATCGTCGTATATAAAGGTGATGAATCTCGTTGTCAAACTCAGTTCACTTCTAAAGCAACGAGGAGCCGGTTTTTGCAAAAGTCGATCAAATATTTTTTATTTGTGATTTCGTGGAAATTTGCTATTCAAAATGCGTTTTGCTCTGTTTGTCTTTCTGGGTAAATACTGGTTTCTTTTTGAATAAATAAAAGGGCATACATTAGAGCCTAGATTATCGCCGCAATATAAACCTGAAGTTCTATTATTTGTGAACTATGCTTTAATGTGGCTTTCTCCATGAACCCATTTACAAGTCTTTAAAAAAAGATTATTAGTTATTAATATTAATGTTTCTTTATCATTTTACCAGCTTTCTGCCTTTTGGCAATAACTGTGGCAATACCCGCCAAGGACAGCAAGAAGCCCGCCGGTAATGCCTGCGTGAAATCCTGTGGGGACGCTTATGATCCCATTTGCGGTAAAGCCAAGAATACCAGCAAGGAGCGCCTGATTACCTTCGGAAGCCCGTGTGTCATGTCCAACTACAACTGCAATCATGCCGAAGAACGTAGGGATTTTCTCCTATATTATCCATTTTAAAATGAACTAACTTTGTATATTTTTTTTTCAGAATTTGAACAAAAATCGAAGGGCGAATGTGGAGGTGGAGTCAGCGTTCTTCTTTCCTAGATACCCAGTTGGACTAAATGATTCTGTGTGCTAGATTACTTCAGTTTATAATGATGCAATAAAATGAACATTTTTATTCCAACGGGAACGTTTTATTTCTCTTTAAGAAGCTTAGATTTGCATAACAGAACATAAAATTGAAACAGCTCTTACAACTAGGACTAAAGGTCCCCTTTCAAACACATTCATACAGATCAGTTCCAGCCTTTAGATAGTATCGAATATTGTTCTATCATATACCCTCGAAGCAATCACGCGACCAATCTGAAATGAATAAAAAATCATCATTCTTTTATCAATAATAGATAGAATGAAAACAATAGATTTTCATCCAATTTTGATTCGAATCACACTACTCACCACTCTCAGATCTATAGCAAACTACGACCTAATGCCAAGTAAATATATAGTATGTATATTGTATTCTGTAGATTACTTATAATTGTGTTTAGTAGTATTCGCACTCGCCGAAGCGCTGCGCTTCTCAATGTTCAAAGATTCCGGTCCACACGCTCAGTTGCCCTGCTTCTTTTGCTGCTTGACCTTGTAGTCGGCTAAGGCGGCTTTGATGGCATCCTCGGCCAACATGGAGCAATGCAGTTTCACAGGGGGCAAGCGCAACTCCTTGGCGATGTCGGTGTTCTTTAATTTTCCAGCCTCGTCAATAGACTTTCCCTTGACCCACTCGGTGGCCAGCGAACTACTGGCGATAGCTGAGCCGCAGCCAAAGGTTTTGAACTTGGCGTCCACAATCTTGCCATTTTCGTCGACCTTGATTTGTAATTTCATCACATCGCCGCAGGCGGGAGCACCCACCAGCCCTGTGCCCACAGTGGCATCCTTCTTGTCCAGAGATCCCACGTTCCTCGGGTTTTCGTAATGTTCAACGACCTGTCAATAAACAGACACTTGTTAGTCACTGATTAAGCCATTGGCGGGTTTATCAGCTACGTGCCCCTTATTTTCTGTTTATCAAAACGAAAACACTTTGTAGTCTATACTAGAGGTTCTAGATATTACGAAAGACCTTGTGCGGCAACAGATAGGGGACTTACATTTTCATGGTACAATGCCACAGGAACGCTCTGGACGCGCTTCAACTGTGATCGCAATAATCGGGATGAGTTACGAACCAAAGACATTTTCAATTTTGTTATTTTTCAAGCAAATAATTAGCCAAGAATTTGTTGTGAAATTCGAATTGAAAGCAAAACACACGGTTTCTGCGTGTTACTGTCGGCGAGATATCAGCTGTTAGTGTAACCGTTTTTCGTGGGCGGTATATTCCTCTTGCTCTTGCCGTAATCACCCTGTTACATTAATGAGTTTTTACAAATTCTTTAATGTTCTTAAGTTTCTTAAAAACTAGTTTAAATTGAATTAAATTACAGAGTACAATTTTTGTAGCAACTTAAAAAGCGGACAAAATCCTAATAGGGAAAAATAGTTTAAGTTAAAGAGTTCTTCCTAATATATCTGGCCACATTGTTAACGCCTTCAATGTGAATGTCAAGTTTTCGTTTGTTTACGTTTTGGATCGTTTTTCATCATGACTTCTGTAAAGCGGTATCGAAGATCCTCCAAGTCCTCCGAGGATGAAGAGCCAGATAACGACGACTATGTGCCTTACGTGCCGGTCAAGGAGAGAAAGAAGCAACACATGATGAAGCTCGGCCGGGTTGTGCAGCTTGCCTCCGAAACGACGCAACCCAAGTCATCGAGCGAGAATGAAAACGACGACGATTCCCAGGGAGCTCACGATGCCGAGACATGGGGCCGGAAATATAAAATAAGCTTGTTGGATCAGCACACGGAGCTGAAGAAAATCGCCGAGGCGAAGAAGCTTAGCGCCGTGGAGAAGCAGCTTCGCGAGGAGGAGAAAATCATGGAAAGCATTGCCCAGCAGAAAGCCCTGATGGGCGTGGCCGAGTTGGCCAAAGGCATACAATACGAGGAGCCCATAAAAACATCCTGGCGACCTCCTCGATACATAGAGGCCATGTCTGAGCAGGAGCGACAAGATATCCGAAAGCAGATGCGAATCCTGGTGGAGGGAGAGAACCCCAGTCCACCTATTTGCAGTTTCCGAGAGATGAAGTTCCCCAAAGGAATTCTTAACGGCCTTGCGGCTAAGGGCATCAAAACGCCCACACCGATCCAGGTCCAAGGACTTCCCACTGTGCTCGCTGGGCGTGATCTCATTGGCATTGCTTTCACGGGTTCGGGAAAAACTTTGGTATTTGTGCTACCTATTGTCATGTTCGCCCTGGAGCAGGAGTACAGCTTGCCCTTCGAACGCAATGAAGGTCCCTACGGCTTGATCATATGCCCGTCGCGGGAGCTGGCGAAGCAGACACACGAAATCATCCAACACTACAGCAAGCATCTGCAGGCGTGCGGCATGCCCGAGGTGCGTTCCTGCTTGGCCATGGGTGGGTTGCCAGTCAGCGAGGCCTTGGACGTCATCTCCCGTGGAGTACACATTGTAGTGGCCACCCCTGGCCGCTTGATGGATATGCTCGACAAGAAAATCCTCACACTAGATATGTGCCGCTACTTGTGCATGGACGAGGCGGATCGGATGATTGACATGGGCTTCGAGGAGGATGTGCGCACCATATTCTCATTTTTCAAAGGGCAGCGACAGACCTTGCTCTTCTCCGCCACGATGCCCAAGAAAATTCAGAACTTTGCTCGATCTGCACTCGTGAAGCCAGTTACAATAAATGTGGGCCGCGCTGGAGCCGCGTCCATGAACGTCACCCAGCAGGTGGAGTACGTTAAGCAAGAGGCAAAGGTGGTCTACCTACTGGACTGTTTACAAAAGACTGCACCACCCGTACTCATCTTTGCGGAAAAGAAACAGGATGTGGACTGCATACACGAGTATTTGCTGCTGAAAGGTGTGGAAGCAGTGGCTATTCATGGCGGTAAGGATCAAGAGGAGCGATCACGCGCCGTCGACGCATACCGCGTGGGCAAGAAAGACGTGTTGGTAGCCACCGATGTGGCATCCAAGGGTCTGGACTTTCCGAACGTACAGCATGTTATCAACTACGACATGCCCGACGACATTGAAAACTATGTCCATCGTATTGGACGTACAGGTCGATCCAACACAAAGGGATTGGCTACCACCTTGATAAACAAAATCACCGAGCAGTCCGTCCTGTTGGATTTGAAACACCTGCTGATCGAGGCCAAGCAAGAGGTTCCCGAGTTCCTGGACGAGTTGGCCCCAGAAGCCGAGCACACTTTGGATCTTGGAGACTCGCATGGATGCAGCTACTGCGGCGGTCTGGGTCATCGGATCACAGAGTGTCCCAAACTGGAGGCCGTCCAGAACAAGCAAGCTTCAAATATTGGACGTCGCGACTATCTGTCTAATACTGCAGCGGATTACTAGATCGTCTACACCTGTAATTCTAAGGCTACTGTAACTTATGGAATAAATAGACTTGGGGAATATCTTAGCGTTCCTTTAAGTAAAACATATATGTATGTATGAACGTACAAAGATGAATCAAAATTAGAGGTCAGACCTTATTTCGGGATTTTTTCCTATTTGTTTTGACTCTGTTTACAGTTTTCAGTTCAAAATTGTTTCTTATCGGCACGGAGCTTTAACTTATCAATCATCAGAGCGCTTGTGACCCCGGAGAGCGGACGGGCTCGCCGTGATCACGACTCGGCTTTGAGCGGACTTTATAAAAGCGAAGACGAGCTTTACCTTTTGTTCAGTGTCTCAAGCGAGCTGCCAGTCGTTCGTGCATCGCTTTCGAGTATTTAGCGGGTTTCTCAGGCGCAAATCGATCGAGCTGATCGTATTGACCTAAAAGTAAGTGTTTGATTGTTTGCCCCGAACTTTTGAGTCCCGTTTGGATCGGTGATAGCATCTGAAAGTTGTAGTTTGCTGATCAACAAAAGAATTGAGTTTTACAGACCTCTTGTAAGTGGATTACATAAAAATTGTAAAAAACCCATCAAGCCCATCAGAACTATAAAATTGTTGAGCTAATTCCATTTAATTATCTTTTGATTGAGCTTATCAACTGTTTTGAATTGGACCAGAGGTTGAAACCTGAGGCGCATAACGGAAGCGGTTATCAGTATTTCAGTCGGATTGACAGGAAATTGATTTATAAAAAAATAAAAACGCAATTTTCCAAAGTTTTTAAAGTGTAATTTTTAAAAGTAAACTCATCTAATTAATAATTGTTCTCGTTGACGTGGGTGTCTTTGATGACAGACACTTGACTCTTTATTAATGGTGATTAATACGTTTTCTGACATTTGTTAACGACACTTATTGTTTAGTTCCATAGTTGTACATTTGTGTGTGTCGTTTGGTACGTTTTGAGAATACAGGCTTACATACTTGATATTCGAGTCCCGTGCAAAAAATTCATATGTATACTTGGGGCCTGGGGAGAAACTTAAACTTAAACTTGAATTGGCTCAAAAAAGTCCACGAAAAAAAAGCATATTTTTTGGCTTTTTATGATTCTGACCCAGTTTCAAGGAAGGGCTGGATGGGCTTGCCATTCGGCATAAGCAATAATGATATCATTCCCAGACCCGCCTAGCAGCAATTACAAAAAATTAATTACTTTAAAAACAATTTTGCGAAAACATGCGTGCCATCTTAGTTTCCAGCTTCGTCCGAAGCTTCACACCATGTCTACGAAAATGATATCATACAAATTAGGAGCCCCTAGGAAGAGCGAATTTAAAGTTTTAAATATATGTATGTACATATGTGGATACAATTTATTAGCCATAATCGACACATAATGAAGCCATCAAATAACGCAGTTTAAACAAGTTTTGGGGGAGTTTTAATTAAAACTGCCCAGGGCAAACACATTTCACAAGAAAACTATAATTTTTAATGACCGATATGCGCACTTGGTAGAGTTCTCAGCGTTGTAGAACTAGCTCTTAACTAACCTGTTGACTCTCTTAATGATTACAGGTTACTTGCTCTCCACTGGGATCAGCGGGGACAATCATCTCTGTTTGAGCTGGAAACAAAAGCCAAACGCGGCGATAAAAACAAAGGCAAATACATAATAACAACGAACACCCAAACAGGCATCGGGGCACACACGATATATACACGCAACTTGTTATATTTATCGCAACAATAAACAAAGCTCTCGGCAGCGCCCCAAACCCAGCCCCCCAGTACCGGCGGCGTCCACACGGGACTGAGACGAAACGCGAAATGGTAGCGCCAGGCGACTTCAGCATGGCAGTCATCTCGAGGTAATGCAAGCGAGCAGTTCGCAACTTAGTCATATCCACTAGATTCCGGCAAATCGGGGAAAAGTCCAGTTCATTTGTGCAAATAATATTAATATCAAGATTACTCATCTCGCCCAGCGAAAGCATCTTGTCAAAAGGGAAAGTAAGTGTCGTATTTTAAAAGTTTTAGGAGCCTAAGCTCCTAAGCACGAGGTGTATACTTTAGAATTCTCAAATTGGTAATTGTATTCATGGCCAAGGCTAGCCTTGTCATTTTTGGCGTGGCCATTACTTTTTGGCCTTTTATGGCTATGAATCATGCGCAATTAGATGACTGATGATACATATTTTTTTTATCCAGAATGAGTCTATTGTAATCTAATTTGTAGAAGTTTTGGGAATTATTTGCGAATCGGGAAGTAGGAACTGTTACTGTGTCTATTTTATACGCCACACTTTAATCCGAAAAAGTCAATATTTACCTCGGATAACCGTTATCATTTTGCCCGTTTACAGCCTTCTGGTGTGTTTTGCCCTCTCGGCCACTCTTTGCTCAGCCGGCACTCTAAACGCCAGACCCGCATTCCCCGTACAAACCGGACAGATCCAGCCCTCCGGCCAGAACGCCAAACAGCCCGGTAGACGCATCATGCATCCCGCCTTTGCCAACGCTGGCCGCTCCGCCGGTCTGGAGATCTGGCGCATCGAGGTGAGTAGTGTCTTTTGGGGGAATTATATTTAAATATAGATAATTTAGATATAGATTCGAAGAAAGCCAGAGCTGGTCAACTGCTTATTAAAATAATTTTTTGCCACGCGCTCTGTTTGGCTTTGAAGAAATATAGAAAATAATAGGGTTATTTTTATACTCATTATTTGCCCATAAATCTGTCTATATGGATGGATGAAATTCATGAAAAAATATACCCAATTAAACAAAAATATATGGACTGTATGCAAATCTATCTATCTCTCACGCAAACACTTCGAATGATAGTATTGCGAGGTATCTCAAAGTCGGAAGACTCCACAAAAGTTCCCTTTTCTTTCTCGGCACGAGTTCAAAGAAGCGTATAAATAGCTGGCGCTTGTTTACAGCGCTTGGAGAAAAGTTCGCCGCCCACGCACGAACGCGCTGCTCAGCCAGCAGGCAGGGCAGTGGAGCAGCGGAACAACTTCGCCGGTAAGCCCAAAGTGGCGGAGATCCACCGGACCGGACGGAAAGGGTGGTCCGTGCCTCGGATTTCCCCTCCATTCGCTGAACTCACGCAATGTGGCTGCCATATGGGCATAAACACGTCCGATATACAGAGTCTATATGCAAAATGGCTAAATTGAAAGTCGGTTTTCTCGAGCTAATTAACTCGGACATCATCGAAATTTATTAGGTTCGAAAGAAGGAGCTTTGTGTTTATAAACGAAAGCGAGAGGTGTCGTGAATGAAATGTTTTGACTGCTCGCAGAAACACAATGCACGGGAAACACATTTTTCCAAATAATATTAATTTTTTTTTACTCTGTTTTATTAATTTTCTCTAGAATTTTGAGCCAGTGGCCTACCCAAAGAATAACTACGGAAAGTTCTTTACTGGGGACTCCTTTATCATTCTGAATGTAAGTATAAATTATTATATTATTCCCCAATTAAATTCAATAAAAGTCACTTAAGTCATACAAATTAAGTCATACAACCTTGTTCTAAAATATGAGTTGATTTCGTTGAATAATTAAAACATTGCCTTAAATAGCAAGTTTAAAAACCGCAGTTTTTATGAAATCTATTGTTCGAGTTAGTTACAGCAAATATTATAAGATACATAATTGATTCTAATTTTAAAAAGGGAAAACAAACATTAGCGGGGCCTTCAACTGGGCCTCTAGGAAGTATTCCTCCCTGGGGCTCCAGAAATAAATTTTTATTATTAGATTTTAATTCTCAATTTTGTTCGACAACTGGGAACACAATTTCTGATTATATTTCTCAAAGGAATAATATTTAGAAAACCAATATAAGTTAATATCCTTTTGAACTCCGAATAAACCAGAAAATAATAAAAATACATCTTTGATTGCAGACCATTGAAAACAAGAAAGATAAGAAACTCTCCTGGGATGTCCATTTCTGGCTGGGATCCGAAACATCTACTGATGAGGCCGGCGCAGCCGCTATTCTCACCGTCCAGCTGGATGATCTCCTCAACGGAGCACCTGTCCAACATCGCGAAGTCCAGGACCACGAATCGCAGCTGTTCCTTGGCTACTTCAAAAATGGTTAGATCGAATTATATTATATATCCCTTTTATTAATATAGTTTTATTCTTGCAGGCATTCGTTATGAGCAAGGTGGAGTCGGAACTGGCTTCAAACATGTGGAGACCAATGCCCAGGGCGAGAAACGTCTCTTCCAGGTGAAGGGAAAGCGCAATGTGCGCGTCCGTCAAGTCAACCTCTCCGTCTCGTCGATGAACAAGGGAGATTGCTTCATTTTGGATGCCGGCAGCGACATCTACGTCTATGTGGGCGCCCAGGCCAAGCGTGTGGAGAAGCTGAAGGCGATCAGTGCCGCCAACCAGATCAGAGATCAGGACCACAATGGACGTGCCCGCGTTCAAATTATCGACGATTTCAGCACCGACACCGACAAGCAGCAGTTCTTCGATGTGCTTGGATCCGGTTCGGCTGATCAGGTACCTGAGGAGTCGACTGCTGATGAGGACGGTGCCTTCGAGAGGACCGATGCTGCGGCTGTGACCCTTTACAAGGTCAGCGACGCCAGTGGCAAGCTACAGGTGGACACAATCGGCCAGAAACCTTTGACCCAGGCTATGCTGGACACCCGTGACTGCTTCATTCTGGACACGGGATCCGGCATCTTCGTGTGGGTTGGAAAGGGAGCCACCCCGAAGGAGAAAACCGATGCCATGGCCAAGGCTCAGGAGTTCCTGCGCACCAAGAAGTACCCGGCTTGGACCCAGATTCACCGCATCGTCGAAGGCGCCGAGTCCGCTCCATTCAAGCAATACTTCGCCACGTGGCGCGATGCTGGCATGGCCCACACTCGCCTCATCCGCTCGGCTCTGGACATCGGTTCCGACGATTCGTTGGATGTTGACGAGATTGACGCGGTTGTGACTCAGCTTAAGAAGAGTGGAGGTCGCGCCATCGGTTTCATGCCTGATCATGGTCAGAACACCATTGAATCTATTACCCAGTACGTGGGCAAGGCCGGTTCCAGCGAGGTCCTGGTTAACACCGTTCCCTTCGAGGACAATCTTCCTCTGCTGGGTTTCGGCTCCTACGTTTTGTCTTACAGCTACGAGGCCAACAACGGAGACCAGGGTTCCATTGTATACGTGTGGCAGGGAGCAAAGGCCACTGTCGCCGTAAAGGAGCGCGCCTTCCAGGAAGGCCAGAACCTCGCCGCGGAAAATGATGCCTTGCTGGTGCTGACAACCCAGGGGCACGAGCCCCGTCACTTCTACAAGATCTTCAAGGGAAAGCTGCTGGCCTCGTACACGGCTTTGCCGGTTACTTCGCAGCTGTTCCGCATCCGCGGTACCGTGGAGAGTGACATTCATGCAAGTGAAGTGCCCGCCGACAGCTCATCGCTGGCCTCCGGCGACGCCTTCGCCCTCGTATCGGCCAAGTCGCATAAGATTTACATTTGGAACGGACTGGGCGCTTCCGCTTTCGAGAAGAAGGCTGCTGTTGAGCGTTTCTCGAATTACTGGGATGACGCCGAATTGGAGGAGCTTGAGGAGGGTGCTGAGCCTGAGGAGTTCTGGGAGGAGCTGAACGGCGAGGGCCAGTATGATCGCAGCCTTGGTGACAGCGGCGCGCCCCTGCTGGAGCCGCGTCTCTTCCATTGCCGCATTACTCCCCAGGGACTTGTGAAGGTCGAGGAAGTGGCTCAGTACGAGCAGGAGGACTTGGACACCGACGACGTAATGCTTCTGGACGCTGGTGACGAGATCTACCTGTGGGTGGGATCTGGTGCCTCTGACGAGGAGAAATCCAAGCTTCTGGATATGGCTAAGGTTTGATTTTTAGGAAAACCCCTATTTCAACTTCTAGGACTAAGACCTTTGTTTATTCACAGCGCTACATCCGAGTGGAGCCCACCGCCCGTACCATTGAGACCGTGAGCCTTATCAGTGTGCCCCAAGGAAAGGAGCCTCGCGTCTTCAAGCGCATGTTCCCCGCCTGGGATGATGACTATTGGCAGGTTAGTGGGCCAAAGATTGCATAAGATATCCGCGCATACGTTCTTCTCGCTTTTTAATGTTTCATTGTTGCTAAATTGCATGAACTCATCCATGTCACTAAACACTCTTAAAAGTTTTCGTAAGTAGTACTAATGCCAGCTTTCTGTGTGACTTTCTACTTTTAAGTCCCAGCATTAATATGTATATATTCTTTGCCTTTGAAATTTAGAACCTTCCCGCCTACGAGGACGTCTTACGGCAGGTGTTCGAAGCCAACAACAAGGTGTAGATCTATCCATTCAATTCTCAGCGAAACTGACCAAAAATTTGTTTGTTTTTGCCCAAATCAAATGTAACTTTATTTTAACCGTAAAATAAACGAACAAATGTTCGGTTCTATACTCAGAATCCATATTAATGAGCCCAATAAATATAAAACCTAATAAATGTAGCAAAATACTTTATTTACTTTCCCTATTAACTTGACAGGTTTAAACAGAATCGGGCCACACCACTTGCTCTATCCAATCCAAGTACGAGGACACTCTAGTGTAAACCGAAGGATAACTACTGCGGCAGAATACCCCGTACGAAGTTACACCTATGAGGTGGTAGTGTATTCTCTGTCGCCGCCGACGACCTGGCAGATTAAGCTGCAGTGGTCCCCCCGAGTCGCCTTGGCAGGTGTCGCGGTTGAGGATGTAGTCCTGGGCACAGATCTGGCTGTCCATAACCCCATTAGGTGCCTCCGCCAGAGCCGGCAGCTCGGTATTGCATTCGGTGTTCGGTACGATGGTCAGGTTGAGATTCGTGAGGCGGTTCGTCATGGCTTTTGCGAAACTCGTAGCTCCATAGCCCATGGCGAAGGCAATAGTGGTGGGCAGCTCCGAGAAGATCCACAGGCGGATGGGCCTCACGAAGGCGGTTAATCTGGCGTATTAATATTGGATTGCAGTTGAAGATGTATAGCCAGGACTCGGAAATACTTACTCCACATCTCGTTCGAGGTGCAGTAGAGCAATGTCGTTATAGTAGAACTCCTTGTTGTAGCTGGGATGAGTCATTATTTCCTGAATGCGAAACAGTTGGGGCTCCACTGTCCGTTCATCGGCCACCAGGTTGAGGTCTCCGATGCGCACCCATTGGGGCACCGAACTGTAATAAAGAGAGTCTGACTCTGGGCAGGGGAATCAATGGGGACTATCTCACTCGTATATGGAGGTGCAATGGGCGGCAGTCAGAACGAAGCTTTCGCTGATCAGGCTGCCTCCACACTTGTAGTCCACGCTCCCAGTTTCAGTCTGAAAGCCCACAGCGGCCTGCAAGAACAGAACTATTATTCAGGACTCACTTGATATCCCTTGAGAAGCTTAATCTTACCATGTGTGGGTATTGTCCCGGCCTGGCCAACACTCGTCCGTCAAAGTCGGCATCGTTTGCATCCGCTGCCACTGCCGTGTCGTTGGGGAAGATTCGCTCCACGTACTCCGAGTATTCTTTGGAACAAAGGCATCAGCTAATGACTCACTAAAGATCGGATCTCCTCGTCGTTGAACTACTTACTCTCCTCGCAGATGCGACGTCGTTTGTGGTTCTTATTCCTCCGCTTAAAGTCTCCAGGGGGCGGGGGAAGGGCTGGCCTGGACGCGGCGGTGGGTGGCTGTGCTTGTGCTTCGGCTCGGGCAGGTTCTCCATCCGGTCGAAACTAAACTCGGTTATGCGAAACCACATACGCTCCTCCGGCCCGTGTGAGTCCGGGAACAGAATATCGCGATCCATGGGAAAATGAATCCCCGCGCGGTCCGGTGGCGGTGGTGGGGGGTAGGGTGCGTGGCGCTCGGACTGGCACAGTCCAAAAATTGATATCAGAAGCGGGAACAAAAAAAATCTGTTTACTAAGCGGATCATCTTGAAAGCCCTGCGAACGCTGCGAGTGTCGGGAGCGGACTAAAGCATCCACCGATCAGTGAATCCCCATCATCAGCCCCAGTCCCAGAACCAGCAGTCTTATCAACGAGCACTTAAAAATTCACAAAATTCAACAACTTTATTGTTTCAACGAGAAGCTAAATTAATTTCGGATTCCCAGGCTTTGTGGGTTGATTACATTTGCCACAAGGGGAGCGTGGACTTGGGTGGTGCCTCCGAGATGTTGGTACTGCGCAATGATGGCGCGCTGGAGCTCCTCGAGCTCGCGGTCGTTGCTGTAGCGGAGCACGGACACGGTGGGATCATTGCCAGCCGGCTGGGGAGCGGGGGCAGCAAGAGCCAGAGCCACTAGGGCGAAGCAAACCAGGAGCAACTGAATACACAAGTGTTAGGTCATCGGCGGATCAAGGACTCTAGGAATGCAAACTTACGTAGAACGCCTTCATTCTGTTACGCACTTGAAATGAACTAAACAACGCGCCCGGTGCGGAACTCTCATTTATAGCCCAAAATTTTGTCAATTATGATAATTTGCAACTATGAACTTGACAAAGTTTTGGGTAAACACGTTTTGGAATACCGACTAGTAGCCAGCTAGAGCTCTGGTTTTTCAATATTCGCAGAAATCGACCTGTTTTGTTCAATAAACTTGGTCGTTTTATGGCTGACGGCTGCCGTTTGATCCGATTTTATGAAACTGGATTAAAACTGGGTGAGAGTTTATTCGGCGATTGTGGGGTCAAAACAAAGGCACGACAACCTTTGCTCTTAACAAAAAGCTCACATTAATACCTAAAGTTTTTGTGCCAAAACCAACTCGGATACCTTTATTTTAGTTTAATGAAAACGATCCTCGTTTGACTATATTCATGGTGGTGAATGCCCAAAAGTAGACAACAGATGAAAAATTAATATTTCACTAATAACTCACAAAGGTTTTAAAAATATTATTTTAAATGTAGATTCTATATCTTGTATACAGTACCTCTTTATGGTATACATATATATTGGGAATGAGACATCCAAGACGAAAATAAACAAAATTGTATATATTTTTAGTTTTTTTCAATACCTAATATGATTTTTATACGATTTTTGATATGATCTTCTCATATGATCTTTACAGACATGCCTCTATATAAGAAAGTTTTATTTAAATTTTATTGTAATCCTTCTACATTTCCTTAAGCGATTTAATTAAGGTGGAGTTAGATGAGGATATTTTGCGATATCATAGTACACATTTTATCTTGAGGCCCTTGATAAAAAAAAGAATAGGTTTGTGTCAAGCTAACCATTTCGATTAGCCCACCAAATGCCCACCATGCCCACCAAATCAAACCATATGCCTAACCATGCCCACCAAATCTCTGATATTTGGTAAATCTATTCACCTTTTATGTCACTTTTTGTTCAGAACCTTAAAGACAGTATTTAAACGAGTATAATTGTATGTATAATTACACACTATTGTTTTTAAAATTCGTTTGAACTCGTACATATATAATCGTTTAGCACTCCCCGACCTAGGGTTATACAATCTTGCATTCCTGATGCCAGTTAGCCGGTTTCCAGTCCAGATGCACCCGGAAAGGTTGTTAAGCAAGAAAATAAGTGGCTAGACTAGTGGCCTAGGCCCTTGACAAATTACACGCACATCTCGTCGCCGACTCCCAATTTGAATAGATTTACAAATTCTCCACCTTACGAAACTATTAGCTATTCGATCCAATTAAAATCGTCGGGCATTTTAACTGGAACACAACTGGAGCCATCGAAATGCATCTCGATCGAGTTTCCAAATCTCTGGCTGCACAATGCAATGGAATGCGAGTCTGCATCTCATCCAGGCGAAGCTCCCGAGCATAAAAGCTGCGGCGAGTTGCAATCTTGAGACAAAGGGAGCTCAAGAGCCACACAGTTCACTCTTTCTATTCCCCAACCTGCTGGTGTAAAACAATCTGTTCAGGATGCGCGCTTTTCTGGTGAGAAAATTTAGTAATCCTTTTGGTGCAAGATCTTTAAAAATCTTAATAAAAATTCAATGATTGCAGATGCTTTGTTTGGTCGCTGTGGCTAGAGGACAGTACGACTATACCCCCACGTCGCATGCCGGGGATGGACACGGAGGCCTGGTCGGAGGAATCAGCAGTGGGCTATCTGGAGGAGTCAGCAGTGGGCTCGCTGGAGGAGTGAGCAGTGGAGCAGCCCAGCTTTCCGAGCCCATACTTTTGCCTAATGAGTTCACCAAGGAGTTCTTCACATACAGTGCTCCAGAGCAGGAGTTCGACAACCCACAGGCCAACGAGCAGATCGCCAACTCTTTGAAGAAGAACCTGCGAGTCCTCTTCATCAAGGGGCCTGAGAACACTGGCTTGGAGCAGGCTGCTCTTCAGCTGGCCACCTCTGCGTCGGATGATCGTACCGCCATCTACGTCCTCAACAAGCAGGCGGACATCGGCGAGCTTACCAACAGGCTCAACCAGATTAAGCACCAGACCAGTCACAAGCCCGAGGTGCACTTCGTCAAGTACCGCACCCAGAGCGACGCCGAGAACGCCCAGCGTACCATCCAGGCTCAATACGACACGCTGCCAGGACCCTCTAGCAATCATAATGCAGGATCCTCGGCACCTGTTCTGGATTTCGCTTCCAAGGGTGTTTCCGGCGGAGTAACTGGCTCTGCACCTGCCCTGGGCTCAGGCGAACTCAATGCACCTTTGACTAGCGCGTATCTACCACCAGGAAGGTATTAGTTTAAGCAGAGAAGTTAGCAATTTAAGATAAATGTAAATAGACGACCATTTTCTCATCATTAAAAATGTATTCACACAAAAGGACTTCCTTTTATTCCATCATGTTGCAATATACATAAAGCTAAAAGTGTAGGATATAAATATTCTACTATACAGCGAAATCTGTATAGATCAATTCTCTACCAATCTTCACTAAATTATCATCCGAATCTTAAGCGGATTCTCCATCAATCTGCATCACACCCTAGCAACAGAATATTTTTTCGATTTTTCGTCAAATTTTCTGATGGGTCCCCTTCAAAAATGGGGAAAATGCAAGGAAGGACATTATGGTCCCCAGGAAATGCCATATCTTTGCCAACTACCATCCGATTCTTCAGCGGAATACCTTAAACGATTTGTGGATCGATTCTCCACCAATCTGCATCAAAACCTAGCAACAAAATATTTTTTCGATTTTTCGTCAAATTTTCTGATGGGTCCCCTTCAAAAATGGGGAAAATGCAAGGAAGGGTTTTATGGACCCCAGGAAATGCCATATCTTTGCCAAAAACCATCTGATTCTTTAGCGGAATACCTTAAACGATTTGTGGATCGATTCTCCGTCAATCTGCATCAAAACCTAGCAACAAAATTTTGTTTCGATTTTTCGTCAAATTTTCTGATGGGTCCCCTTCAAAAATGGGGAAAATGCAAGGAAGGACATTATGGTCCTCAGGAAATGCCATATCTTTGCCAACTACCATCCGATTCTTCAGCGGAATACCTTAAACGATTTGTGGATCGATTCTCCATCAATCTGCATCAAAACCTAGCAACAAAATATTTTTTTCGATTTTTCGTCAAATTTTCTGATGGGTCCCCTTCAAAAATGGGGAAAATGCAAGGAAGGGTTTTATGGACCCCAGGAAATGCCATATCTTTGCCAAAAACCATCTGATTCTTTAGCGGAATACCTTAAACGATTTGTGGATCGATTCTCCGTCAATCTGCATCAAAACCTAGCAACAAAATATTGTTTCGATTTTTCGTCAAATTTTCTGATGGGTCCCCTTCAAAAATGGGGAAAATGCAAGGAAGGACATTATGGTCCTCAGGAAATGCCATATCTTTGCCAACTACCATCCGATTCTTCAGCGGAATACCTTAAACGATTTGTGGATCGATTCTCCATCAATCTGCATCAAAACCTAGCAACAAAATATTTTTTCGATTTTTCGTCAAATTTTCTGATGGGTCCCCTTCAAAAATGGGGAAAATGCTAGGAAGGACATTATGGTCCCCAGGAAATGCCATATCTTTGCCAAAAACCATCTGATTCTTTAGCGGAATACCTTAAACGATTTGTAGATCGGAGCCTTATCAGTGGTAGAGATAACTTGTTTATACAAGGGAATGGTTGTTTCGCTCACACGAATTATTTTATAATTTAAAAGTTAATTTATGCATCGACGAGATAGCATGTTTGGATGCCAGCATCTGGCTTGAAATGCTCTCCTCATATCATCGGATGATAATGAATTCAGATCGTCCCCCACAATTTCGAAGAGTGAATATATTACTTTCTTTCTTTCATCCCCGTGTTGTTGTGAAGGTCGAGGAAGTGGCTCAGTACGAGCAGGAGGACTTGGACACCGACGACGTAATGCTTCTGGACGCTGGTGACGAGATCTACCTGTGGGTGGGATCTGGTGCCTCTGACGAGGAGAAATCCAAGCTTCTGGATATGGCTAAGGTTTGATTTTTAGGAAAACCCCTATTTCAACTTCTAGGACTAAGACCTTTGTTTATTCACAGCGCTACATCCGAGTGGAGCCCACCGCCCGTACCATTGAGACCGTGAGCCTTATCAGTGTGCCCCAAGGAAAGGAGCCTCGCGTCTTCAAGCGCATGTTCCCCGCCTGGGATGATGACTATTGGCAGGTTAGTGGGCCAAAGATTGCATAAGATATCCGCGCATACGTTCTTCTCGCTTTTTAATGTTTCATTGTTGCTAAATTGCATGAACTCATCCATGTCACTAAACACTCTTAAAAGTTTTCGTAAGTAGTACTAATGCCAGCTTTCTGTGTGACTTTCTACTTTTAAGTCCCAGCATTAATATGTATATATTCTTTGCCTTTGAAATTTAGAACCTTCCCGCCTACGAGGACGTCTTACGGCAGGTGTTCGAAGCCAACAACAAGGTGTAGATCTATCCATTCAATTCTCAGCGAAACTGACCAAAAATTTGTTTGTTTTTGCCCAAATCAAATGTAACTTTATTTTAACCGTAAAATAAACGAACAAATGTTCGGTTCTATACTCAGAATCCATATTAATGAGCCCAATAAATATAAAACCTAATAAATGTAGCAAAATACTTTATTTACTTTCCCTATTAACTTGACAGGTTTAAACAGAATCGGGCCACACCACTTGCTCTATCCAATCCAAGTACGAGGACACTCTAGTGTAAACCGAAGGATAACTACTGCGGCAGAATACCCCGTACGAAGTTACACCTATGAGGTGGTAGTGTATTCTCTGTCGCCGCCGACGACCTGGCAGATTAAGCTGCAGTGGTCCCCCCGAGTCGCCTTGGCAGGTGTCGCGGTTGAGGATGTAGTCCTGGGCACAGATCTGGCTGTCCATAACCCCATTAGGTGCCTCCGCCAGAGCCGGCAGCTCGGTATTGCATTCGGTGTTCGGTACGATGGTCAGGTTGAGATTCGTGAGGCGGTTCGTCATGGCTTTTGCGAAACTCGTAGCTCCATAGCCCATGGCGAAGGCAATAGTGGTGGGCAGCTCCGAGAAGATCCACAGGCGGATGGGCCTCACGAAGGCGGTTAATCTGGCGTATTAATATTGGATTGCAGTTGAAGATGTATAGCCAGGACTCGGAAATACTTACTCCACATCTCGTTCGAGGTGCAGTAGAGCAATGTCGTTATAGTAGAACTCCTTGTTGTAGCTGGGATGAGTCATTATTTCCTGAATGCGAAACAGTTGGGGCTCCACTGTCCGTTCATCGGCCACCAGGTTGAGGTCTCCGATGCGCACCCATTGGGGCACCGAACTGTAATAAAGAGAGTCTGACTCTGGGCAGGGGAATCAATGGGGACTATCTCACTCGTATATGGAGGTGCAATGGGCGGCAGTCAGAACGAAGCTTTCGCTGATCAGGCTGCCTCCACACTTGTAGTCCACGCTCCCAGTTTCAGTCTGAAAGCCCACAGCGGCCTGCAAGAACAGAACTATTATTCAGGACTCACTTGATATCCCTTGAGAAGCTTAATCTTACCATGTGTGGGTATTGTCCCGGCCTGGCCAACACTCGTCCGTCAAAGTCGGCATCGTTTGCATCCGCTGCCACTGCCGTGTCGTTGGGGAAGATTCGCTCCACGTACTCCGAGTATTCTTTGGAACAAAGGCATCAGCTAATGACTCACTAAAGATCGGATCTCCTCGTCGTTGAACTACTTACTCTCCTCGCAGATGCGACGTCGTTTGTGGTTCTTATTCCTCCGCTTAAAGTCTCCAGGGGGCGGGGGGAAGGGCTGGCCTGGACGCGGCGGTGGGTGGCTGTGCTTGTGCTTCGGCTCGGGCAGGTTCTCCATCCGGTCGAAACTAAACTCGGTTATGCGAAACCACATACGCTCCTCCGGCCCGTGTGAGTCCGGGAACAGAATATCGCGATCCATGGGAAAATGAATCCCCGCGCGGTCCGGTGGCGGTGGTGGGGGGTAGGGTGCGTGGCGCTCGGACTGGCACAGTCCAAAAATTGATATCAGAAGCGGGAACAAAAAAAATCTGTTTACTAAGCGGATCATCTTGAAAGCCCTGCGAACGCTGCGAGTGTCGGGAGCGGACTAAAGCATCCACCGATCAGTGAATCCCCATCATCAGCCCCAGTCCCAGAACCAGCAGTCTTATCAACGAGCACTTAAAAATTCACAAAATTCAACAACTTTATTGTTTCAACGAGAAGCTAAATTAATTTCGGATTCCCAGGCTTTGTGGGTTGATTACATTTGCCACAAGGGGAGCGTGGACTTGGGTGGTGCCTCCGAGATGTTGGTACTGCGCAATGATGGCGCGCTGGAGCTCCTCGAGCTCGCGGTCGTTGCTGTAGCGGAGCACGGACACGGTGGGATCATTGCCAGCCGGCTGGGGAGCGGGGGCAGCAAGAGCCAGAGCCACTAGGGCGAAGCAAACCAGGAGCAACTGAATACACAAGTGTTAGGTCATCGGCGGATCAAGGACTCTAGGAATGCAAACTTACGTAGAACGCCTTCATTCTGTTACGCACTTGAAATGAACTAAACAACGCGCCCGGTGCGGAACTCTCATTTATAGCCCAAAATTTTGTCAATTATGATAATTTGCAACTATGAACTTGACAAAGTTTTGGGTAAACACGTTTTGGAATACCGACTAGTAGCCAGCTAGAGCTCTGGTTTTTCAATATTCGCAGAAATCGACCTGTTTTGTTCAATAAACTTGGTCGTTTTATGGCTGACGGCTGCCGTTTGATCCGATTTTATGAAACTGGATTAAAACTGGGTGAGAGTTTATTCGGCGATTGTGGGGTCAAAACAAAGGCACGACAACCTTTGCTCTTAACAAAAAGCTCACATTAATACCTAAAGTTTTTGTGCCAAAACCAACTCGGATACCTTTATTTTAGTTTAATGAAAACGATCCTCGTTTGACTATATTCATGGTGGTGAATGCCCAAAAGTAGACAACAGATGAAAAATTAATATTTCACTAATAACTCACAAAGGTTTTAAAAATATTATTTTAAATGTAGATTCTATATCTTGTATACAGTACCTCTTTATGGTATACATATATATTGGGAATGAGACATCCAAGACGAAAATAAACAAAATTGTATATATTTTTAGTTTTTTTCAATACCTAATATGATTTTTATACGATTTTTGATATGATCTTCTCATATGATCTTTACAGACATGCCTCTATATAAGAAAGTTTTATTTAAATTTTATTGTAATCCTTCTACATTTCCTTAAGCGATTTAATTAAGGTGGAGTTAGATGAGGATATTTTGCGATATCATAGTACACATTTTATCTTGAGGCCCTTGATAAAAAAAAGAATAGGTTTGTGTCAAGCTAACCATTTCGATTAGCCCACCAAATGCCCACCATGCCCACCAAATCAAACCATATGCCTAACCATGCCCACCAAATCTCTGATATTTGGTAAATCTATTCACCTTTTATGTCACTTTTTGTTCAGAACCTTAAAGACAGTATTTAAACGAGTATAATTGTATGTATAATTACACACTATTGTTTTTAAAATTCGTTTGAACTCGTACATATATAATCGTTTAGCACTCCCCGACCTAGGGTTATACAATCTTGCATTCCTGATGCCAGTTAGCCGGTTTCCAGTCCAGATGCACCCGGAAAGGTTGTTAAGCAAGAAAATAAGTGGCTAGACTAGTGGCCTAGGCCCTTGACAAATTACACGCACATCTCGTCGCCGACTCCCAATTTGAATAGATTTACAAATTCTCCACCTTACGAAACTATTAGCTATTCGATCCAATTAAAATCGTCGGGCATTTTAACTGGAACACAACTGGAGCCATCGAAATGCATCTCGATCGAGTTTCCAAATCTCTGGCTGCACAATGCAATGGAATGCGAGTCTGCATCTCATCCAGGCGAAGCTCCCGAGCATAAAAGCTGCGGCGAGTTGCAATCTTGAGACAAAGGGAGCTCAAGAGCCACACAGTTCACTCTTTCTATTCCCCAACCTGCTGGTGTAAAACAATCTGTTCAGGATGCGCGCTTTTCTGGTGAGAAAATTTAGTAATCCTTTTGGTGCAAGATCTTTAAAAATCTTAATAAAAATTCAATGATTGCAGATGCTTTGTTTGGTCGCTGTGGCTAGAGGACAGTACGACTATACCCCCACGTCGCATGCCGGGGATGGACACGGAGGCCTGGTCGGAGGAATCAGCAGTGGGCTATCTGGAGGAGTCAGCAGTGGGCTCGCTGGAGGAGTGAGCAGTGGAGCAGCCCAGCTTTCCGAGCCCATACTTTTGCCTAATGAGTTCACCAAGGAGTTCTTCACATACAGTGCTCCAGAGCAGGAGTTCGACAACCCACAGGCCAACGAGCAGATCGCCAACTCTTTGAAGAAGAACCTGCGAGTCCTCTTCATCAAGGGGCCTGAGAACACTGGCTTGGAGCAGGCTGCTCTTCAGCTGGCCACCTCTGCGTCGGATGATCGTACCGCCATCTACGTCCTCAACAAGCAGGCGGACATCGGCGAGCTTACCAACAGGCTCAACCAGATTAAGCACCAGACCAGTCACAAGCCCGAGGTGCACTTCGTCAAGTACCGCACCCAGAGCGACGCCGAGAACGCCCAGCGTACCATCCAGGCTCAATACGACACGCTGCCAGGACCCTCTAGCAATCATAATGCAGGATCCTCGGCACCTGTTCTGGATTTCGCTTCCAAGGGTGTTTCCGGCGGAGTAACTGGCTCTGCACCTGCCCTGGGCTCAGGCGAACTCAATGCACCTTTGACTAGCGCGTATCTACCACCAGGAAGGTATTAGTTTAAGCAGAGAAGTTAGCAATTTAAGATAAATGTAAATAGACGACCATTTTCTCATCATTAAAAATGTATTCACACAAAAGGACTTCCTTTTATTCCATCATGTTGCAATATACATAAAGCTAAAAGTGTAGGATATAAATATTCTACTATACAGCGAAATCTGTATAGATCAATTCTCTACCAATCTTCACTAAATTATCATCCGAATCTTAAGCGGATTCTCCATCAATCTGCATCACACCCTAGCAACAGAATATTTTTTCGATTTTTCGTCAAATTTTCTGATGGGTCCCCTTCAAAAATGGGGAAAATGCAAGGAAGGACATTATGGTCCCCAGGAAATGCCATATCTTTGCCAACTACCATCCGATTCTTCAGCGGAATACCTTAAACGATTTGTGGATCGATTCTCCACCAATCTGCATCAAAACCTAGCAACAAAATATTTTTTCGATTTTTCGTCAAATTTTCTGATGGGTCCCCTTCAAAAATGGGGAAAATGCAAGGAAGGGTTTTATGGACCCCAGGAAATGCCATATCTTTGCCAAAAACCATCTGATTCTTTAGCGGAATACCTTAAACGATTTGTGGATCGATTCTCCGTCAATCTGCATCAAAACCTAGCAACAAAATTTTGTTTCGATTTTTCGTCAAATTTTCTGATGGGTCCCCTTCAAAAATGGGGAAAATGCAAGGAAGGACATTATGGTCCTCAGGAAATGCCATATCTTTGCCAACTACCATCCGATTCTTCAGCGGAATACCTTAAACGATTTGTGGATCGATTCTCCATCAATCTGCATCAAAACCTAGCAACAAAATATTTTTTCGATTTTTCGTCAAATTTTCTGATGGGTCCCCTTCAAAAATGGGGAAAATGCAAGGAAGGGTTTTATGGACCCCAGGAAATGCCATATCTTTGCCAAAAACCATCTGATTCTTTAGCGGAATACCTTAAACGATTTGTGGATCGATTCTCCGTCAATCTGCATCAAAACCTAGCAACAAAATATTGTTTCGATTTTTCGTCAAATTTTCTGATGGGTCCCCTTCAAAAATGGGGAAAATGCAAGGAAGGACATTATGGTCCTCAGGAAATGCCATATCTTTGCCAACTACCATCCGATTCTTCAGCGGAATACCTTAAACGATTTGTGGATCGATTCTCCATCAATCTGCATCAAAACCTAGCAACAAAATATTTTTTCGATTTTTCGTCAAATTTTCTGATGGGTCCCCTTCAAAAATGGGGAAAATGCTAGGAAGGACATTATGGTCCCCAGGAAATGCCATATCTTTGCCAAAAACCATCTGATTCTTTAGCGGAATACCTTAAACGATTTGTAGATCGGAGCCTTATCAGTGGTAGAGATAACTTGTTTATACAAGGGAATGGTTGTTTCGCTCACACGAATTATTTTATAATTTAAAAGTTAATTTATGCATCGACGAGATAGCATGTTTGGATGCCAGCATCTGGCTTGAAATGCTCTCCTCATATCATCGGATGATAATGAATTCAGATCGTCCCCCACAATTTCGAAGAGTGAATATATTACTTTCTTTCTTTCATCCCCGTGTTGTTGGTCGATGCGGCGCCCTGGCGATTAATATTTTGCATTTATTCGATTCAGTGTTGACAATAGGGAATATTAGTCGATTATTTAAATGTGGACGCTACGTTGGTGTCCATTTTAGTTATATAACAGCTGGGTCTACCCTGCCCTATGGCAGATGCATCTTCGAATATGGTTCCGTGATTTGGCAACCACTTAACGAACCGCGTTACATATTCGATGCTGTCTGGGTGACAATAGATTCCACCGTTTTATGGTAGTGCCTAAATATTTTTTCTTTCTCTGGGGAAAACGAAATGGCATTTCCAATAAGGTGCCTGCTCCAAGTTGGAGTCTTATAAAAACATTGCTACCTGCTAGTGAGGGCATCAGTCGACCTTTGCAGCTCAGACGGTTCGAAGTGAAAATGAAGCAGTTTGTGGTTCTAATGGTAAGGATTCCTATCACTATCCCTCTGGATTCCTGCAGTATCTAATGGATTTCTTATCCTTTCAGTGCCTTGTGGCTGTCGCCGCCGCCGCTCCCCAGGGATACAAGTACCAGGCTCAGGGGCCTGCCCTTCCCATTGGAAACCTGCGTCCTCAGACGTCCCTATCCTCAAGTGGAATATACTCGGCTCCCGCCGTCCAAATCCAGCAGCCAGCCATCCAAACTGTCCAGTCCATCGCCCCCGTATTGGCTCCCGCTCCCCTTCCCATTTCCCTGCCCGCCCCTGCACCCGCACCCCTTCCCGTCTCGATTGCTCCCGCTCCCCTTCCGCTGGCTCTGCCCCAGCAGAACGTGATCACCACCGTCCAGCAGCCCCAGCAGCAGGTGATCTACCAGCCCCAGCCTCAGATCCAGCAGCAGGTCCAGTACGTCCAGCGCCCAGCAATCGTCACCAAGGACATCTACATCCACTCGGCACCCGAGGAGACCGAGGAGTTCCGCCAGGACGAGCCCCAGCTGGATAGCGTGCCAATCCGCAAGAATTACCGCATCGTGTTCATCAAGGCTCCGTCCCAGAACCTCAAGTACACCGCCGCCGCTCTGAAGCGCGCCCAGTCCAGCAACGAGGAGAAGACTGTCATCTACGTGCTGTCAAAGAAGCCCGATCTCACCGAGATCCAGCAGCAGCTGCAGGTCACCCAGACCGAGTCCAAGGTTCACAAGCCCGAGGTCTATTTCATCAAGTACAAGACCCAGGAGGAGGCCCAGCGCGCCCAGCAGGAGATCCAGGCCCAGTACGATGCTTTGGGCGGAGCTACTCACATTTCCGACGAGGGTGTGGCCCCCATCACTAGCGTTTCGGGTGGATCCCTCAACCTGAACAACATCGTGCCCCAGTCTCAGGCCCAGACCATCATCCAGCAGCAGCCCCAGATCCAGACTGTGGTCCAGCAGCCCCAGATCCAGACCGTGGTCCAGCAGCCCCAGATCCAGGCCCAGATCCAGCAGCAGATCTCTTCCTTCACGCCTTCTCTGCCCTCCAGGAAGTACGTGCCTGCCAAGACTTTCAAATAAGAGCCCGCTAATCGCAGCTGACCAGTCGCTTTCATTATTTTGTATCAACAACCCATTGTAGCTTACTATAATTTATTGTTCACGAGAAAGTCCAAATCAAATAAAGCAATCTTTTAAACGAAATCTTTAAAGTCTTTTACCAGCTAGTCTTGAAATCTAGATCTTAAGAACATGCTATTTGGAGAAAGCAAATCAAAAAGTTAAAGTTAAATGAGATTGGTTTCTGTCTTAAATACGCGAGATATTTTTACGTCAGGCGACAAAATAATATATTATAATATAATTTACTTCCTTATGCAATGCTTGATGGTTTCTTTCCCGGAGACATCATAATCACTTAAGAGCTGCCTTTGTAATCAAGTTTTCATATTGCCTAATCGGTGTTATTCAACCCGAATCATATGCTAATTAGTGCGACCGGTTTCCCCGCTCCGGCTCCCGCACAGTCTGCGTTGTCTATTGATTACTGGATCAATGGGCTAATGGGTGTCGTAATATGGGCAATAGAAAATATATACTTTTTTGTAACATTTTTTGGGCATCACGAGCCATAAATTTACGGCCGCCGAGCTCCAATCTCTTTTTTATTTGATAATTGCAACACTGTGATACGGATGGGTTGGCAAATCAAAGTCAAGTTAATTTATCTAAATATATACAACAACTGGGAACTTAAAGATACGGCAGTCCTTTTGGCTTGGCATCGGAAATTCCATCGCCTAAGTGCGCAGGTGGGCGGGCAGGTACTTGCTGGCCAGGCTGCCGCCCGTCAGACCCCCGAGGGCAGCGTTTCCGGTAGCTGGGTTGTCCAGGACACCAATGACCGAAGTCACGGGTGCGATCCCCTCATCAGAGACCTGGGAGGTACCTCCAAGCTGGTCATATTGAGCTGAAAAAGAACCAAGTATGGAGGTTAGTTTAACTTAGAAGCGCTAGATGGATTGACGAATTCGCAGTTGGTGACAAATGATTTGAGCCACAAGGCCCAACACTTGAGAAAAGCCGTAACAAAAACACTACAGTGCCCATGGCGAAGATTGTCGCATATTGATGAGGCTTTCAAGAGCGGATCGACCAAGATGTGGGTGCTGCTTACCTTGGATGGTGCGCTGCGCATGTGCTGCTTCCTCCTGGGTCTTGTATTTGATGAAGAAGACCTCCGGCTTGCTGGGCTGCTTGGGGGCGATCTCCTCGATGGCCGTCTGCAGGTCCAGGGGATCGGGCTTCTTGGTCAGGACGTAGATGATGGTCTTCTCCTCCACGGGAGCCTGCTTGATGCGCAGAGCCGCCTTACTCACGCTGGGCGTGGGCGCCTTGATGAACACAATGCGGTAGTGCTTGCGAGGAGGTGCCGGAGAAAGGACGGGCTGAGGGTACCGCTCCTCGGGCTCCTCAGCTGGCGGTACATGCACATATATGTCCTTGGAGACCAGGTGCTGTTGCTGCTGCTGTTGTTGCGGCTGGTAGCTCTGTTGCTGGGGCAGGGCGTTGTAAGCAAAGTTGCCGGTTAGCTGCGTAGGCTGCTGCTGGTACTGCTGAGGCTGCGTCTGGTACTGCTGGGGGGCCGTGGAGTAGCTGGCACTGCCGCCGGACAACACCTGCTGCACCTTGGGGGCCTGTAGAGCCTGCTGAAGCAGAGTCTGCTCGGCAAAGCTGGCAATCTGGGGAATCTGGGGAATTCCGGGCAGCTGCAGGGGCGCGGATGGCTGCTGCTGTTGGACTTGACTGTAGCTGTATCCTTGGGGCGCAGCCACCGTCAGGCCCAGAAGGCAAGAAACCTGGCAAGAAACAAGGCCATCAGATAAGTGCATCCACTGCGGAATCTGAGACGGGAGCTTACAATAAAGACACGCATTTCCAATGGAGATTGAGACTGAGATTGAGATGTCTCTGAGGTACCTGGACCCTTGGCAATCAAAATTCGACTAAATGCTAATCACTGGCTGCCCGGACTTATAAGCCGCTGACTCGAAAATGTCGCTCACGAATCTGGCCTGCTGATGAGGCGAAAAGCTTAACTGAAACTGAAACTGAGACCACAAATGCGACTTCAGACGCACGAAGATGCGGACGAAGAGCGTCTAGTAAGCCACCGCTTTTTACGAACCCGCTTGCGTTTTTACAAACAACCTTGAGATAGCGGTGTCTATTGTGGCCAGATACCAAGAAAAAAATAAAAATAATAACAAAAAACCCAAACTCCGATCTTCGAAGCCAAAGCCAAAGCCCTGCGTCATCTCTCCGACTTGGTCAAGAGAAGAAAGAGCCAAAAGCCATCTAGCCGGAAGTCATATGCGATAACTTTACAAAAATAACTTTGGGCTTTGTTTTGGGCCAGCAATTTCGCTGGCTTTCATCGTTGATGTGCTGATGCCCGGCTCATAATTGACGAATCTCTGGGATTAACAATCTCGCATAGCGACTTGCATAAATCACACGATAATCTCATTAGTAATGGCGTCAATTTGAAGAGCCGTCCGTAGCCGTCGTCCGTGTGCGTTTTGGCGATTTTTACGTGAATTGCTTTGATTTCCGATGACCCAATTACTAAAGATCTCGGATCATTTCGGCGGGCTCCCCAACTTAATTTGGCCAAACATGGATGATATTATATAATCATAAATGCAGTAGACCCGAGGATGACTATGATACGAGCTTGACGGGCCTCTTTTGGGCAAACAATTAAGGTAATTTTTGGCAAACGGTCGCTGCCGTCCGAGTCGCCGTCACCGCTGTCGGTTGAGGTTGGAGCTTCAATCAATGTCCATCGCTGGAAGATGTGGGTCATAATTTCGGAGTAGACCCTAGCAAGATAAATGATGATGATGTTTTGATGTATGACTGGGGATTTATCAAAAAAACATATGCATGGCGGGGGTCGAAATGAAACACAATCCCTTCAAATGACCGGGTAGCGTGTATTGTTTCCCTGCATACTTTTTGCTCCGAGAATATGTACATCGGCATCCAAAGTTTTGACAGACAGGTTGTGCAATCCGCCCCTTGACGATGCCATGGAGGTGCAACCGAGTGCGTCCTCGACTCCTGGACTCCTCCCCCAACCTAATGCAAAATGTGGGAGGGATTCGTGAGCCTCATTAGCCTCTGGAGTTGGGCAACGCAATTAGCGCCATTAACGCCAATCCAGCCATTCAGTTCCATCTCTCAAGAGTATCTTTCTATTTCCCTTTTGAATTTCATCAATTTCTCTTTCGGGCCCATTCGTTCGTGGGAAATTAACATGGTCAAGGCTTGAGGTGGCGAGATTAGACCGCGGAGATATAAACAAAGTGAATTAAATAATTAAAATATTATAAAAACACCAATTCCAAATATTAATCAATAACCAAATCCCGCGAATGGCAAATGACCGCGGATTGCTTGATAATGGCACCCAGCAGTGTGTCTCAAAACAAAAAATAAATTACTCTTTCAAATGAAATTGGTTGGTTAATTTTTGTTTAATTTTTTAATTGTTGTTTTAATTGGGAGGTATTGAATTGAAGTAAAAAGAATCAAAAAAGCAGCGTAGATTATATATTGGATGATACATTTGTTAACTTAAGTAAACGAAAACGGAAAATAAACGAATAAACGAAATGGCTTAAAGTTGAGAAATACTGTAACCTATTTTATAATCATTTCTAATCATTGATAATAACCCTTAAAGATAGTTTGTAAGAAATACGTTTGAAACGTTTTAGACCAAATTATTGATAAGTATAATCTTTCTATAAACATACCAAAACGGAAACGGAAATGGAAACTACGCCTTAACCAATACTTATGAAAAACAAAATACTGGTTAATCATTGGATCAGGATCAGCTCTCTTACCTTAACAGGTTCATTTCTGGCTTATAGCATAACTCATAGTTAGCTAAGATGGAGACTCTCGACTACATGCTAACCGGTATTCCTCCCGTCCCTCCGTCTTAACCTAATAAACACATTTTTTTCTATGCTGTTGCATACTTTTATGCATCTTTGTTTTTTATTAAAAATTAAAGTAGTTTAAGTATTAGAATTTAAATTGATAATTTCTCTCAAAGTCTTGAAATTAATCTATTATTAGGAAATTGATGGTCTGCGGCTTTTGTAAAATCATTTTATGAGAAAATATTTGGGACAACTATTTCGTATATCTGCGTTATAAATCTAAAATAGATAAGGCCACTCTTTGTCCATATTACATATTATATGTTTTATGATTAATTACAAATTGTTAGAAACTGTATCAAGCTTTTCATTAGGCAGCATACTTTATTTACTTTTAACTAGAAAAGTTTTAAGCTTGCTTCTAAGGCCTTTAAATTCTGCAAATATGTTATAACTTTAATCATCCAATTTATTCTTACTTGTAATACTGTATGTATAAAAAATACTCTTTCAAATTTATATTTCAGATAAAATCAATAATATTATATATTTAATACATGTCTTAAGCAATCGGCTGTGTAGCAAAATTTCTCTTTTCAATATTGGCCATTCATTGAACGGCTAACACATGTGTTTGTAATAAGCTTAGAGGAAATGTGCAACCATCATCCGACGGAGTGATTCCGAGAACTGCTATGCTTCGAAAACAAGTCGCTGATAATCGATTTTGGGTGCTGAGATGCGTAAATGGAGAGTGGACATGGCATGTTCATTAGCTGCCCACGAAGCTCCGCTGAAGGGTATGAGATCCGGGGAGGAGGAGCCCAATCGCCGTTCATTCATGTAAACGGCTCATTACACAGACCGCAAGTGTTCGAGGGGCATTTAACACGATGCGGCCCTGTCCGGGGCATAAATGGGACCCTAAACGATTTTCCGAAATACATAATCAAAAGGGTATTTGGCCCCCAGTACCCAAGAAAGTCTGAGCCCACCGCTAGACATGATAAATGGTAAATGGCCCGACTGGCATCTGGTGAAGAAACGATCGACTTGAGGGACATAGGCAAATACTGAGCCGGCTGGTCATTAATTTGGCCTGACAACTCAAAATGGCGCAGGTCGTGCAGGTCTTCATCCAGGGGCACGAAGACGCTGAGTGGCCGCAACACGGGCTGATTATCCGGAGACCGGACACTTGATTGACTCATCACGACGGGGTGAGAGGTGGCATTCCTAGCTGCACGTCGGACTAATACTAATACTGATTAAATGCTTATGCAATTTCTCTTTTAATAATATTTAATCGATGCGCGCTGTGCGGAGTAGGTGCCTCCATTGGGCAAACGCAGACCCGGCTCCGGCGGATCACTGCCTCGGAGTATCGCTGTATGGCTATATCGGGGCTAACAATTAAGTGCTACAACAAAGACCGACCAGGGGAACCACGCTAATTGGCCATGTATTGCCAGCAACTACAAGCAAGTCTCGCCATTTAATGAGGGATGCGAACCACCGAGCCACCAAACCACCGTAGAGGCGAAGGTAAATGGTAAATGGCGAAGAAGAGCCCCGCAGAAGAAGAAGATAAAACGAACTAAAACAAATACAATGAACATGCAACAAATCGAGGCTGTGCGCTCTTTTTGGCAGCTTCGGATCATTGTTGAACTTCACCTATTAACTTTCGAGTGTCGGCGCGACGGAGTTGGAAAATGTGTAAGATACGAGATATGTATAAAAGACGCTCCGAACCTCCGAAAGTCATACAGTTCACAGCGAGCAGTAACAGAAGCAAAACCTCCATCCTTCCAAACCCACTCAAGCAGCTCAACCAAGCCCAGAAATGCGTGGATTCATTGTAAGTCCCATAAGCGGATGAGGATAAAGGAGCCAGCCAAGGATTGCGGCTAATTAACCTTTTCTGCTTTACTCTCATCCAGGTCCTGTGTCTTGCCGCCGTGGCGCTGGCCGCCCCTCAGGGCTACAACTACAACCCCGGCCCGTCTGGCTTTGGCGGTATTAGCACATCCGGCGGTGGGGCCACCTTCTTCCAGGGCGGCGCCCCGCAGCAGGTGGTGCAAGCCGTGCAGCCAGTGCAACAGCAGCAAGCCTTCTACCAGCAGCCCGCTGTCCAGACCGTCCACCACCAGCAGCAGCACCAGGTCCAGCAGCAGCCCCAGGCCATCGTCTCCAAGCGCTTCTTCATCCACTCTGCTCCTGAGGAGGCTGAGGACTACAAGGAGCGTCACATCACCGTCGGCGTGCCCAAGCGCAACTACAACGTGGTGTTCATCAAGTCGCCCCAGCGCAACAACAGGAAGACTATCAAGATCAGCCCCGCCGCCAACGAGGAGAAGACCGTCATCTACGTGCTGAGCAAGAAGGGCGAGAGCGACGTGAACGCCGAGGTTGTCGAGCAGTCCAGCTCCACCAGCAAGCCCGAGGTCTTCTTCATCAAGTACAAGACCAACGAGGAGGCCGCTCACGCCCAGCAGCAGATCCAGGCCCAGTACGATGCTCTGGGCGGAAGCAGCCAGCTGACCGATGAGGGAGTCGCTCCCGTTACCTCCGTGATTGGTGCCCTGGGTGGAAGCGACGGCCATGTTGAGGCTGGATCCGGCATCGGAGCCACTGGCGCTGGCCAGATCGTGTCCACCGGCTCGGCTGGATCCCACACAGGCAACGCATACCTGCCACCCAATTTCTAAGCAGTTGAGCTGAGCAAGGAACCCGGATCAAATTATTGATCGTCCTGCCAATATTGTTGTTTCTAATAAATGTAAATCGTTGTTGAATTTTAAATCAAACTTTTATTTTATGGTAAAATACTTTAAACTTGGTAAAACTTTATCTGCAGGTTGTTAGAAAATAATATTTTCAAGATAGTCAGTCTTTTCTACAAACAAAAGTCTTAAAACACTCTAGTACTTTACGTCCCCAATCTCCAGTTTTAATTGTTATTATTGAAGAATTTGGTAAAGGGGGTGATTTCCAAGCCAAATCTTTACTTTAATGCTTATTAAAAAAGGAATATTTAGGTATCTAAAAACTAATAGGAAAATATGACATTCTATCGAAAATATTTTATTATTTTTAAATACTTTAACATACCATCTTTCCTGAAGAAATGGCCACCCTCCGTTTAATTATCCTAGTTTAACATACAATGGTCTTCTGTCAGTGTCAGTGATCTCTTATAAAATGTATAGTCTAAATAAAAATATACCAGGCACGAGGTAGACCAGGAAAGATAGTACCGGGTACCGGGCCAGTATACCTTGATTTTCGTTGGAGCTCCTCAGTGGGAGTTCCCCTTTAATTACGCACATTGTGCGTGATGTATGAACCTAATATTGAACAAAAGTCTCGCCGCATTGGATCATCATTACTTGGAAATATTTAATTGCACCGCAAGCAACTATTCACCAGAAAAGCATTGCCAATTCCGCAGCCAAAAATAATCAAAGCCATTGTAAAGCCATTGTTGTGACGAAACACAAAAGCTACAAATCTCTAGGTCTTGAAAATCAATAAACGAAAAAATGGGGAAGCAAACATGTATTATTTTTTCCAGGAAAATGTACTTTTTTATTGGTTTAAAGAAGTATACCCTTAATATTCATTACCAAACGTGCCTGAGTCAAAATAAGAAAGAAAACAAAGCCAACATTTTCTAATATTTTTATAGAAATCTAAAAATATTATGGTTTATTATTATATGCTCTAGGTAATCTGGAATAATAAACATACTCTTCTTATACCATAGGCTGCAGTTTTCATAACTCGGTATCCAATTAGCCCCATGCATTAGCCTGGTTATAATAACCAGCAATTTTTCAATCAAAACAAATGTCACTATTATTGTGTCAACACGTCGTTTTACAGCACAAATCACGGTAATTAGTTGTAAATTGTGAAGACACGCTGGGAAACAAATAATTAACTAATCAATAAGACAATTAAAATATATTTGGTGGCTGGTATAACATGCGTGGTCATCCGTCCGGAATTGTCACTCCGGAAAGAAGAGCCATGGGCCGCCTGTTTCAGCTTCAGGAGAACTGTCTCCGGGCCATGGGCCACACCGGCGGTCACGAGAATAGCATCTCCGATGGAAAGTTGAGCGTGAAGCACATAGTTTCCCTGGCCTTCGTCGTGTCGGCCCAGTACCCTCTTATCTCGTACATTGTCTACAATCGCGAGGACATGGAGAAGGTCACGGCCTGTCTAAGTGTTGTCCTCACCAATATGCTGACCGTGATTAAGATCACAACCTTTCTGGCTTACAAGCAGGACTTTTGGCGAATGATTCAGCGTTTCAGGGAAATGCATCAGCAATGTAATAGTCTCCTTCTAATCCTCAATCTATTTATAATTTGTCTCGAACCTCAAACTCTCGCCAGCAAATAAACGGAACGCAGATGGGGACGGATACGGTTACGTGGCAGCCGCCAACAAGGTAGCCTCCTTGCTGGGACGGGCCTATTGCATCTCCTGCGGCATCACTGGCCTTTACTTTATGCTCGGACCCATTGTTGCCATTATTGCCAGCAAATGGAGGGGCACGACATACATCCGAGAGCTGCCCATGCCGATGAAGTAAGTGAAGTGACCGTCGAGTTACCGGGTATTTGATTGGGGCATTCGCCTTTTCCAGGTTCCCTTTCAACGATGTCAACACTCCGGGCTACGAAGTGGGATTCCTGTACACCGTCTTCGTCACCGTGGTCGTTGTTACCTACGCCTCTGCCGTGGACGGACTATTTATCTCCTTCGCCATCAATCTGCGGGCCCATTTCCAGACCCTGCAGCGGGACATTGAGAACTTCAACTATGCCCTGTCGGAGCGAGAGGTTCGGGCAGCCCTGCGATCTGTTGTGGACTACCATGTGGAGCTGCTCTCTATGTCCAAGCATTTGCGTGTCATCTATACCCCCATTGTTTTTGGACAGTTCTTTATAACATCGCTGCAGGTGGGAGTCATAATCTATCAACTAGTCACGGTAAGTTCCTTAATGCCATATTGGCTTTAATATAAGTACATATAACTATAATTGTACCATTAAGTTGTAAGATGAACCTTGTATATGCCGATTCTTGTTCGATTTCTTATAGCGATTGGACTCAATTATGGATCTGCTAGTATACCTCTCGTTTTTGGGCTCCATCATGTTGCAATTGTTTATGTACTGCTATGGGGGAGAGATTATAAAAGTAGAGGTCTGTGCCTAAGAAATACTTACTAGTATTCTTCATAAAATGTAACCATTTAACTGCAGAGTTTAAAAGTTGACATTGCTGTGCGACTATCCGACTGGCACTTGGCCACCACCACCATTCGGAAATCTCTGGCCTTCATCATCCTACGCTCGCAGAGGGAGGTCCTGATTAAGGCCGGCTTCTATGAGGCCTCGTTGGCTAATTTTGTGGCGGTATAGTTACTTATCGTTAGTATCAACAAGTTTATTGATTTAAATTTTTTTTAGATTTGCAGAACTGCAATGTCGCTGATTACTCTAATAAAATCTATCGAGTAGTGATTAATCTTATTAATTATTATTTATTCGCCAATTAAAATAATAGCTTCATAGAACCGACCTTACTTTAGACGATTGCTTATCACCCTTTGGCGGTTTTCCTTTAAACTAATTTGCTGTTTAAAATTCCAACAATTACAAAGAATTATCAATCTAAAAGTATTAGCAAGCCCCTTATCGTGTGCCGTCAATATATGTAAATAATAATGTTTGTTTACTTGAGTGGTTGACCTCAGCTGACTGCATCACCTTGCCGTACATAGTACATATTCTGGTCGGCGACCACATGGATGCATTCTGATGCTATAGGTGCTATAAATGGGCAGCTCCTCGCTTTGGAGTCGACAGTCAGCTTCATCGTTCGGTGGCGCTGCGTTCAATCTTTCAATTTCCCGAATATGACCAACAGTGAGTCGCTTTGGATAACCTCCACCTAGTTCTCGACTAACCCTTCAGATCTCTCGCAGAGCTTACCCTAGCACTGCTCCAGCTGCCCGTGGGCAACGATGTGGACGCTAATGTACGGCGGGCGGTTTCCGCCGTAACACAGCTGAAGGCGGATAATCCAAAGCTGCAACTGGCCATTCTGCCGGAGAGCTTCAACGCCCCCTATAGCCAGGAGGACTTTCCCAAGTTCGCCGAGTCGGTTCCCGAGGGCCCAACCTGCACCACCTTGTCGCAACTCGCTCTCAAGCTGGGCATCTACATAATCGGCGGCAGCATTGTGGAGCGCGATGCCGGAAAGCTGTACAACACATGCACCGTCTGGGGACCCGACGGGAAGCTCCTGGCCAAGCATCGAAAGATCCACCTCTTCACCATGAAAATTGAGCCCGAAAACGCCGGTGGCGTAGAATTTGATGAGGCGGCTGTCCTGACGGCCGGATCCGACCTGACTGTTGTCCAGATCGGACAGCAAAAGGTCGGCATTGGCATCTGCCACGACAAGCGATTCGAGGAACTTGCCCGGATCTACCGCAACATGGGATGCACTATGATAGTCTACCCATCCGCCTTTTGCATCTGTCAGGGGCCCATGCACTGGGAGCTCCTCCAGCGAGCCCGGGCCACGGACAACCAGCTGTACGTGGTCACCTGCTCGCCGGCCAGGGACAACATGTCCGGCTATGTGGCCTACGGGCACTCCATGATCGTGAATCCCTGGGCTCAGGTGCAGCGCGAGGCGGGCGAGGGATGCGAGTTCATAGTGGAAGAAATTGGTGAGTTGGGAATGCTTTTCGATGAAAACCTTAGAGTTATGGGTTCTTGTTCTCCCCCAGACTTCGACGTGGTTGAGCAAGTACGGAGGCAGATTCCCATCTTCAAGCAGCGGCGCACAGATGTCTACGCAAAGGCCCCCAAGTTGTAGAATCTTTTTAAACGAATAAAGTACTCTTTAAAACAGCGGGAGTGTAATTTGGTGATACGGCATGAAGTGCTTATCGGCCCCGGCTCGGAAGTGCTCGCAATCAGGGGCAGCCGGAATCGGAGCACTACTCGGCAAGCTAGAGGGCTCCGATCTGGGTGCGCAGTGGCTTCGAGAGCGCGAGCAAGCCAGAACGCAAACAAAGCTAAACCATGTCAGGCACTAAGCTCGCGGGGCTGGCCGTATCAGTGGCCCTACTGCTCAGCTTTTGGGTTGGGACGGGGCAGGCCCAAGTAGGCTATGTGCGCCACCTTTCGAAGCTGCGGATCAAGGACCTGGAGGGACTGGCCATGCGCTTGCAGCGATCGATCAACCCGGAAAAGTATGCCTGTGAAAGCTACTTCGACTATGTGTGCAGCCGGAATAAGCCGCTTTTTTCCATCATGGGTAGGTAGATTTTGGGAGTCCTGATGCCTCATGCCGACTCTCGATTCCACAGGTCACATGCCGCAGATGAGCGAGCTCTTCCAGCTGATGACGGACCTGCAGAACGATCCGGAGCAGTTCGAGGCCAAGCAAAAGCTGCTCGACTTTTTCATTTCCTGCAACTCGAAGCACGCCCTGGAGGATTGCTATCGCCAAACCTTCGAGTACTTCAAGCCCCTGTTCGGATATATTATCACCAAGCCCCTATTGGAAGGCAGTTCCCACGAGCTGGACGACTTCCTGGGCGTCCTGGACCGATTCGTCCGCACAGCCAAGAACGACTTCAGCTCTCACCCAATCCTCGCGAAACTGAGCACCTACAAGCAGAAGTTCAAATCGCCGAAGATCTACTTCCACGCCGGGGACCTCAACCGCGAGTACCGCTCCCTGCGCATCTATCGGGAGAGCTACGAGCACAATGTCCGCAACCTGGAGCAGCATAGGAAGCTAAACTCCACGTACGAGCTGGGCGTGCAGCGCACCATGTTGGACTGGAGCCTGTATCTCCACCAGAGTCGCAACAAGCCGATGTCGTACTACTACTCCACCTTCACCGTCCACCTCTACATGACGCTCTTCAACAGTACGGAGCGGCAAAGGGACTTTACGCGGTTCCGGGAGGCGGTGGAGTGCTTGAAGCTGCCGCAGTTTGTCAACGTTCTGGACGAGGCCCGGATGCTGGCCGTCATCTATCTGAAGAGCTTCCGCAATGCATGGCGAGATTACTCGTCGTGGATCGTGTCCCAGCCGCAAAACCAGGAAATCTACGACCAGGAGAACTCTATTCTCCAGAAGTATCACCTGAACAACAAGCGTCTCTTCTTCACTCTCTACGCCCAGAACTTCTGTGAGTTTGGCAAGGACTTGGCAGAGCACGTCTTCTACCTCGGGCTCAACCAGAATCCGGACTTCTTCAACATATATTCGTGCGGATTCCAGACTGAGAACCCCATGAATTGCGTATAATATTCGACTTTATTCTCACCAGCAGTTGAAAACACACATTTTTTTAAACAATACCAGTATCTTTGTAGTATAGACTTCATCCTTTAAAAATTGTTTATTTTTTGCCTGTATAACCTTAATCATTATATAACTTGTATTGTAAAGAGTCTCTGAAGTGAAGGCATTCCAAATATCTTTCTCATTTTTTCTCAGGAAAAAGTGTAAATGCCAAGCCAAATTTACATGCTCATTATCCAACCCCGGACCTCCATAGGGCGTGGCGCGTCCTTAACTGAGCTTCCTCGAAATTATTTCAGCTTGAAACGAGGAAAAATAAAATTCCTCGAATCCCTCGCATTCAGACGCGGCCACCCATTAAAGCCCTCTTATTGTCCTTCCTTCCCGCCGGGGAAATCCTTTTCAGTGGCATTTCGAGTTGGTTCCTTTGTGACCGCGTCTGCGGTCGCAGCAGTCTTTTCCAGCCTAAACTTTAACACCCTCTCGAAGTAATCCGCCGCCTCTGCCCTGTGGTAGAGTTTCGCCAAGTCGATGCAGGAACTTCCAACACCATCCAGAGCCGCCAGGTCTGCGCCGTGGGTTACCAGAAGTTTGATGAGCTCCAGGTCTGCGTCCATAACCACTGAACCCCAAAAACAAGTTAAAATTCCGTTTGAGAGGAACACCCCTTTCCGCGGTTCTTACCCGCTCGCATGAGGAGGGTCCAGCCGCAAGAGTCTCTGGCCTCCATCTCGGCGCCAGACTCGAGGGCAAAGTTCACCATCGCTAGCTGGTTAGCGTCCACGGCGCAGTGCGCAGGGGTCATGCCATTGCTGTCCTTCGCCTCCAGGTTGGCCTTCTTGTTCAGCAGGATGCGAGCCGACGGCAAGTGTCCGTAGTAGAAGGCTAGCTGGAACGGAAACAGAGCCGGTCGGTCATTGTCGAAAGCAGAAAGAAGCCTTTACAGACATGAAGCGGGGTGCGACCATTGCCCGGATTGCCGAGGTGGACACTGCAGCCGGCGGAGAGCAGGACATCTATGATGCACATCTCTCCTTGGATGATGGCATTGGCCAACGGCAGGAATCCGTTGGGGGCCGGGTACTCTATCAGACTCGGCCGTCGGCGCAGCATCCGCTTGACCAGAAACTGTTGGCCCTTCCTGATGGCGCGGCTTAGGCAGTTGGTGGAAGGTTGGGCTGCCACAGTGGAGGCCTTAACAGTAGTAATGAATATTAAGTTTATGTTAGTTAGTTCATCAGTTAGAAAATGAGTATCACTTTCATGCACTTAAGATGCTATATGGTTCCCAATTGAAAGGTTTATTAAACTTCGTAACTTTTAATAGATTCTAGTTAAATATTTACAATAACATCAGGTGATATAGACATTGGTACGTAGCGTCCTCCATCCTCGGCGAGTTGCAAAGCTTTGATACGCAGGCGGTATACAAAGTTTTCTTCCAATTTGGTCACCTCCACTGGAGAGCTGGAGGTCCACTCCACCTGCTGCCAGGACCTCCGCTTATGGTACTTCTCGATTCTGTAGACCAAGGCACTTTCCAGAAGCGTCCATTCGAGGGTAACGCTGTTGACCGTGGACTTTAATACCCGAGCCTCGAAATTAGGCCAGGCCAATTCGGTGCCATTTGATGGCCCTGGATCGGGTTTCAGAGGCTGTTCCAATTCAATTTCCAACTCACTGTCACTTTGTTCTACTTCATTGGAAGTCCGTCGATTGGCCGGAGCACTTTCATCCATGCTGCTTGCCATTCATACACATTTAGCCAATTTCCTCGCCCTATTGCTCCTGGCCAGATGCCCGTAAAGTCCTGCTTCCGCTCTGAGTCCGGTAATAGAAAAAGCAGCACCATGGAAACGACCATGGTAACGGAGAGCCAAAGCTAAAGCTGGGGAAGTGGATTTTGATTTTTTTTTTTGCTGTTAAGTCAATAAATTGGTGCAGTGCCGCTGTGTGCGGTTGTGGGCTGTTGAATCCTGATTGCCCGCTTGCTGTCCCCGACAGGCGACTCCCTTTTGTTCGCCCGGATGTGCTGATATTGCCCCTGGCCCAGCCCTCAAGTGCTGGGCTTACATAGTTTTTAATGTACCCGAAAGAAACTGAAACTTTTTCGCCCCGGCGTGCGTTGGTGTTACTTACTTAACGAGCCTTTGACAATGTCCCGGCGATATGACGGTCGAGCCAGCGATGATTCGGAATATTTTTCCGGGGCCCTGGAATTTATCTGTCCGGAACATTGTGCCAGCTCATCATCGCCCCCATGGAGCTGCGGAGGAGATACGGTTTCGAGTATCTCTGCGCCAGCCGGGGCTCCACTGACATGTCAAACACAAAGCCCGACAACCGACCACCGACAACCGACACATACACATGCAAAAAATTATCATTTGTCAAAATCACAACATGAAACCGTTTTAAATTAAGCCACTCTGCCAGTCATATGCCCCCATCCTATTCCATCCCATTCCTCGGCTTAAGTCCTCCCACACTCCATACTTTTCGTTTTCAATCCGCCAGCTTGGGTTTGGGATTGGGTTTGGGTTTGTGCTTTTGCGGGCCAAAATGACATTGTCTGCGGCTGAAGTGAAGAGAAGTTCAGTTGTCATCTTTGCAGCGGCTGCTGATGAATCCTCATTGATTGAAAACGACCGCAAGTGCCCCTGGAGGAGGGAGCTGGAGCTGCCTTCATTATTTCGTGACAGGCAACTTATTAATTTGATTCTGTAGATGGGTGCTGTAGTCTTAAGTTGAACGGAAAAGTTAGTAAAACTAACTAGCTATTAAATAAGTAATTCCATTCACTTTTGGAGACAGTTTTGAATGTTTAAAGAGTTGAGATAAAAGGACAGTTTGAAGAAAGTTGAACTTGGAAAGTTCCTTCTGTTTTCATGAATGAGCTCTGCCTCCCTTGGGACACCTTTTACCCCATTTAGAGGTAAAGATTATCTGCTGATAGGATAGGTTGGTTTAAAAACGGGTTTTCGCTGTGCAATTTTAACAAATTGTTACCAATTGGACCCACAGGACTTGGCTGCGTAGGCGTCCTCTGCATGATGTAACGACACATTGTTGTTTACAGCTCCGGGAAAATCTCCAGGCGAACGGAGCGCCTGGGTAGTCTCGCGGCTATCATTAGAGTCGAAATAAGCCGAAAACGGCAGCCAAGCGCCAAATGTGCCCAATTTGCCTTTCGACGCGTCGACCGATGACGAGAGGCAGGAGGAAAAATGGCAAGAGACAGGGCCAAAAAAAAAACCATAACAAAGCCAATAGACGATGAAGTGCGCCTTACTCCGGGCTGGAGGATGGAAGGAAACAACAGGAAGCATGATGAGGCCGGGAGGATTGAGCCCAAGGAGCAGAATACCATAACAGGTGGCATAAAGTAAAATGGGTTTGATTCTAATCAAAGTAATGGGCCCCGCAACCGCATGATGACGTGTATGGCTTAAGGGGTTACGCCACCCTGACCGCGTTGAAACGGCACGGTTTTTCAGGAATTTCTTGTGACTAAACTAGTTGAGATAGGATTTTTCCACTTTTATTTCTATTTAATGCAACTAATGAGCTTTATAAATTCTAAAAAAAAATTTGTTTTCAATTCAAAATGGCGGAGATATGAACATCGGCGATCATGGGTTTTTCCGGAGTGCTCCTTGATGGTGGGCATGATTCACGTGTCAATTTTCATCAGAAAAAAGTAAACAAAAATTTTTTTTAAAAAGTGATAAATTTGGAACAGAGTGACGTAGCCGTTTTAGAAAAAAAAAAAAATTACGCAAATGAGAGCACTTCAAAACTTGACTCAATGTTTTGGGCAAAAAATGTCGTACTAAAAATTGCATAAAAAAATTTCTATCCATTGGATCGAAAAAATCCTACGTCACTCTGTGGAAAATCCATGTAAGAAGATGTGTTTCAAATTTCAAGTCAATCGGTTGAACAGTTTTTGCGTTATCATGCCCACCGTCTTGAAAAAAGTGGTTTCGAGAAAAACGCAAAAGAAGAAAAAGAAGTGTCTTAGGTGACCTCCTGCCGTGCCGACTTCAAATAAGCATAACTTCCATAATTATCAAGATATTGTCTTCGGGGACGTCTTAAAATACGCGTAAGAATATATTATTTTAAATTAAGTAAAAAAAAAAAAAATCGATGTTTTGAAAATTTCAGGGTGGCGTGACCCCTTAATTAAATAATTTATATAAATTACTTATACGTCCCTCGCACGCACACACCCTCAGGAATTTGTTTCCCGAACAGTTCCACATTCCTGCCTCTGAAGGCGGAGCCTGCACGCCTACGCCTAGCAGGAAGGGAGACATATCCTGGAGGCTCAGGTAAACAAGTCGACGTTATCAGGGCCCCGCTAACACTCGACATCTTCCGGCTGGTGCGTCGTTGCTGGCGGAACGTCGCCATAAAAGCGCCGACGCACCCACACACGGCTCCCCCAACAGAAATTAGCGAACGCTAACCTGTCACCGGTTCCGTATCCGAATCTGGCCATAAAGCAATTTGTTTATCGGACCACGGAAGCTGCTAGGCTTATGTAAGCATATGGATGGTGCCCCTTCTTGCCCGGTCTGGTGGAGCGGGGCGGGGGGAAAGTTTGTTATTAGCTGGGAGCTTTCGGTGGGCAAGCTTTCGCCTTGTTTTGGGGGTCAGCTGTCAAAACTGACAGAAGCAGCAGCAGCGGAAGAGCTCAGGAAAGCGAGAGAGGGTGCTCTGGCTCGAGCGCGCTCTTTCTCCCTACCTCTCTCTCTGTCTCTCTCGCATGGCTAAAACATTTTACATTGCCTACATTTTGGCATATTCCCCATTTCGTCCTTTTTCGGCAATTTCGTGTAGTTTTCGGCCAAAAGCAACGACTGTGGCAGTGGCAGAGCCAGATTCTGGGGCAGCGACGGCGGCAGCGACAACTTTTTCGGTATGTATACGTCGTCGTGGAGCTCTCAGTCAGTGTAATGTCGCTGTTGTGCCGCGCGAGTGCGCCAAGTGGGAAATACACGGAATATTTGTAGTTTAACTGTGCCTTCGACGGTTGTAGGTAAGGCCGCCAGCGTCAGTGGATTGGAACTCGCAATCACACTTTCTTTGTGCCATCAAAGACACTCTGTCTCCGGGTAGACTCCGTCCCCAGCACCCACACTCCCCCTCCAAGCCTCTTAAAGGCGAAAAACACCACCCCATCAGCCGCCATCTGCCACCCGTCAGCCGTCAGCAAAGTGGACTGCAATGCCCTGGAGACCAGGACGTGACGTGACTTAAGCAGGGAGCCAAGCCAAGCCAAGCCAGAAGTAATAAGCAATTTGTGGCGAAAAAGTTAAATCGCACACTGCAGCTCTCGTTGGCTGAAATATAATTGATTGGTATATAAACCAGAGTGGAGGAGACACATCCTGATAAGGGGGCGAGCGTGCTGCCAGCCCCTGTCTGCTGCGAAAACTATAATTGATTGAGTGGAAAACAATCCAGTCAAGTCCTGTCCAGTGGCCTTTGGCGAGGATGGACTTGTGTAGCACTAATTAGAAATCTGGAGCTCTGCTCTAGTCTCTGTTGCAGTGGCCACGGCCAAATGCCGCGCACTAGCCGCCGGCGGACGTGGCCAGAACTTGCCAATTTCCTCCTCTCAAGCTGCGGGCTTCCTGAGCTGTGGCTGTGGCTGCTCCCCGCCACTACATATGCAAACTCATACACCACACCGAAATGGCAACTGACATGCGAACAAAGGACAGGGCGGCTGATAGCGGATGCGCCTGATAGTGTGACGGGGTGAGAGGGTGGAGGGTAACGGCTTCCACAACTCGTTAGCAATGGAACAAAGGCGATAACAGGCTCAGGCGGCTGGAGCGTTATCAGCAGCGTTTGGCCTTTTGCAAAAATCACAAGACCCGAATCATCCGAATCCCAATCCGAGTCCGAATCCGAATACGAATCAATACCATCGTATCGGCAGGGCGCAGGCGTCGGCCCACAGAAGTAGGCAATACATCGCTGCTGGATTTCAAAGTCAAAAAGTCAAGATAGGGAGAAAGAGAGAGGCTCGGGTGCTCGAGTGCGACTGCCAGGGACGAAAGGAGAAAAGGAGAGAGGGAGTGAGCCAGCGAGTGAGTCGCGAGAATAATTGAAGCCGAGGAGATGACGAGGGGAGCCAAATTATGTAATAGACAAAAAGTAGCAGCGCAAAAAATAGATTATTAGTAGAACCGAAAGGCAGAAAGCCAACTGGCATTACATAAAGGCAGAGCTCCATGTCCGTTCAGCCTTTAGCGGCTTGAGTGGAAGTTCCATCTTCCATCATGGGAGAAAGCAGGGCGGCAAGAGCTCGCTCGGCTTTTCCGCTCGTTTTTACTCAGAAAACGGCAAAAAAGCACTCAGACCCAGGCCAGCTGGGACTGGGGCAAGCTTCGTGGATTCTTTATTGGATTTTAGGGGCGCTGGGGGGCCGACGGTGGCTGCTGCCGCTGTCGACGTCGGCTGCTGCTTCGGCTGCCGTTGCCGTCGCTGCCGCTGCTTGCGCTGTGTGCGCCGCAGCAGCCCCCAGTCGAGCCCCAAGTCTTCCATGTAGGGAACTCGGCAGTGGCGTCCAGAAGAGTGCGAACATAGCATGAAGTAAGAAGCGCCGAATGAAACATGGCGACGGTCTAGGTGTAAAGTGGAAAACCAAAAAGTATTAAGCACACACACACCCGTACACCCTGGGCCCTACACACTCACACACTGCCATACACAAACACACACACACACACAGTGGAAAGCGAGTGCGGAGTTGAGCGAGTAAACGTGTACATAACGGTCTCTTTGCATATTCGCCTTCTTATAGTAGTTATTCAAACAAAAAACTGGTTAAAAACGGAAACATAAAACCCCAGTCCGAGACGCAATGGCCGCCCTCTGGTCTGAAAAACTAATTTAATTATAAGCAGCAGAATCTGTCGAGCTAATTCAATTACGCGACCAGTAAACTGAGTGCTTTATGTAATAGGTGCGAAAAAAATGGAATTCGGCCAAAAAGACTACGCCGTTCTGAAAGATGCATATAAGCTGTCGGGGCCCAACAACACTCAATCGAATTTGTTTGCTGCGCGTGTTACGTAAAATTTTTGTTTGTTTCCGACCCCCCGATGCCACCCTCGACCTCCCTCCGGCCTACCCATCCAGCGCCATAATGGGCACTTACGTGCACGCTCCCATAAAAGAAACCCTAATAAAGAAATATCGATAAAAGCAACAAAAGCCAGCGACAACACAACAACAACAGAAACACAAACCCAAACACAAACACAATAACAAATAACAGTAACACAATGCGCCTCTTGGGGAAGAGGGAACGGTAGCGGGAGCGGAAGAGGAAGAGGAAGCGTGTATGGGTCCCATATTTTTAAATTAAGCGCCATTCGAGTTTAGTTATCGGGGCGCCGAACAGAATATATCTATCATGCACGAATCTGCAATCGATATGGTTCTCATGAGTCTTCTGCCTCTGCTCTTTGCCTTTCAGAAACCCTGTCCGTCTAATGCTCGCTCTCCTCTGCGGATTTCTTTAAAACAAAAACACTTCAACGCCAGCCATTTCTCCAACTTTGCTACTTCAACAACAAAAACACTGACAGCCCAGCCCACTCACACACAGCCATCGGTGGCCATCTGAAAAGGAATATTTGCTGAACGGAGCCCAGGTAAGTGAGTCTCACTCAGGTCTGAAGTCCAAAGTCCCAGGGCCCAACCTATCAGAAAAGTGTCCAAAGAATGCGACAAGTATGCTCCAAACTTTTACGCATTTCACGTTAAATGTTTGTGCAAACTTTCTCGCAGCTTGCACATTTTTGTCCACATTTTGACGCGCTCAAAGCTGCGGTGCTATTATAAATCCTTCAAATTCCTAAAGAGCAGCGAGATTTCGTTTGGGGGACCTTCTTCTTTGACGCTTACTTTTCCAGGTTGCAGCCAACACGGCGGATACTTAATATTGTTGCTTAGTCCTCTTTGTAGTGTACTCGCTGACCCTATTCCTGGCCAGAATGTGGCTATGGAAGGGGTATGGTCCGGTTAGAGTCAGGCAACAATACTATACCGAATACCGAACCGAACGCAGCTTATTTGCGTGTTTATTGGCTTTGGCTTTCATACTGGTTCCTGTATTAGAAAACTTCAAACGTAATTGGATAGCCAGGCCACAGCCGAGCGGCGTTTGTTTGTAAAGGGGAAAGCGGATAGGGGACGAACGGATCTTGTTCTTGTCGGGCTGTTCTGTTCAGGGGACCACACCTTGGCCCACCTGACCATAAAATTCTAAGCACGAATGCCATAAATTTTCGCTTCTATTTACATATATTAAGTCAGGCATGCTCTTCCTGCCCGAGCCCGAGCGTTCCTACTGGAGCGTAGAAAACCCGTTTCCTTGCCTAATTTTCTCTGCCAGGCGGCTGGTGGAGATTAAAGTGAATTTTCCAAAATGTAAATGCTCTGGCCAATAAACAATTCAACTGTCTGTCCTATGCTGACTGAGTGGACTGACGAAAGGACTGCCAGCGGGAAAGGACTCTGCAGCATCAGCTTAATTCATTAGCTTAGACCGAAAATGGGGGCTGGCCGGAGGATGGAGGAAAGAGCGCACAAGTCAGCAACAAAATACGGACTACGGTCCTGCCTCGTCCTTTGGCTCGTCCTTCTCGTAAATGCTTTTTATGTCAATCTAATTTCGTTGCTCGTTTGCTGGTGTTGTTTTAATTTGCGCAGATAGTCGGAAAGCAAGTTGCCGCCTTCAGCTTAAGTTCGTTAGCCCAATTTGCGCAAATATTAATACATGGTTACATACAAAGCACACAGACAGACCCAGGCAGAGACAAGGCCAGCGGCAAGAGGATGTTCGGCCAGAGAGCCGGATTCGAATTCGAAGCCGGAGTCGGAGTCTGAGCCAGTAACCGGAGCTGGTGATGCTGCTGTTGCTGCTTCCCCAGCCGGAGGCAATAATAAAATTGAAAATTTTTGGCCGGGAGGCTTCGTGCCCACATTCATTACGGCATTATTGTACTAGAGGGCCCAGCCAGAGATATTAGATTTCCCCGAATTAAGTACACCACCACCACGGGACGGGGCAGAGTCGCAGCTGCAATTGATGAGACTTGAAACGAGTCGGGACTCGAAAAGAATTGTCTCAACAAGGACGAACCGTACCGACTCTTCGGGGAGTCTGACGACCAAAGGCATTTAAGCTAAGCGGCTTATGGTATCAGGCCCGGGCAGGTGACAGGGCAGCTTGTCGAATCTTCTTCGTCCTTCCATCCTGCCATACACGACATTTTAATTTGTCCTTTTCTCTTTGCTTACAGGAAAGGTCAGCTCGGACCGCGATTGCATTGCCGCAAGATCCGCAGGACTCACTAGAAGGACCTCACTAGGTGCCACGCCCGTGAAGAGACTTAAAGCTTAAAGATGGCGGCCTTCATAGCCAAGCAAATGGTTGGAAACCAATTAAGCGCCGTTAAAGGTAAGTCCCCGACCAGAGCAGGTCCCACCCAGTATCGAATCGAGGTATCAACCCTGGGCATTTTATTTTTGGCACCCGATCAATATGTGTAGTCCTTGCCAGGACCCAGGGGCATACATAATTCACTCTCAAGCTGCTGCGCAGCAACACAAAATAAAATTAAACACATGAAAGTGGCCAATGCTTTTAGATATATATCAGACCCCAGCCCCAGTCCCAGCCCCAGCTCCAAGCCCCGCCCTGCTGCCTGGGCATTAGGTAATGTCATTGGGTTCCCATTGTGGCTGCTGCTGCTGTTTAATCAGCGGCTGTGCAATCGCTCGGAAAATCATTGAATGCTTTCAGAAAGGCGCCCAGATGAGGGCGGGAATATTTAAGTTAAAATGCTTATCAGCCGACAACATGCGAACGAACCCATCATGGTCCTTAGTTTCCCAGTTCCCTCATCCCAGTAGCTCCATGTAAATGGCAGCGGTGCCTTCTGTGACATAATGCTCCTATATTTACCAAGTTGGCTGACGCGGTGGCAGCCCCTTCTGTTCAATTTGCAAGCGAACTGCAAGTGCCCCTCCAAGAATTCAAGAAACCATCCCTCAATGCTCCTAACAGAAGGATGCAGCAGTTCGGGGGCACATTACCGAGCAACGAGTCGCTTATCGAAACGAAAAAATTCTGCACGAATGCGCAGGGAAGTGGTTCCAGGAAAATTGATACACTTAATTGTGTAGATTGATGCGGAATTTGCCACACTTGCCTGCCCCAAAGTCGAGCCGGAACTTGGGCTGGCTGACAGCTGAGGCTCTCGCCCAAATTGTGGTTAGTACAGTCGGCCATTAGGCTGTCAGGTTTGGCAGGCGTGTACACGGAAACGCTATTAGCATGGCCGTAAAACCAGAAAAACCGAATTAAATAATCCGAATTTAGTGGAGGACTTAGTGTACGTACATAAGTGCATATTCATACGCGTGCCGATTCCGAGAATGTCTCACAAAGATATGCCTTCCGATTCGGACTCTGAGAAAGGAGGCTGGCACTTTTGGCGCCCAATGAGGCAGGAAAGCGGCCTCTTAAAGTTCGCCATAAAAGTGCGGCAGTGTGATGAAAATGAAATAAAATATCCCCATAAAAGCCACGGACGGGGTGATTTCTTGGCTGGCACGCAGAATTGTTCAGCAATTTCTGAGCTTCGTTTCCGCTTGTCAATTATCACAGACCGTGTTTTCTTCCAGCACTCCCCGGCTATAGATTGCGGCTCTATTCCGGACTTTTCGAGGTGAAGGATAGGGGTCTGGGAGTGAAAAGGGAGTGGGCTGGCAGGCAGGATATGAAGCCAGCTAATGCGTTTCCATTGTCAACCATTGCGCTCGCAATCAGACAATTTATTTGAGCTCGCGTTAGCCTTTATTACTATTGCCTGTCTTACGTAAGGATAAGTTATGGATTTGTTGTATCCGCTTACAGATTTGTTGGACTTTCATGGGGGAGTACAAGGAAGTGTTTCAAAGACTATGTCCTTAAAGGGTTAAGAGCTTACGCATAAAGTATGGCCCGGAAATGGAGTATTTTATTGCCAAATAATTGTTTTCCTCATAGGGCTATTATGTCATTAGTTTTATCTACAAAACCAATCTTACAAATCCTATACCATAATTACTGATAATATCTTTCTTTTCAGGTAAGCGTTCGTGCAAGAATCTCTACTGATTTAACTTTTAACCTTTGTCCGTAAGTTACTAACACAACTAGTCCATATACATTAACGATAATACATCAAAATAACATTTATGAATAATATCTAATACAATAATAATATCTAGTAAAGAAGCATTATAAAAAAGCACACTTTGTTTACAGTTCACTGATTCTGTTTCAGTTTTGAATGGGATTTGAGATTTTATTTTATTGGCAATACTAGCATGATTGAAATTTTTGAATAGTTACCCCAACGGCCGTTCAAGATTGAAACTGCAAGAAAGGCTTTTAATAAACTAAAAAAAATATTCTTTTTCTAAGCTTAGCATTGCACCAATACCATAGTTTTATCGAAAAATCCTAAGTTTTGAAACAACGCATATTATAATCGACCCGAGCTATGCACCCGCACATAAACCTCAACCCGAATATCAATACCCGATACCTGGAGCTCAGCTCTTTGAAACTAAGCTAATATTAACCTTTCGCGTCCGTGATTACTCCTAGATCATCTTATCCTTGCTCAGATTTAATCAAAACAACACACACACCAAACTTCCTAACGTAGATCAAGAGTTATCGTAATTTATTTAAGCTAAGTACACTCATGGATCATGCAACACTGACTCGTCCTCAGAAAAAGTATCCCCAAATAGGAAAAAAAAAATAATAAAAAAATAAAGAATATTTTTCATTCCTCCAATGCCTTCACAGCCGAACTTTACCTCATTGTAAAACACACAAACATAAGAGCTTGACAAACACACCGAGCCCAAATACACAAAAACGACTCCCAAGTGCACAGCAATCTACAGACTTTTCCTCTCCAGACCCCAACAGACCCCACCCACCAGACCCTCCTATCCTATCACACCCACGCCTACACCCGGTCCTAACCACCCACTGCAGTGTACCCAACAATGCCATACACAGACTCCAACAACAAAAGCAACAGAAACAACAAGAACACGAACAACAAAAGCCACACAATGAACAGCTGCCATCTCCCCGATAAAAAACATACAGAAAACACAATTCAATTTCTTCTATTACGATTTCTTCCTGTTCTACCAACCCTCGCCGTCTTTCTGCTCTTTATTTCGTACTCTCGTATATTTACATGAATGCCACACCCACGTCCATGTCCGCCTTCGCTCCATGCACCCCGAACGAACCAAAAGATCCTGCTACGCTCCTGCAAAGTGACTGGCCAGGATTTGTCCATCCGGCAACTGGTACAGCTACCACTTTGTAGGGCGACATACCCCCATTAAGACCCCCTACTTAACCATCTCCTAGCGACTTTTTCTCTTAGCCAACTTCTATGATTATGCCACTTATTATATGCCCACCAATGCTCACACTCATCCGCAGTGGTGGCACTGCTTATTATATACTCACATCCAAACTCGCCACTTGCCACTCGCAACTCGCAACTTGCAACTCAAATCGCAATTCACAAGCGTCGCAACTAATCCCAATAGAGAGTGAAATATTAATGGAACTTTTCCTCTACTCCCCCGACCACAACACGCTCGACAGATGCTGCAGGCGGTAATTTCTCAACTTTCTCAACTTATCGTATTTTTACATTTTACTTCGTGCATCCTTATATCTCGTTTGACTTAGTGTTGGTGCTGACGCCGTTGCAACTACATACATAGTATTGTAGCATCAACCACCCCCACCCATTAGGCATCCATTCCCACCTAGAAGCCGTATCAGACGGTATTAGTGGCCAAAAAAAAAAGTGAAATTCAAATTCAAAGTCAGTCTCTGCTTCAGCATCAGCCGCAAAATTAGCGTCATGATTCGAAATTGGCAAAGATGCCTCGAAATGTATCTCACAATTAAATAGTTTGCCACGCTGCAATTGCACGCCTCCTGAAAGATACCCAAGTATATTTGAAAAGTATCTTAACGATATCTACCCGAACTTACTTCCGAGAGCTGTTCAGTTCAGATAAAGTTTTTGGGGCAGAGTGCAGCGTGCCGCAAATGCGAACTAAAAGAGCCTTCATTCATTATTCGATTCGGCAGCAAATTCGATTCGAATTCGACGCAAAAATAAAACACGAATTAAAAAACACGCCCTATATTCGAACACCACAATGCCAGTTGGAAAAACATTTTTATTCGAACTGCGCATAGTTAGCATTGCCTTGAGTTTGTTTTATCGATTTAGTTGGGTTCTTTACGACATTAATACGTTACTCACCAAGACTAACAATTATTGGTTTTTGATTGATTTGGTTTGGTACAAAGTATACTGTTTATAACGTTCCATTCAAACTTTTTCTTTCTGCCAAAAAAGTTTTCTTTAAAATGCTTCTTTATCTACTTCTACTTCTTCTACTACTACTACTACTACTACTCTACTATCGAACTACTTCTTCTACTGCCTGTACTACTTAAACAAATATGGAACCATACTAACTACAAAACTACTTACATCTTCTACTATTCTACTATAACTACTACTCTAACTACAACTCAACTACAACTCAACCAATATACTACGAATTTACAATGAGGTAAAGTATAAGAATAAAGTATATCTATAAAGTATAGCAATCAAGCCCACGATACTCCACACGATGACACACTTTAAGTCCGGGAGTCTATTGCCCGATGTACATACAACCAGAAAAAGCCGCTCGATATTCGCCAGTTGAATCTGTCAGCAGCACAAGTGCTGGGTCCCATGAAAAAGGAGGTCCTTTTTCCCCCCTCGAAACACCACACTCTAGTAGACCAGTACACCCGTACACATATCCGTCCCGATAAGCAGACATTTTGACACATATGACGACTGCGACACATTCCTTCGTGCAGAGGACAGCTCTCCGAGAACAGCTGTGGGTGTCGTCCGGTGTCCTTTGGTATTCCGGTGTCCCCTCCCCAGCCACCCATGTAAATCAGGCAAATATTGCTCATGTCGGCAATATTTCAATTGTCTGAAGCACGTGCGCCACTAACTGCTTACCTCCCAGGATTCAATTCCTTGTTAGCAGGACGCAGGACTTGAATGCCTCAGGACACAAGTACATCGATCAATTTTTGAAATAACTTTGTCCACAAAGTCCTCGCCGAGTATGATGTGGTAATTCACGCGTTGCGGCCTGTCCGAAAGTCATAAATGGGCCGCACAGAGACGGGGGCTTCAACGGGACTGTCATGAGTCTGGAATAAATTATGTATATGAAAAATTCCTCGAATACCCTGCCGAACAGAGGCTTAAATATTTGCATGCACTCGGCTCGGCTTTCGACCGCACATGATGCGCAGTTGTGCAGCATTTTTGATAAATTTTCGCATTTACTGGCATGTCATCGCATTCCCGGCAAAGGGATGAGACCAGGATAATGGAAAAGGATCAGGGAGTAAGAACCAGGGACCAGGGATAGGGAACAAGGGAGCTGGGAAATGAAAGTGGAAATGGAAATGGATGGTTGGGTGGATTTTCTATTTACGGGGCAAAACTAATTGCTGCCGCTATAAGAAAAGTCGTGTGCAGCCTGCGAAATGTCAACGGGATGTCCTGCCCGTCCTGTTCCCTCGCTCGCAGCTCCTTCGGCGCTTCCGTTGCCAAGAAAAGCCAGACGGAATGCTAGTTCCGTGCCTCGAGAGCCGCAAGACAAGTCAGTCAAAATAGAACACAGAGCACAGAACCGAGAGCATTCAAAGACAAAGTGTCGACATAATTTCAACACTTGCAATTATGTCAGCACTGCTCCTTTGACTGCTTCTTGGGTCGTCCTGCCGCCCCTCCCCAAAGGACATACGAGTGCGGCCTCTTTGAGTCTCTCAAAATGTAATTACGAATGGAATATGGTAGTGTTCATATAAGCATCTATGACAATGAAAATATTGGGGAGTGCGTGCTGCTAAGCCGGGAGTTCCTTAGAAGGCTCACGTACTCACACCCAGCCACCCAGGCACCCAGCAGCCTCCTTCCCCGTGCCTGGCCTTTGACCCAGATGCGTACTGGGCCCAGCCAAGTTCAGCGGGCTTGAACCGGATTAAGCAAGAAAATAATTTGCTGTTCGTGCCTTTTCACCAACTCCTTGTGGAGGAGGAAGCAAAAAATTACGCTGCCTCGGGCCGGAACCAGGGGGCATAGAACACTTGACACAAATGAGAGCAGCTTCCTCTCCATTTCCATGCACAAATGTATCTGGATATGGATGTGGATGTGGATGTGAATGTGGACGACCGCTAGCACAATAAAAATGGAAATGGAACTCTAATGTCGTATTCCTTGGGCAAGCATGTATTAAGTCGAATAAATGTCACCCAGCGAGCATCCGCATCCGCATCCTTAGACTTATGGCTGGGGATAAGACAATTACGCTGGCCCCTTAGTTCTACTTTTGGGCCGGGCCTGGCCTGGCCTGACTTGGCATCCGCATCGGGTTCCGCTGACGTGTTGGTATTCAAAATAGCAGTTTAAGCAATAAAACACACTCTAGGGCTTATCCGTGGGCTGCGGCTCGTATATCAGACTTATGACTTCTGCCAAACACTTTGTGATGTATTGTGGGTGCGGGGCAGGACTACTCCTTCTCGGCCGTGCTGCGTGCTCATCCCGCAGCTCTCATCCCCAGTCCCCTGTGGCAGAAAGGTATTAAGTACCCTCATTTTGGCCATGACACGCAGCGAAAAGTAAAGCTTTTAACGGCAAAGGAAGCAGCAGGATGATGAAATGAATGAAGGAAAGAAACCCCAAGAACCAACAACCAATTTGTTCGGACAGCCGAAGCAGATTTTCTTTTCCCTTTTTTTTTTCGTTTCTTTTCTTTTTTTTGGCTGTCAGGAGCATTTTTCATGCAAATTGAAAGATTCCGCAGCCTTAAAGGACTCCCATCCTATTACTGGCCGGGACGCAGAGCCGTAACGGGTTGCCCATTTCCATTAGTGGGTGCTGAGGCGGCAAAAGGACGAGAAGGACTCCGAAGAAATACTAAGAATGCCGGACAAGAAGAAGTGCGTCTTGCTCAAGCGGTGTTAATTATGTTGGCCTGATAATTGCATTACAATAGGCTTGATTAGTTTTTAATTGAGTTGTGCACTTACTCGGGTCCCATCTTGAATCTGCGACTGGAAAGTCGATTGTTAAAGGGCTTTCGTTATCCAGTTTGCGGGCCAAGTTATGTATGTATGTAAGGACATGCCAGGCACGTATGTCCTGCCATACAAAAAAAAAAATAATAAAAGGAACGACCAACAGTAGGAGGGAGTTCATAAAGTTCATAAAGCAAATTACAAAAGTCCCATAAAAGCGGGTGCACTTTGGCTACTGAAGTCTCAGCTCCGGCCACTGGCACTGCCACTGCCCCAGCTCCTGCCACAGGCCCTGCCTGTCGCCCTGTCAGCCATTTGACACCATTTTCGGAAATCAATTTTTATTATAAAATACTTTGACTAATTTATGAAAACAATAAATGGTTCTGCAAATCAAGTCACAGTCACCCTAAAAAGTTCATTCACAAAGCTATTCGCCAAATTGATGACTATAAATTCAATTTAATGTGCGTTGCCTTTTGCGCAGAAAGAGAGGACCGGAGAGGCGTCAAAGTGTGGTCATCCCTCGTCCTCCACTGGGAGCTCGGAGCTGGGAGTTTGTGCGTTTGCGCCATTAATCGAGGCAGAGCAGCTGACGTAAACGCCACAGACGCTGCCTCTGCCACTGCCTCAGTCGACGGGGGCGGCGATGGCGACAGCGACGTCCTGCTGCCCTTATCAGGGAATCAGTGTTAGCAATCAGAGCCAGAATCCGACTCAATGCCCGTGGGGACCTGCGCAGGCGCGTGGTGGAGCTCCAAAAACTCAAATTGGTCCAGCGGCGCTGACGTCGCTGCTGCCGCTGCTTCCGACTGCGGCGGCAGGACATAAAAGGACAGGCAACTACTGCCAGTACTCCTACTCCAAGTTCGCACTCCTGCGGCTAAAGTCCCAAGCTGCGCTCCATCTCCAGCTTCAGATTCTGCATCGACTTCCGATTTCGAGTCCTCCTCCGAAAAGGACGACTTCCTGCGTTCAGTTCGTGCGTGCTCGTGGTCGCGTTCGCACTGCACTTCGTGGCCAGCGCTGGAATCGATTCGGATAGCCATGGCAACCCAGACACGGCAGCCATCACCGGCAGCAGCAGCATCGCGGCAACTGCGACTGCGGCAGAAAGCCACGAGGGGGGCACAGGGTGCTCCCGGCTGAGGCCGCTGCAACGAGAATGGCCAGTAGCCAGTAGTGTCAGCGTCGGCTGCGACAACGGTTGCAACCATCCACTTGCCCGCATCGGAGTCCGGAAAGCCCGAGCACGGACAGATAGCAGTAACTGCCGAGGGCGCCCCGAAATCAAATGAATTTCATTGGTATGCTTTCAAGTCCAAAACAGCCAGATTTGAGCCAGACTCGAGTCTGCCAGACTGGTCAAAATTTTGATTTCGTCTTCTCTCTATCTGCAACACTCTTCTACAATCCAAAAACTACAACCAAAACCCACTCTAACAACATCAACTTAAACGCAATTCTACAAACACAATCTTTCCGAAACGCTTCCATGTAAGTCTTTGAAAGAAAATCCGTTTATTTCGTTCTGTTTTTTTCGCCTCATGTGCTCTCTCGTACGTAACCTATTCGTAAGCATATGCTAGCCTGGCCCACTGCAACTGGGCCGAGAAAAATCAATTGATTGGGGCGACCATGTGATTGCATGGTTGCAGGGCCCGCGTATCGATTTTTAACACACACCCCTCAACACAGCCAACGGCCGCCCCGCAAAAATGTCAAGGTCCGACCGAAGTTGTCCGAAAAGCTTACAATTAACCAGGCCTAGAGGGGATTGCAGCGCTGCTGCTGTTGCAGCGGATGGAGGGCATCGCCAGGTCGGCATTGAAAGGCCTCGCCGAACTCGCGCGAGTTGCGCAAGATGGCGTGTGTCAGCTGACGTTTCCGCTCCTGCTGGAGGACCCCCTGGTCGGACCGGCAGTCAACGATCAGGCTGCCCACAAAGTATAGCTTCTGCAGGGACGTCTTTAGCCGCCCGACGGCTAGTAATGAGTCGATCCTTGTCTGGAGAGTAGTCCGAGTGGGTTGTCCTAGCCACTGACGGTAGCTGCGCAGGGCCTGTCGTTGGGCGAGTAATCCCAGGAGCAAATCATTAGTGTTAACCTGGTCGGCATGGGCTCCTCCAGCTCCCGCTACGCATTCGTGAAAGGCGTTGAAGCGACCCTCTGAGTCGGAGCTCCGCCAGGCGCCTGGGGTGCGACTGTTGCTGCCCGCGGCTAGGAGGCTCCTCGAGAAGTACTCCCCAAGCAGGAGGTAATTAAGCGGGGTACTCAGGTTCTGGCGACCCAGTAGGGCGTTTACCGTGGGAAACACCTGGGCGAACTCGCGTAGGTCCTTGTTGGCCTGCGAGACTGGAGGGCGGTGCCGCTGGAAGCGGCGGAGCTTCTCCAGATTCCGGTAAAAACTGCGTCGTCCCAGTAGTATCTCGCGGTAGGCGGCGTCCAGGCGCTCGTCCCCATTGAGGGTCAAGTGCATGAGTTGTCCGAGGAACTGCTTCGAGCTAACCTGGGATATTTCGTCGATCCACACGCTTCCCACTAGCTGCTCGGAGTAGGCTTTTCCCAGAGAGGCGTACATCTGGGCAAGCCCCGCCCTGTCGGCCGTTACTCGTTGCACTACATGGGCGTAAATGTCTCCGGCGTAGGTCTCCGCCAGCTGGTGGCAGTCGGTGTCCACAATGTCTGCGAAACTTGAATCTTTAGCATATATTTTAAATAGTATTCCTTGCACTCACCCATCAGATAATCCGTCCAAATCCAGTTAAGCAGCCGATGCATGCTGGTGTTCTGAAGAAGCACAAAGTACTCCACCAGTCGGGGCAGCTGCTTCACCACAATTGTGTCCGTTGCCTGAGGCGTCTTGCCGCCCAGCAGCTTCCGGAAGTAGACGTCCCAGTCGAGTCTAGCGAGGGAGGCGTTTCCGAAAGCACTCCGCTTGAAGTTACCGTAGCTGAACTGCACCTGGTCCTCGATGTGGTCGGCCTTGACTATGTCACGCCTTGCCCGCTCCAGGCTGAGCACCTCTAGGGCGGCCACATGAGCGCGGCTCTGTTCGATGCCGAAGCTCTTCAGGACCTCACTGACTCGCTGCTCGAACTTCCGCAAGGTATGCCGTCGCGTCGTGTCCGGCTGGAGCACCACCACCCGCTTGTTCGACTGCATGGTGACCACCGTCTCGAAGAAATAGGGCGCTCCTACCTCGTGGAAGAGTCCCAATAGCCCCAGCCAGCTCAGAGTCTGATTGCTGAGGCGCTGCGGGCCTCCTTCTGTCTTTGCTGCCTCCAGAACGGGCCAGCCTCCGCTCATCCTGTAGAGCTGCGATCCCTTGAGCGCATCCCCGCCACGTCCTGTTTCGCAGGACTTAAAAAGGTTAACCAGCTGGAGCTCCATGTCCATGAGCTGGTTGTCGTCGGCTCCCTTAAGGAAGCTTTGGAAGCGCTGGCGACCCGACTGGCTGAGGTTGGCGCTTCGCGAGCACACATATCCGTAAAAGTCCTGGCACGGCTGCCTGCCAGTGTCCAGGTACTGTTCGAGCTTGTAGGAGAAGTGCAGTAGCTCATTCTCTATCTGGGCTGTGCCATTCTGGCCGCGCACGATGCCTACCACCCAAAGGATGGCTAGAGCTGGCAAAATCATTTCCGCTGCACTGCTGCCTCTTCGGCGACCCGACGCGAAATGAGTGAGCCACTTTTTTGAGCCTTAGTTGGCCTTAGTCTTGGGCTCGTTTGTGGCCTTTTGAGGTCGGCTGAGTAAAGGTCACTGCTAATGCGACGACAGACTTCCGGAAAACTAGGTCCGCCCACTCCTCTTTACGAACTGAGGCACTGAGCTGCTGAGACGGTCGCTGCCAAGCCGCAATCCCAACTAATCGCGTTCCCAATAGTTTACCATGTCAGTGGCAAAGAGAATGAAACTGGCGGAGAGATAACCCGCCGCCAGATAAGGTGAACGCGGGGTCGGGCAATCAAATGTGTCAAAATGCCGGGCATTGGACATCGGGAGAGAACCAAAATTGGTCACGGCCGATTTTAATTGAATATCAAGTTGAACTCCTTATCGGAAAAGCCTGGAAACTTTTAGGAGTTCTCCGCGAGAACCCTAATGACCTCAATCAATTCTCATATGATTCCGAAGCGTAGCCAGATAATGACTCTTTGCTAACCACTTTCATTCCCTCACATTCCTCACACACAGGCGCCGTAGGAGGTGATGGCGGTGACGATGGCGACGACAAGGAAAAGGCAGAGGAGGAGGAGAGGGAGCGCCAGGAAGCTATCCGCGAGGCCGAGGAGCGGCGCAAGGAGAAGCACCGGAAGATGGAGGAGGAACGCGAAAAGATGAGGCAAGACATTCGCGACAAGGTGAGTGCTCGCTGATGGCTCGTAAGTGGCCAACATAAAGTGAATAAAGTGAGAAAATGTCCTGAAAAGGGTACTGAGATGCGGCCTTCCACCAACCCACCAACCACTTCCTGGCGCAGTTCAAATTGACTCTAGTAGGGAGTCCTTTTAACGAGCGACTCCCTAACGGAGTCAGATTGAATTACAAAGGAGCGAGACAACGACTAAGGGATTGCCCAAAAAGTGTTAGACTTTAAGACAAAATCTAAGATCTAATCCTACCAATCTGACCTGATGATCTTAACCCTTTGCACACCTTTAGTACAACATCAAGAAGAAGGAGGAAATCGTCGAGGCTGCTCCCCAGGAGGAGCCCAATCCCCTGATGAGGAAAAAGAAGACGCCCGAGGAGCTCGCCGCCGAAGCGGAGCAGGAGGAGCTCGACGATTTTACAAGTAAGTGGTCGTTGTTGTGCCCGTTGATTGCCGTTAACCTTTCGCTCAGCTACTGGCATCTATCTACTGCTAATCCAACTCACCAAACGGGCCGCTCCCCGATCCTGGGGTTCGGACCCGGTAGATACTCTGTGTAACTGTGTTTTGATTTAGGTTACTCTATTATTTCGTTCTCCCACTACTGATTTTCTACAATTAATAAAAAGATAGGCCCTCTGGCCGTCGAGTCCAGACAATACCAAAATACATAATTTTGACCAACAACCAAAAACCTACAAGAACCAAGAAACTAAACCCAATAACTAAACCCAGCTAAATACTCAACGGCGCTCGAAAGTAGTAACTGTGTTTATGTTTGTGCATCTGTGTGTATTTTCTATTTACCAATAAGTGCAATCGATCTATCTAATCTAACTCTATGAACAACAGCTACTAACCAACGCTATCTATCCATCTAATCTATCTATCTCTATCTCTACTCTGAACTCTAAACTCTAAACTCTATACTATGTTCTCTGTTTCCTGTGCGTGTAATAAGTAAGCTCTAACCTATGCTAAACTGTACTAACTTTAAATCTAAACCCAACTCTAAAGCTAAACCTTAACTACAATCTGTCATATCACATGTGTTTAAGATTTAACCGTCAACTGAAATGCAACGATGAATATGAACTCTCTATCTGCAAAATATCTACTTTTTTAACCAGCGTGCACTCCATTTTCACATTAATTTTGATTAAGTTTTCTATTATTGTAAGTTATGGATTACTATGTGTGTCTTGGGATGTCGATTGAGGGGAGGAATCTGAAAGGCTCCCAAATCGACCTCCCAAAAGCACTTGTGCCCCTAAGGTCACCGTTTTTGTTTGTAAATATTTTATTTGAAATGAATTCTGGGCTAAAACTAATTCGATTAATTGTGTTAGCAGACCTACTGCTTAGGTTTCATGTCATTTAATTAATTAGTCTAAGGTAAGTGCGATTATTCGTAAAGCCGTATGATTTCTTTGTGTGGTAATCTATATGTAATACCTTTGTATTCATGAACTACTCTACTAACTTCACCACCAACAGAAAAACAATCTCTTCTTCTCTATAATACTCACTCTGTATAAAAAAATGTATAAATATATGATAGGAAAAACCCAACTCTTTAAAAAACAAACCAAAAAATAGTAAGGATTATTTTCAAATTCAAAATTAGTCTTGAAGTAAGCAAATCAGGAGGTAGTACTGGGGTCCTTAGATTACGTTTCAAATGATTTTCCACGTTTATTTTAACAACATCCAACTCACCCACTGCACCTTTACTTTCATTATATAATATATTATATATATATATATTAAAATAAACACTTAAACAGCTTGTGTGCTAAACTGCATTTTGAAACGCAACACTCATAACAATATAAATGTAACCGAACTGTCAACTAAAAATATAAAACTAAACGATCAACGAATATTGGACTAGAAACCAATACAAAACTTTTTCCCTCTCGTTTACTTTCCTTACTTTCCTTCTATATGTGTGCTATATGTATTTTACACTGATCGACAATTGTGAAATATATATACGACATGTATACTGCATATGTATGTGTATTTCTCCAGCACCGAATCACCAAGTCTTGTCATTACTATCCCTATCTATTTTCAACTATAACTATTTCATTAAATCTAAGCTCGAATCTTCTATTTTGACACACTATCCTAAAGAACTGAACAAACAACGACTGATCCCCAAGAAATTCTTTTTTTTTTCTTTAAATATACGTTAATATCTTTTTATTTTGTTATTTTTAAGAATAATTCAAATCAAATTAGACTTTTGAAGGCATCATGGCTTTCCTGACTGCGCGCTAGTGATCTAGAATCTACAACTACGAATTACCTCCCAAATAAAATATACTATTTTAACCACACAGTTACCGACACAGTAGACAAGTTACAGTACATGAGCAACCATAAATACATATACATACCAGTTAACATATTTAACATTTGTAGTCTACTCTACAAAATATGCTTATTTATTGCTGTTTCCATACTCAATTTCTTTTACAGAACTGAAAAATCAAATAGAAACGCAAGTAAATGAGCTAAAAACTCAAATAGAGGGAAAATGTGTCATGCAGTGATATGTCAGTCAACAAAATAAAAGAGAAACATATATAATACAAATTCCATAATAATAATAGCATTGAGCCCATAAAAGGAAATTGTTTTAATTCTTCTCTAAATAATTGAATTTGTTATGATAACACGTATAACTGTTACGTTATCCCCATGGAAGCCCCTTCCCCAAAAAAAACAGAAAAAGAATAAACTTTAAAAAGCTAAACAATAAATGCGTAAAATTAGCCCTTAACGCGACAGCAATAATTTGAAACAAATTCGGAATTTAATCCTATTATGATCCCAATATTTTAAATACCAAAATCGACGAAAGCCATATGCGATAAATAAAGTAATAGAGATCCGGAATGAAAATGCGAACAGGACGGTGAACTCCTAATGAATTTTAAAGTAGCTAAAGAATAAACCAAATTATTTAAAAACCAAAGATAGTAAAAGCCTTTACTAATATTCAAATCACTTTGCTTCGATGATAATGTAATATACTCAACCCCAATATACAATACATAATCGTTGTTTAGTTGATAACATAACAAATATAATGACAAAAAAATAAATAATGAAACCATCGAAACGGCACGATGACATTCGATGCCAAATCGAAATAAATAAATGAAATAAAGCGAATGAAAATAAATATATAAAAACAAAAGACAAAAAAAGCAAAAAAAAAAAATTAATTAAAATAAATAAATAAGCGAATGGTGCGACAGAGGAGGTTGCTGAATCATGTCGAACCGTCGAAAATACATTGCTGAAATCACTTTGGACTTTAAATTCATATACTTAAGTGTGTATGAGTATGGAAAGATTATGAATTAAATCGGCGAATACGTTGTAATTTTCATTCAGATTATTATATATACCCGTTATGTATATAATGTACATTTTCATGAATTTAACCACGACTAAATGACTACACTTGCAAACGAACTGACGCAGATACGTAAAATTATTATTGCCGGTTCTCGATCGGCAAATCGCACTTCCAGAAGCCAGAAAAAGCAACAATATACGAAATACGAAAACAAAAATTACAAAACAATTTCAGTCAGTTTGTTTTTGAAAGTTTTTGAGAAATTCATCTTTAACAGCTGTTACATTTTGTTTCTTTCCTGTACAAACAACATACAACATACACCACAATTGAGTATTTCTAACTCTTTGAGATAGTTACCGATCTCTCCGGTTGATTCTTCTGAAATGTAAGTAAAAACCAGAAAACTAACTCTATCTAATATACCTACCTGTACCCCAATCTATGTATACCCCCACTATTTCTTAAATATATAATCAAGGACATTCAAGGACTTTCAGTTGGTTCATTTACCATTTGGTTTTTTGTTTTGGTTAGGCAACGCCCATTCGGTAGGAAATATATTGTGAAACAATATACTAAAGGATAATATACTAGCTGTAGCCATTTAGACAAGGACAATAGCTTTTAAGAGACGCTAGGCAGTTCTAGAGCATATTGCTGTGATACATTTAGCATACATATTTCACCGATAAACGCACACACTGGCCTCTGACCCGAGAACCCAGAAACCCCAAAAGAAACCCCAGAAACTAGAGCTAAACCAATCAGACGCTAAATCCAAATCAATTTTAGACTCAGATTCCGATTCAGATTCAGAACAAGTAACATGCATGCTAATCGGCTATCAAGAAACAAAGACATTAAGCATACGACACGTGTAAATAAGTACTCTTCACCGAATACCGAATACCCTTCACAAAGTCTGATGGGTGGGAATCCAAATCCATACACCTCCTACATGCTGTCGTCTTCTACCACGCATCCCTGCTGCACTCAAGGGGCCGAGTTAGTGCCGTACAAGGATGGACTTGCGCATGGATGGACATTCATGAAATCGAGCCGTCCTCGTTCCTAAATCCGCAAAACAATATTTCCCAGAGGTTTCGAAGAAGTGATTTCGGTCTTGATGTAGCATGGCCAGCCAAAGATTTCAGTTTCAATCCGATTTGTGACGAGAACGGCTCGGGGACGTGTTATCAATGTAGCTATACAGACATTCCAATACCATAATATATCATTCTTAACCACATACATGGACAACATATAATGTCCTTCCCACTATAGCCCCAGACTGGAGGGTTGTCGGGAAGGACATTCGAGCTCCGGATGACCGGATAGAGCTATTCCTAAATATATCACCACTCGTCATTATTTTCTGTTTGTCGAGAAACGCATACAACTACCAACTATTTGTACTTATATGACTAAATGTTTTAAATACACTGCATTCTATATATATATATAAATATCTCTCTCTCTCTCTCTTTCTCTGGTGTCTTTCTCTCTTTCTCTTCTTTTGATTTCGACACTGTCTTTAAATCTTTAATCTGCGCCACTTCTACTCTGCCTCAAAAAATCTTATATCTGATAAAAAAACAACAACCTGAACAACATTTGCAACAACAACACGAAACAACTAACTACAATCTCAACTAAAAATAACATCAACAACGACAACTACTCTACCAAAATCTTCACAACTACAACTTGATGGTCTCTCTCAGACATGTATTCTCGGTGTTTTACAAATGATATATCATCAATAACAACAACAACAACATCAAGTACAAGCAGAACAACAGCACAAGTAAACGCCTACAGCCAGTACAAGAACAACATCAACAACATCCAGTACATCCAATCTACAGAAGTGACTAGCTATGTAATATACGATATGAACTATACTATCAAAGTACTATAGAAGCCAAGCAAATAGTGAAATGATCAAAAACGGCATCAAACAAAATATATATATAGATCGTCTCTATTTGAGAATGACTACTTCATACTTCTGAACGTTGTGAATTCGTTTTTTATGGCTATAATAACCACTCATAAGTTTACAGACATCCACCCACACTAAACACGAGCATTCAAATAGATGTATGGTGTTGTAAATGGTTAAATACATAAATTTACAGATCCAAGTAATACCATAGAAATGTATCTACAATTTGCATTAATAGTCGACACACCAAACGAAATAGCAACCATGTCAGATGCAACATTCGTGTACATTGTACATCAAGGATGACGAGGATGATGTTTAACACCCATCTCTAACTATCCTTTCGAGCCGTGCTCTCACTTACTTTCCTGTCTAACTTTAAGCGGGATTCTATGTTTTTTTTTTCTTACTTCTTCACACAAAAATTATATTGGTAAGACAGCAATAAAGCCACAAGGCTCAACACCTCTCTCTGTCAATCTACTGAAGCAATCCTCTAGTGCCCCTCGCTCCATACAAAGTTAGGAACGATCGAACTAATGAATGAATGCCTTAACGTGGCTGAAACGACTAGACCATGAGTAGAGATTAGTTGATGATAAACCAGGATGACCATGTGGTTCTACCACGGGGAAAGGAGCCTACTACCCCCTAACTAATACTAGCTTTCTTGTTCCCATCGCACTCCTGTTACTGAACCGATACAGATACAGATGTCTCTAACAATTAGCTATGCTCTTTTCGAAACTCGAAACTATTAATGGCTTTCTAAATACGATTAGAAAATGTTTACCTAGATTCTACTACTATATCCATTGCGTTTTTCTCTCAGATACTTATGTGATTTCAATGTCACTTTAATTGTTTATTATATATTGAAACGAAAAATAAATGAATAAAACAAAAAAAAAAAAAACAAACAAAAATAAACATATTATTCAATCATAACCAAGTTTTTAACGTAATCATAAATGTTGAAAATGTTAAATGGTTCAGCCGATTTATTTTTGATTTCTGTTTGATAATATTGTGTTAACGTTAATATTATAGTTATGATAATGTAATTATATGTATATCAGACAGTTCACAAATCACGGATGATTAAACATTATTATCTATATATATAAATATGTATATGTGTAACTTAATAGGGAAATGAATTTAATAGAGAAACAACAGACAAAAATGATAAATAATAATGTTGGAAAATTACCATTCAAGTCATTATTAGATGTGAAAGACGTTCTATACACAACAAATGAATAAACAAAACCAAAAATTAAGAAAAGCGTTAATAGTTGATTAATTATATTGTTACTTTGAACATTTAATTAAAAGCAAACAAAACAATAGAAGGTATAATAAAAAAATATATATATATGTATAAATATATATGAGAAAACACAACAATACATTTGGTTTTTATTCCTAGCCGGACATTATCTCGAGGTTATAGCCTTTTATTGCCGTATTATCGTCACACACTAAATCCCACCGAAAACATATATTTCTCCCCAAGTACACTGCCGACTCTTTACCTGCCTGATATCTAATATCTGATACGTATAGTGAACTTCATTTGGCATGACCGTTAGTCTATATGTTTTTCTATCTATGTGTACATGTCGACCTTCTCTCTCTATCTCTCTATCTGCCTCTTACTCTTCCTCTATTTCCCTAAACTTTCTCTATTATCCTTCCCCAAAGTCTTTGTCTGTATCCAACCGCCTCTATATACATGTGTATGTTTATCCTTACGAATCTCGGCGAGAGCCTGTGTGTCCGCCAAGGGCGATTTCACAAGCTATATCCTAAGATAAGGGGAGGAGAAAAGCCCCTACGTTTCAGTATCTTAACACCTTTTGCATCGCCAAAGGCACTGTAAGAATAGGTGACCTAGAATAAGCCCATATCCTGTAACCAGCAGCGTTCCTAGGTGAGTGGCATCTGTTCCTAGGTGACTTCCTAGGTGAGTGGCGCAAAGGAGGTCGGTCGAGTAAGTACCTATTTACATTTGAACGATATTTTTTTAAGCTGTGTACCATTTCTGTTGTGTAACCGGGTCCATCGACCGCTCGGACAGGTACAGGTAGGTAACATAATGGCTTAGCCAGTCAATTTCGTGCCCATACTTCATGCCACCACCCCACCCCACGCCACATCCACAATCTCACACCAGCCATAACACCCACCTAGCTAACCAGCTATCCAGCCACGAAAAAAATTACTTTCAAAAGTTCCATTGTCGAAAAAGTTAATGACCACAGCAATTTGAAACAATAAGCAAACAAAACCAATCCCTTAGGGAGTATATTCTATTTACGCTGTCACTCTGAGGGTGAAAACAATGAAACTGCCAAGCAACTACCCTTTCATTTCTATAAGTTTTTTTTCTGCTATTCGTTTTTTGGTTTATGCAACTTAACATTTCGATTTCGTAGGCAGTTTTCCAATTTAAACTTTTTGGTTTTGTGCACCTTAACTGATTTCGCTCTGTTTGTACTTTCAGCCAAGTTGAAAAAACGTCTTAGTGATGCTTTTAAGAGTTGTCCACTGAGGAACTTGTTCTGAACAAGTCCGAAAAGATATCAAGGCGCGAGTCATACGACGATTCGGTTTCGGTTTCAGATATCGCACAAGGTGTCCACTGGTCAGGGAAATGCCAAGACCCGGAGGACATGTGGTGTGTTGGTGGGAAAGAACTACTCTACAAAAAAACGACGACGCCTTCTACCAGCCCCAAGCCCCCAAGTGCTCTGTTCGGCCCTTCCACGTGCATTACCTGCCAGCTCCTGATCCGCGAAGGACATGTCGCGGCGTTGCAGCCTTTCCAGCAGCTAAACTAGGTATTTGTAAGACGATCCTCAGATACGAACTCGCCCATATCCAATTAGCCGCATTGCCTATATTGTATTACTCGAACTATATGACAATTTTAGTGGTCTCTTTACCGCCTCATTGTGAGATCCAGACCCAAGTGTGAGGAACCGCATTTTAGAATTAGCACGTTTGCAAATGTTGGATATTTAAAAGGTAGTTTTAACTAGGTGATTTAGTTGACCCCAAGAGTAACGCACATGAAGCTTAGCGACAATTAGTTCCTTTATACTCGAAAATCGAAATGAGACATTTTAGAGTCGTTCGAAATTCGAATTCGGTTTATCCATAGGCACAACGATTAGAAGATAACAAATTTACGCTTCACCTACTAAATTGAGTAGAAGGAAATATAGCAACCAAATGTGAAATCAGAGATGAATCAACAACGACATTAGTTTAAATATCGATTTAGAATAGTCCATTTCGCCGCATACAAAGACGTCTTTCAACGGTGCCGAGTGCACTTTCTCCCAACATTCGATATGCGAATGCTACAGATACAAGTAGTTTACATAGTATCTGGCCCGGTTGCTTTCCTCATTTGCCAAAATAATTCATAAGATTTTCAAAGTACCTGAAATTCCAATGACCCTAGTGGAAGTGTAGTTAATAGGTTAAGTTTCTTGAAATGACAAATATTGTACCGATTATGGAACTTTCTGCACCCTCATAAAAAATCGTGCTAAGCCATTACTATCTTCGTATTTCAACTTTAAGAGTTTCATGCTGGCCGAGATTACTTTCGGCCCCACTTACTTGGCCTAAATAATTTCCCCTTTGACAATTATTCTTGACGAGCTTGGAAAAGATATAAGCATTTTTTCATCAATCATATAAATAAAACAATCATATCTAAACTTAAAAAATTTCGTGTCTTAATTTAAAAATTACATGGTTTTACAAGTTAAATAATAAAAATCGAAATACATAATAAGAGAGTAATCGAAAAAGAAAGCAAAAATCAACAAAAAAAACTTAAAGAAAAATCAGAAGTAATTATAGCCTAAGTATATATAATTTACATACCAAAATGACCGACTGAAATTATTGTTAAACGTTTTATGAACTATACTTGCATATATACATATATTGATATGATCAAGTAAAAGGAAAAATAAAGAAATATATATACAAGAATTCATAATAATATATTAAAGTTTCTATACCCTAACCAATCATAAATTTGCGATTCAATATATACATGCATACCTTAATATAAAGATAGACGAACGAAATCAAATTTTAACGATGCCACGTCGAGCATATCCAAGTTAATATAGTTATCTAGTGCCATAAAAACAAATAAAGCCAATTCGAACATCAGTTTGGACAGGGTCATCGAAATCATAATGTTTACTTGAATTACAAATAGAAACCCCACCCTCTTGGCCATCTACCATCGATCGAATGTGATCCGATGTTTTGATAATAAATGTCAAAATCAACGCAAGACTATTGAAAACAAATTCGATACAGTATGAGTTTAAAATAGCCGATATCCAAAACGAAATCTTAAATGTCCTTATGAAAAAAAGCAAAACAAAACCAAGAAAAATAAAACGTGACAAAATACCAGCCTAGCAAGTTATCAAAGTTCAATTTAGTATTAATGCATTTCGAAAACGTTTCGAAAAAATAACTACCCAACGCCATTGGCTCTTTCGAAAGTACATATTTATAATAATCCGCAGGTCATTGTGCATAAATACATATAGTACATATGTACTTGCAGAGTCGGAATAGCGAATAAAATAAATGACATTGCGATTGCCAGAATTGTACGAGATCTAAATTGAATTGAATTGAATTGTATTGTATTGCATTGTAATATGTTGTATTGTATTTACTGTTGGATTGTATTTTAATATAGAACGAGTTAATTTCCAATAAACAGTTTTTAAATGCATTATGAGAACTCCGGGCGTTTCTTTATTGCATGTCGATGGGCGGGTAAGGGTCTCCAACTCCAACTCCACCTCCATTATATTTTAATAAATAGAGGGCAGGACGACACAGGAAAACAGGAAGTTGTCGCTGCCACGCAGGAAGCTTTTATTGGAATTTAGTTAAACTCTTACCCAGCATTCTGCTCTGGTGTCTTTTTGCGAGCCCGCATTGTTTGGACATAAAATTCCAAAGTGCTTGGAATTCACAGTCTTCCGTGATGACTATGCTGCTGACTTCCTGCGTTGCCTTTGTCCCTGTGGCAGGGGCACCCCATTCCTTCCGATGCAGATGGTGTCAAGGAGTGGAATATGATGGGGCGAGCTTCCTCCTCAGCTTCCATTGCTTCTTCGTTAGGGGCTCACGTTCGACAAATCAATACGGAGAATGCTTGCGATTCCAATACACATATTAGGTTTAATTAAAAAAGTTCATCGTTGTTTCGGAACAATTGATTCCCTAAATAGACATCGATGACATTTCATTCTTACTGTCGGCCAGTCACATAATTCCCTTTGAAATGGCATCGCTGCTCTGGAACTCCGAGTCCTGGTTGACCCAAAATCTGAACACTTTTCACAAGTCCCGCTTAAGCGACCCAGCACCCGACCATTAGACCTGAATCTTATAAATTATTCAGTTAATGCTTTTAATTATACAAACGCATCGGTGGGATTCGCATTTCACCGTCCAGTCTCTTTGCAGCCAGTCAAGTGTGAAGAAGCCGTGTTTATTAGCCTGAAGAAACAACTTCGGCGCCATCCTGACCCACCCTTCATCCATCTACCCTTTCCCGGTGGTCCTCAGATTCTACTTTAATTTAATAGGAGTTACCCGGGCGGGAGATACATGCGGGAGAGCTCAGTGATAACCTCCGGCTTAAGCCCTAATGAAATGCATTGTCAAATGAAATGGTAAAATTGACGACGTCCACTTTTTCCTGAAGTGGCCATTGGCATTAAATCAGCAAACTAACTGCCACTAAACAAACAGCAACACACGCACCCTCGTCCGGGAAGGTGCCGGCTGGGCAGCTGAAAGCAGCCGCCTTGCCAAGTGCCCACACACTCGCATCCTGTCCGTTCGATATAAACATAAAAGCACTTGTAACAAATTGAAATCATCTATCTTACTTTTCGCATTCATTTGCACCACAACCCTCTCCTCAAGCACCCTCCCCAGTCAGTCCACTCCAAACTCTGGCCCCCAAAAAGCAATTTTCAGAGAGGGTTTGGGGTTTCCACGATGTTAAGTACTAATCGTGGGGATGTCGGAAAAGGGATATCTTCTGTACGTCTTCTACCTATCACGATAATAAATAATTTGTTTCTTTAAAATTATTCCCATTTTTAAGAATTTTATTTATGCAAAACTTAATTTTTAAAAATCTTTAAGCCTAATTATCTGAAAGCGTATATCAGAAGCAATTTTTTCTGGTCCTAAAATCCTAAAATTCAGATTCTAAAATTTTACAATAAAATATAATTTTGTGCTGCGTGTTTAGATATCAGACAGATATCTCAGTATGAGATTGTATTAATAAAATAAATGCACTCGTCCTTATAATGACACTTGCACAAGTATTTAGGTGTCACAAGCTGTTCGCTTGTCTGAATAAAAAATTGAACGCCCTCTCAATCAGCTTGTCGGCTGCAGAAGTAGCAATGGCATGGCTATTAAAGTGGGCCAAGACCTGTCAACCCCAAGTGCAACAGAGGGTAGAATCATCCCACCGCTGGAGTGGAAATTGCCCCGATGCTTGATGAGTCGGCAAGAGCACAAGAAGACTCACTGAATTCACCAATATATGTAAAGAACGCTTGCACATTTAATAAGCCTCCTCCTCTCAAGCTGAGAGAACGCATAACCCAAACCAAAAACCAGAAACAAACCCAGGCGGGCTCAGACCCAGACCGGACTTGAAATCTCTTGATTCTGGTTTTCTCCGGCCTTTGGAGTGGGAGAAAACCGCCGCTCGCTCAGCTGGCTGATAAGCTCGGCCTCAGACTCAGAACGTGAAGTCCGTTCACCAGGCCAGTCGCAGTCAGTGAGGTTCCAACACGCTTTGCGCTTTGAGTGGTTCTGCCTCAGAGAGCCCCAACTACCAAATACAATCTATCGCCATGGAGCAGTGCCTTCTTCTGGGAGTTCTGGCGATATTACTAGCCGGAGCTAGTGATGTTAAGTCCCAAGGTAAGTACTGCCCCAAGGAATTGTTTACATCGGAGCTGAAAATTGGGTACTACTTAGTCGCAATGATCAACTATCAGTTCTGAACTTGACCCCGGCGATTCGACAACAAACTGGCTCGACGGGGGGCATTCCCAATCTCGTTTTCGTTCTGTTTTCAATCCCGCGCAACCAGCCTTGTCATGGATGTTGATATTTTTTTCCGCCACAGAAATCTTTGGGTATTGCACAACGCCGGACGAAAGTAATGGAAGGTGCATTAATCTCAGAGAATGTGGATACCTGTTCGAGATAGTCCAGCGTGGGGCTCTTTCCCCTCAGGACCGTAAATTCTTGCAAGATAGCCAGTGCGGCTACCGCAACGGACAGGTGCTTGTAAGTAATAATCCGATACCCGATTGGGTTTATCCCCTGTTTGGATGAGTCAGGCGCTTATTTACCATTCACCTCGACTATGTTGTAGATCTGCTGCGCCAACAGCGGCACGCGCACCCAGCAGCCGCAGTGGGGAAACCAGGGTCAGCCCGCCCCAAGGCCAGTGACCCAAACTTCCTCATCAGGATCGGGATCCAGCCTGCTGCCCAAGGCGCCCTATTGTGGCGACAACTTCGAAAACCGCGTGGTGGGAGGCGTGGAGACGGGAAAGAGGGAGTTCCCCTGGATGGCGCTGATCGAGTACACAAAACGTATGTAATCAGAAGCCCCTATTTTAAATGATATAAGACCACATAATCTGCCCCCAGCTGGCAACATCAAGGGCCACCACTGTGGCGGTTCGCTGATCAACAACCGGTATGTGCTCACTGCAGCGCACTGTGTAGCAGCTATTCCTTCAGATTGGCGGCTAACAGGAGTGCGTCTCGGCGACTGGGACACGAGAACGAACCCAGACTGCACCACAGAGTTGAACGGTCGGCAGGATTGCAACGACCCTTTTGTAGACATTGCTGTATCTGAGCGCATTCCTCATCCGCAGTACCCAGGCAATGCGCGCGACCAGCTCCACGACATCGCACTGCTTCGGCTACGGAATGAGGTTAAATTCAGTGACTTCATTTCTCCCGTGTGCCTACCCAGCCTGCCTACCCAGCGTGACACGATTTTCCTTGGGAGCAAAGTAGTTGTTGCCGGGTGGGGTCGCACCGAAACAAATTCTACTTCCAACATCAAGCTGAAGGCGGAACTGGATCCGGTGCCCACATCAACCTGCAACGAGCGGTACGCCAGTCAGCGTCGGACGGTGACCGACAATCAGCTGTGTGCCGGGGGCGTCGAAGGAGTCGACTCTTGCCGGGGAGACTCCGGGGGACCCCTGCTCCTCGAAGACTATTATGAGGGAAATTCTAATTACTATATTGCCGGAGTGGTTTCCTACGGCCCCACACCCTGCGGCCTAAAAGGGTGGCCAGGTGTATATACTCGCGTGGCGGCCTACCTCGACTTCATTGAGAACAACATCAGACCTTAAGTTGACCTTTACATCCAAATGAACCGATTTACAAAGGATTGTCACAGCAAAAATCGATTTTTAATACAAGGTAAATAATAACATAAATAAATTTAATTTGAATAAATTAAATGTAAAAGCGGATGGTCCAATATAATTTGAACTGGGGCACTGTACACTTAAAAGATAAAAACGGAGTGTTATTCAAAGATTATTTTGGTTTACACAAAGTTCAAGGTTTCGCGTGCTTCTTGAGGTTCGAATTTAAAAAGGGGTTTGCCAGATTGTGGGGTTTAGAATCACTAGTTTATGCTAAATGCAACCTCTTAACTCTACGAGCGCAATGACGCCAACCGCTTTTGCATTTCCTGTAGTTCTTCGCCTTCGTCCTCGTCGTCTTCTTCTTGGACTGCAACGCGGGCTGGCGCAGGAGCAGCGGCAGCTTTGTCCGCGGGAGTAGCTTCTGGAGGTAGGGGAGCTTCACCCAGTTTGCCATCGGTTATCTCCCACAGAACTTTGTCGACCTCCTTTGCCGCCTCTTCCTCCAGCTCCTCGGACTCTTCCAGCGAATCCATGGTCTCGTCCAGCATCTCCTCGATTATCCCCGCCTTCATCATTTCCTTCGACATGTCACGCATAATGCCAGCCAGCTCTGGGTATCGAACCAGGTTTTGCATTGCTTGCATCACTTCCGTTGACTTTTGCAAAGATCCTGCGACTCGGAGCGTGGCTGAAAACAAATCATATTTCATTCTGTCCAGGTGCTAAGGTAAGGCGTACTAACCCAACTGATTTTTCATCTGCATTTGTATAGAGTTTAGATGCGCTTTCGACGTGTATATGCGATTAACAGCCTTCCGAGAGTTGACGATTTCCTTGGCCAGAATGACGCAGGTGTCACGGTCATTTTTCTGGGCAGCCTGCTTTAGAGAGCGTTTCACTTTATCCTCTTCGCGCTGAATACTCCGTATCTGCCGATCCAGCTGGTTTCCCTCCTTGCGTATTTTATGCGTCCATTCTTGAACCTAATTAGAGAGTATTTTAGAATATAAATAAATGTGTCAGAGTAACAAATTAATAAAAACAACGGGAACGTGACATCATTTCGCGAAAGTCATATTATCGAGAGGTCACTGGTGCGCCACGCCTTACCTGTTCCTTGGGGTCTTTACTTGGAGTTTTGCCGAACAAACCCATTGCAACGTTCTGGGGTGAGAAATTTGTTTATTGCTTTACTGTTTAAACTTGTATTTTGTTTTTAAAAGGCCAAGTGAGTCATTTTGTTAGAGCAAACATTAAGGGGGCTGCCAACTTATAGAACGATTCTAGAGAGGAGACACGAAACGAAATTTATTGAAAAATGGATTGCCTAAATTAAAACATATACTAATTTTATATATGAATATTATTATTTATTGAACATATCTGAAAATTTAAAAATATATATACATTTTTTACTTTTATTCGCACGATAAAATTATTGCAAGCCGAATTGTCGATGTGGCAACACTTTAAGTAGTAACAGTGACGTCACGCAAAGCGTAAGCCCCCACCTTAAAAACAGCTGAGCCTCAGCTGCACTGCCGCCCGCTATGTTATATCAGAACCAACAACGTGGATTGAGTTCCTTGCGATTTTCGCCAATTTTCTGAATTAAAATAAGTCTGAATTTCTCTGGACACATTCTGCTATGCAGCACTCGAAGCGCTGCATTAGCCTGTTGGGCGTCGTGCGGCAACCCCATTGCCTGCGTCCGTGTTTCTGGGCAGCACCTGGTATCCGGCAATTTCACCGGTCAACAATTGGGTATGCTCGAAAAAAGCAAGAGACTAACGTCTCCGCACTTTTTAAGCCGGTTCAAGTGCAGGCCAATGTCGATGCCGAGGACGTAGGCTCAGAGCTAGTTGGTAAACTGGAGAAGGCGGAGCTGCTGAAGATCCTCAACAAGTTTACTCAACGCCGGGAAGTGAAAATTTTATGCAGTGAGAATGGATTGGATTGTAAGTTTCAATTCTTTGTTTAACCTTCGATTGTCTAACTCGCTCTCCATGATCTAGCCTATTTGCAGCAACAGGCTTTTGGTTCCTTTCGACGATATTGTATCGAGGCAGAGAATCTCCCCGTGGACCTGCACATAACATTCAGTGACATAATGCAAGGAGCAGGACACATCGACGATATATTTCCTTACTTCCTCCGCCATGCCAAAACCGTGTTCCCGCATCTTGATTGCATGGATGACCTGAAAAAGATATCCGATCTGCGACAGCCCGCCAACTGGTACACGAATGCCCGCGCCATTACCCGAAAAATAGTTTTCCACGCCGGACCTACCAACTCCGGCAAGACGTATCACGCCATGGAGAGATACCTGACTGCCAAGTCCGGTGTCTACTGTGGGCCACTCAAGCTACTCGCCACTGAAGTGTTCAACAAGGCGAACGAAAGAGGTACTCCTTGCGACTTGGTCACTGGCGAGGAGAGAAAGTTTGGCATAAGCGAGGGCTCCCCCGCAAACCATGTGGCGTGTACGGTGGAAATGACCTCAGTTAACACTCCTTGTAAGTAGTGTACAATTCCCATGAGATATGGTAGTTTAACTCTTATATGTTATGGCAGATGAAGTTGCTGTAATCGATGAAATTCAGCAAATCCGCGACCCTCAACGTGGCTGGGCATGGACGCGGGCGTTTCTAGGATTAATTGCCGATGAGGTGCACGTCTGTGGTGAGGCCGGGTCATTGGGACTCCTGGAGAAAATTTGCGAAACCACCGGAGAAACGGTTGAAGTGCGACGTTACGATCGACTTACCGAGTTAACCGTGGAAAACACAGCTCTGGGATCCCTGGACAACGTCGTACCGGGCGACTGTATTGTCTGCTTTAGCAAGCATGATATATACACAGTATCTCGCGAAATCGAGGCCAGGTGAGTAAGTTTACGCCACCAAAGTATTCTTTTATAATTGTTCTATTAGAGGAAAGGAGGTAGCCGTTATCTATGGAGGCCTGCCACCAGGAACCAAGCTCGCACAAGCCGCTAAGTTTAATGATCCCGCCAATAGTTGTAAAGTTATGGTAGCCACAGATGCGATTGGAATGGGTTTGAACTTGTAAGTAGGAGAATCCCCTATTTATAAAATCGAAATAGACTGAAACCCTTATCTCTCGATAGGAGCATACGCCGTATTATATTTTACTCCTTGGTGAAGCCGACGATGAACGAGAAGGGTGAGCGTGAGATCGATACAATCTCAGTGTCGTCCGCTCTTCAGATAGCCGGGCGCGCTGGTCGGTTCCGGACGCAGTGGGAACATGGTTTTGTTACCACCTTTAAGCCAGAAGATCTGCAGACCCTGCATCGCATATTATCACAAACACCTGATCCTTTAAAACAGGCTGGCTTGCATCCCACTGCCGATCAAATAGAACTATATGCCTACCACCTGCCGAACTCCACTCTGAGCAACCTTATGGACATATTTGTGAATTTGTGCACAGTCGACGACTCGTTGTATTTTATGTGCAATATCGAGGACTTTAAGTTCCTAGCTGAGATGATACAGCACGTGCCTCTACCTCTGCGAGCTCGCTACGTCTTTTGCTGTGCGCCCATCAACCGAAAAATGCCATTTGTGTGTTCGATGTTTCTCAAAATAGCAAGGCAGTATAGCCGCAACGAACCCATCACTTTTGATTTTATCAAAAAGAACTGTGGCTGGCCTTTCAAGCTGCCAAAAACCATCCTTGACCTTGTACACTTGGAGGCAGTATTTGACGTGATGGATCTATACCTTTGGCTAAGGCAAGTTATTTTTGTTAAATATAAATCCAAATATTAATAATTGAATGTATCCGAGCAGCTACCGGTTTATGGACCTATTCCCGGAGGCTAATAACGTGCGAGAGGCCCAAAAGGAGTTGGACGAGATCATTCAGCAAGGAGTCTTCCAAATAACTCGGCTACTCAAGAACACTGAGGCCAACCAGGACGGAGATGTGTCGAGCTACACAGTGCGCCGCATAACACATACCAAAGAACCTCGTATTCCCAGCTCGTCGCGGGGCCGGCTTACGGAACGGTTGCTTGCTCAGGGCCTTCTGACGCCGGGAATGCTAAGTGAGTTGCGCAAGGAGTGGGACGCCCAGCAAGGCGGCCAATCTAGTGGGGGCCAATCCAAGGAGACTCAGGACACAAACACAGATAGTGACGACGAGGATAATTTATCCGGAAACAGTAAGAAGCTGAGGCGAAAGCGCAAAAAATAAGTGATAAGTTTTAAGTGATAGACGGTAGACTAGGTATAAGCTTTATGTATAGGTCAGTTGTTTTATATAATATATTTTTATTTTAAGTGGCAATTATGTAATATTAAAATTATTTTTTGATAATCAACGATGACAATTTAATTGTTTAAATTGAAGAGTAGAAAGATGCAATCTGCTTCAGACAAAATTAATCACTTCATTAGCATTTAATATATGGAGGGAGATTCTACTCAGAGCCTGAAATACTTGACATTAAATCCGCGCTTAGTGGCGAGGCTAACGGCTGTCGAACTCTCAAAATTGGGATTATTTTTAATACTGGCATTTGGAGTTTTAACAATTTAGATTGGTTGATAGTCCCTTAGCTGTTTAGCCTCACCTGTCTCCCGAAACGAATTCATATACTTAGCGTAAAAGTTACGTTTGTTGCAACAACGAACACACGATCACTTGAAGTGTGACTATAAAATATTCGACATTCAAAACATATAGATTTTTAAAAGATACAAATATTATCCGTTACAAAATACATTCATATGCTTGTTCATATAACTAATATTAAGTTTTTTGCATTAGAATTGCAATAGTTTAATAGATGTTATCCGTTTTTTGTTAATTTTTTGTTTTAGTTTGAATTAAAACCAATTAGTACCAATAATTATTAAAGCTTTCATATCTCCGTGTATAAGTTAAACTTATGTACTTTCAGAAACAGTGTCCTGTCATTTATAGAACTCTTAAGAATTCAATCATATGCAAGTTCCTGACCTTGGGCTCATCTTTCCAATTTTTAAATCGGATTAGAGGGCATTGAGAAAATTTTCCTATTACCTGACTGCAATACTTGTTATTTTCATGTATCCATATTAGCTTATATCTTATCAACTTCCACTTCCAACATCGCTTCCTTCCGGTTGTACATCGATCTTTGTGCGTTCGAATTCTAAGGTACCGATATTAATATTTTTCCGTATATCAAAAACTGGAACATGCGCATGGGCCTTGATCAAAATCACAAGAATTAATTATGTAGTTAGGTGTTTTCGGGTATGTATGCATGTAGGTTTGCAGGTATAATAATATAAAGACAGGGGCGCACTCACAAATATACTGTTAGGCGTTTAATTTAAAATTGTTTGAGTTTAAGGAAAAGTTAGTTTAACCGGACGATAGGTAGGTATAATTATTATAGTTAGTTCATTTGTGATTACGCCCATGTTTGCATATGCATATTATTATATTTTTATCATTCTACAATGGTTCCTTTTTGTTTTAGTTTTTATCCATTTGTAATAAAAAAGTGCTACTCTTAAAAGACGTCGGGTTCTCCGTGTTAGGCTTAATATTTTAAGATACGATGCAGAAAGGTTTTAATTACAAAAATTCGACATTCGAGCAGACCTTTAGTATCGGCCTCATCGGCTATTTAGTATTATTCATTATCACAAACAATCATAAAATTCAAATTTGAGTAATTTTTAAGTATTTTTGGCTGCCGTTCACAAGCCATTGCGTATAAAAATCCGATATTCTAGGTTCTTTTTTCGTGCATCTCACATTTTATCAAAAAATGTGTGCCAAATGGTTTACAAATACAAATATTCCCTGGCCCGTTTCGGGCCAGATCCGGAGGAGAATCCAAACATGACGGTCTGGATCGTCCGGCCGGCTCGCAGCTACAACAATCATGGTCGGTCCTGTTTGGACCGCCAAAAAACAAATCACAAACTTCGCACTCGGCCTCGGCTCTAGACAAAGTCGAGCTCGAGGCCCGGCTCAATGTCCACTGCAACGGCGTTGTCTGCAGGGAATTGGTCACCGTCGTCCTCGGCATACGAATCCTTCGCAGCCTTATCCCGGGACCGGTCCTTGAAGGCGGTCAGGCCCAGCTTCCGGAGGGCCTTGCCGCCACGACTTGAGGACTGGCCCAACTGCTCGAATCAGGAATCGACCAAAACATGCCAGCGGGCCAGCATCTCACCCTTGGGCATCTCACACACATCCGTCCAATGCGCCACCTCCTCCGGTCCGGACGAGTTCAGGCCCATGCTGAACCAGCCGACCATCTCATTCTTTTTCATGTGTCGCTTTGCATAAACGGAGATCATCAGCGTAACATCGTTGAGCTGGAAGAGAGCCACCTGGAAGGCAAACGTCTCCTTGAAGAGTGGGTTTGGCTGGCCCCGGCGGATCGAGGTCTTGGCGCGCGATATCTCCTGCCCGATACTGCTCACCATAACCATCTTAACGTAGGTGTCCGGAGCCTTGTTTAGGGAAAGGCTGCGGAACTGGCTGCCCTTGATGACCTCCACGCTCAGCCGACCTGTTACGCCGTTGTAGCTCAGGCCCAACAGCAGCTCCGATACGCCACCATGCTGCATGGACGATGTGGAGCCCGCGCTCTCTGACCGCGCCAGACTCAGGAGGTCGCTGGTGGATCCCAGAACCGAGGAGGTGTTGCGCGGTTCCAACGGCAGCCACAGGTTGGTTTCCAGTTCCAAGTCGACGGTAGCGAAACTCACGTATGCCTCGCCGATCAGACGCTCCTTGCGCAACCGTTCGCACCCGTACAGACGAACCCGCAGTCCCATGTTGTTCACGTCCTCAGGATTGACGCGATGGAGCAAGAAGCTCTCCATGTACTGCGGGTTCTCCCCGCTGCGGATCTTTGTCTTGAGCTTCTGCTTTTTGGTGGGCAGCATCAGCATTCGCACCTGGGTGTGCGTCGGCTGCCCGCTGGCCAGAGGCGGCAGGCTCCGCGCCTGCATCACGTGCACCGTCATCTTCCGCATGGGCGCGTCGTAGAGCAACGAAAGCTCCAGCTCGATTGGGCCACGAGGCGCAACCTTCACATCGCCGCCCACCAGCATGTCGTCCGACTTGATCGAGCGAAGATCACTGGTATCAAAAAGGGGTTCCTGAAAAGGGCAATATTATATAAAAATATCCGTTTCCCAAAGGAAGAAGGTCCTTACATCATCGTTGTTGTTATTATTGTTGTTGGTGGTGATGGTATTGTTGTTGTTAGTCACGCTGGAGTTGTTGTTGTTGCAGGAATTGGACATGGGCACCACCACGGAATTGCTGTCACGCTCCTTGTCATGCTTGGGCGGCACCACCACCTCGACCCTGTGCTGATACCTCAAGGCCTGCGTCTTGGCCCGATGATCCGCATACGGATTTCGGTAAGACGACGCCGGGTGAGAACCTGTCAATATGTCCAATTCAATCAGTTGTTCTGACACATCCTCTGTCTGACCCTGCTGCTTACCCTTGCTCTCGCCCGTGAGGATACCTGTATGACTGTCCACAGAGGCCTCCATCGAGTCGTTGGAGCTACATTCGCTGTGCGACGACGGGATGCCGACCTTACCCCTCTCGGCGACAGCCAACGGGTCACGGGTCACGGTAACCCGCTGCAGGTCCGAGCCGGCTTGATGGTAATTGAAGCTGTGGGCTGTCAGAGGATTCGCCTGGTTGATTCCCATGCCATAGCTGCCATGCTTGTCGCCCAGCTGATGCTGCTGGTGCCACCGCAGGCGACGCAGAATGTCCTCCTCCGAGTCCGAGCTGGTGTTCTCGTACCGCCGTTTTCGCGCTATAAAAGTATAGGGATTCAAGGTTAAATTTTGAAACCAACCGGGGGAGTCTTACGGCTGATTGTACTTACTAATTTTCTGGACGCACTTGGCCGCCAAATGGCGCTCGTCGCAGCAGTTGATGGCATGGCGATAGTGGAAACAGCACTTCCTACTGATGTAAAGAAAGAGCAGGAGCAGCAAAACGAGCACCCCGAAAAAGACGCCGAGTAGTGTGGTCACTTCTACAGTGCCTGCAAGGGAAGGAGCCGTCAGCGGGAAGGTCCCGATAGGTGTCGGGGCTACGTACCCAGAGTGGGGGTGCTATCCAGGCCAGAAGCAGAAGTGACAATCATCTTTGCTCATGCGACGGTCGCGGCAATTCCAACTCACTCTCACTCTCTCTACCTTCTCTACACGAAACTCATTGCGGCAGGTGGAAATCCCAGAGTCTCGGTCGCTTTTGTTTTCACTTTCGAAGTGAAAGCGAAAGCTCGGGATGTGACAGCGCAACGGGACAGGATAAAGGAAATCGATTTTTCGCAGGGGAAACGGCTGTGGCTGTGCCTCCACAAAAACTTTTAATTTTCGTATTTTTAATTTCGTTTCACTTTTTTTCGCCACTAAATTTAAAATAAAATATTAATTTGTTGCAGAAACTTTTTTTTTTCCTTTACTATTATCTATCTAGTTTGCACTTAAGGATAATAGTTCGTAGTTAATAATATTTCTGAAAATGTGCTATAAAGGCGCAGTTACGATTCTTAAATAATAAACCCGAAATCGCCTTTGGAATTAGTTCTACTGCGATTAAATGTGGTGTCCTTACACTCTACAGGAAAAGTGGCTCGGAAGGACTGAAGAGCTTAATCCCTCTACCCCAGAAAAGCTAACTCAAATTTTCAAGTGATGGTACTTTTGAAACTGTTTTTGAGCCGCCATGTTTATCGATTAAGAAAGGATAAGATTCAGGACATAGTAAAAGCTTTCGCTCTCCCAAAAATATATGTAGGAAACCTGTTGAAATTTTTCACCAACTATTTCGAAGAATATCTATATTATGTAAATATCTGAAAGGTATTATCCATAAATAAACTGTACGATTACGCGAAAATAAAGGACCGATGGTGCTAAATAGCCAGGGAGAAGCTGCAACATTTTGCAACTGACGCGAATCCCAACAGTACTTTAATGTTAACAAGTTCTCCCATTTTTTCTGAAAGTACTTTCCTAATTTTCGAAACATTTTTTTGGGAGAGTCGCAAAAGAGGGACATCTGCTTTTCTTTGAAAGCTGGAAGAATCAACTAACAACTGTTGCTTTCTTGTATTTGGGTCGCAATGGATGGAACTTTAATCGTCTTAAAATGTAATCGTTATCGTAACAATCGTCATTTTACCATCTCTAGCTGTAGAACAACAAGAATCGCGTAAATGTTATTTTCGTGAAACCAATACCATAGATCTGATGCCATGTCCCCGGCGTTAGACCTGGGCAACTCAGTAGAGGCCTACCACACCCTTGACAGCGGGAGCGTCAAAAGGGACACCTCGCCTAGCTCCTCGTCCACACCACCGGTCCGCCACGCAATGGGGCAGCGAACGTCGTGGCTTCGGCAGTGTCGCCGCTACAAACTTGTTGCCCTGATCCTAATGCTCTTGTTTCTCGTATCCTGCCTGGCATATAGGATTCTGAGTACTGAGCAGGATGCCCCTTCCTTGGATGTGCACCGCAGTTCGCCTCTTCTGGATGCCTATGAAGACTTTACTGCTATGCGAGCCGGAGATCTCAAAATGCGCATTGAGGAGTTGGTTCGGATCAAGAGCACCGTTTCGGTGGAGCTGCGAGAACTGGAGTCCCGTCGCCAGAAGCTGCAGTCGGACATCAGCCAGTACAACCAAAAAATCGAGGAGCTCAAACAGGAATTGTTGCGGGAGCAAACCGAACTAGAGCGCCTTAAAATCTCTGTGGAGCAGGCCCAAGTTGCCCAGCGGGAAGCAGTGCAACGAAATACTCCCGATCTTGCCTTACCACGCTCTCTACTGCCAAGCACTCTGCCTCGAAAGATGAATCCCATTTCCTCGGGTATGGCAGCCAGCTGCGAAATGCACAACTGCTTCAATCACTCTCGCTGTAGTTTGACGTCAGGTTTTCCTGTGTACCTCTACGACCCAGATGAACACAGCGTACAAAAGCATGGCTACGACATCGACGGTTTTTTAAAGACCACCCTAAAGCAAACATTGGGCTACAATGCGCATATTGTAAGGGACCCCAAAATGGCATGCATTTACCTGGTGCTTGTGGGTGAGGCTCTCCTGGAACAGGATCTGTTAAGGAACAATCGCTACGCGGCACAGGAAGCTGAGCAGCAGGTGCCCTCCACTCCAAGCCATGCGAACGAATGCCCTGTGGATATGGAGAAACTTTATCGGCTGCCTTACTGGGGCGGCGATGGACGAAACCATGTGCTGCTCAATCTGGCTCGGAGGGATCTCTCTTCACAACGAACCAATCCGCTTTATAAACAGAATACCATGCGCGCCATTGTGGTGCAGAGTGCCTTCGAACGGGAACAATTCCGTCCTGGCTATGATATCATTGTGCCGCCAATATTGGGTCCTCCAGGGGGGGATGTTTGGCAGGAGTGTGCTGGAATGGTTCCCGCCAGGCGGAAGTACCTTCTCACCTTCCAGGGTGAGTTAAGACCAAAGCAAAAGACCTCAGGGAGGCTGGATGATTTTATTATCGAGCACCTCACGGATATGGCCAAGGGAGCTACCCAGGACCAGTTTGTGCTCCAGTTCCAGTGTAATCCAGCCACGGAACAGCAGGAAGCGGACTCTGTGCCGGATTGGACACTCTGTGGCTCAGACTCATCCCGGAAACAACTGTTAAAGGACTCTACTTTTGTTTTAATTCTGCCTCCTTTGAACGGAAGAGTCTCCTCGACGCTGATGCTAGCTAGGATGTACGAAGCTCTGCGTTCTGGAGCCATACCAGTTATTCTAGGATCTGATGAGCTACGCTTGCCCTATGCTGAAACTCTGGACTGGAGGCGAGCTGCGCTTCTTTTGCCAAAAGCACGGATTACGGAACTCCACTTCTTGTTACGCGCTGTTCAGGATGCGGATTTGCTTTTGCTGCGCCGCCAAGGACGGCTTATCTGGGAGCGATACCTCAGCTCGGTGCAGGCCACAGTGGATACGGTTATTGCTAGCCTGCGAGATCGCTTGGGAATCCCGCCCAGACCAGTGCCATCAGTTCAGGCCCAGAGTGTTTTCAACAGCACTTTTATTCCATTGAAATCAGATCCCCCCGTGGGGTTAGATACAGAACCAGAGGAGTCTCTGGGACCTATCGAGCCGCCATATCCTAGCCCGGCCTTTCGACGAAACTACACTATCCTGCGGATGCAAGCCAAGGAAGCCTGGAACGATTGGCTAGACCCGTTTTACCTCTACCCTCAGTTGCCCTTCGACCCCGCCCTGCCATCTGAGGCCAAGTTTTTGGGCTCGCACACAGGCTTTCGACCTATCGGAAAGGGACTTGGAGGCGCTGGCAAGGAATTCGGGGAAGCATTAGGCGGAAACTATCCACGAGAGCAGTTTACGATCGTGATGTTAACCTACGAAAGGGAACAGGTGCTGATGGATTCGTTGGGCAGGTTGTACGGACTTCCCTACTTGCACAAAGTTGTCGTGGTGTGGAACTCCCCCAAGCCGCCATTGGACGATCTACGCTGGCCGGATATCGGAGTGCCTGTAGCTGTGCTTCGAGCTCCCAGAAACTCCCTGAACAACCGGTTCCTTCCCTTTGATGTCATTGAGACGGAGGCAGTTCTTTCCGTGGACGATGATGCCCATTTGAGGCACGATGAGATTCTTTTTGGATTCCGCGTATGGCGCGAGCACCGTGACCGGGTCGTAGGCTTTCCTGGTCGCTACCATGCGTGGGACTTAGGCAATCCGAACGGCCAGTGGCACTACAACTCCAATTACAGCTGCGAGCTAAGCATGGTCCTAACGGGTGCTGCTTTCGTACACAAGTACTACCTGTACCTCTATACCTATCACCTGCCTCAGGCCATTCGCGATAAAGTGGATGAGTACATGAACTGCGAGGACATTGCCATGAACTTCCTCGTATCGCATATCACGAGAAAGCCGCCGGTAAAAGTGACCTCAAGGTGGACCTTCCGCTGTCCGGGCTGCCCGGTTTCACTTAGCGAAGACGATACTCACTTTCAGGAGCGGCACAAGTGCATAAACTTTTTCAGCCGGGTGTTTGGCTACACGCCGCTACTGAACACCCAGTTCCGAGCGGACTCCATCCTGTTCAAGACGCGCATACCACACGACAAGCAAAAGTGCTTCAAGTACATCTAGTCGTTCCAGTGATCCCATCCTAACACCTCTTTTTGATTCCGACAACGGTGGCCACTCTCACTTACCTTACCGCCGTGGCCATCAGCTGAAATACTTTTTAGGGATAAGCACAAAGTAAACTTATTAGGCTAGATCCGGGTTCACTTAATTTTGTTTAAGCTAAGTCGAAAGATGTCCGTGCAATTTCTATTTAATTATATATCTCAATTTGTATTAATGTAATTCTATTGCCATAATCGATTTATTAATGTGTTTGGCTAGCATTTTGTGTCTTATAGCTGTTGCTTATTGTACTATATTGTTCAAAAGACAATTTTTAAACCAAAAAATGCTCTCAAACAAGAAAATGTTAAATTTATATAAAGATAAGAATTGAAATTGGTGAACACCGGAACAAGTCCCTATGTATATAGTTTATTTTGACCTTAGTCCGACCCTGATAAGCCCAGAGAACACTGCTCGCTAAAGTCTGATCAGTTAAACCATATATTTTTAAAGTCCATCTACGATTTATGCAATGACACTTTTTAAAGTGGAATTAAAAATATATGTTTACCTTAAGCGTTACCAAAACAATTTTCAAGACTTTTATTCTTGGTTTGCTTAATTAGTGTAAGTTTTGTTTCAATTTTTACTTTGTATATAACGCGTAATTAAAAATAAAAAATATTATAAGCACATATGTAAGTTTTTAATCGGTTTCAAGTTTAAACTTTAAACATTAAAGGGCTCCTATTTTTCTGATGGGTTCCCTTCAAAATTGGGGACAAAGCATGGAAGGACAATATGGCTCAAAGAGAAGGTCATATCTTTGCCAATAATCATCCGATTCTTGAGGGAAATACCTTAAACGATTTGTGATCGACTCTTCATCAACCTGCATCGAAACTTAACAAAATATTTTTTTTTAAGTTTTTTGATGTGTTCCCTTTCCAAATGGGGAAAATGCAAGGAAGGACAATATGGTCCCCAGGAAATTCCATATCTTTGCCAATACTCATCCGATTCCTCAGCGGAATACCTTAAACAATTTTTTGATCGATTATCCATCGATCTGCATCAAAACCTACAAACAAAAAATTTTTGAGATTTTTTCTCAAATTTTCTAATGGGTCCCCTACAAAATTGGGGAAAATGCATGGAGCGATGATATCTCCTACTGCGAAAGCCATGTCTTTGAAAATAATCATCCGATTCTTGAGCGGAATACCTTAAACGATTTGTGGATCGATTCTCCATCAAATTGGGGACAGTGCGTCTTTTAATTTGTCATGGCCATGTCTTTGAGGGTTTGTAGAACAATTATCTTTTAGTCTAAATTATAATCTAAGAAGAATGAATTTTTTTTTAATTTCGGTTCTAATGTTGTGGAATGATCCACTGTCTTCAAAACGTATTGGTGCTCATCAAATGTAATCAACCAGTGATGAATTGATGAACCTTTGAGGACATAGCTCAAACAAATCTCAATCTTACATTATCTTTTAGCTGCATAAATAGTCTTATTTTACTTTAAGAAATTAAAAACCCGCCAATGTTTCACTTTTCACCGTTCCATGCTGCGTGGCACAACAGGGTGGTTCGAGTACGGACTGTCGTTAGTATTATATTCTTAGTATTTTATTAGTATTTTTCGTAGGTAATGAGGAAGTGAGTTACCTGTAATCTAGTAAGGTTTGTTCAAATACAAGAAAACCTTTTCTTTAAGTTGTTTTCTTCTAAATCCATTAACTGTCTTTAAATTACAATCAAAGGAATATTTATTCCAATAAATTTTTACAAGTTTATTTATTTGTGACCCTAATATTCTTCAGATTTAAGACGTGGTATACAATCGTTACCAATTCCATTACTTGTAATGCATTATTTCATCGAATACCAGTTTGATGGGAAAATCTATTTAAGCAACCCGCCACACTCTCTTTGAAAAGTATCGAGAGAACCATCGGATTGTTTGCCAGCAGATACCCGATGGATAGCTACGCGTAACTTGGAAATCCTAAGTATTTTTACACATAATATTCCAAATATTTGGAACTGTCTAGCACAGCCCGGTTCCGGTTTAGCTTCCTGTGCAAATGTAATTCTCCGCCTTTTGTTTTGTGATTAGTGGTATTGTGATTATCGTTTTTGCGAAAAACTGGCGCTAGGTCGTCTGAAATTGCAACCGTCCCCGCGGCCCCTATACTCCAGGTGCGCGAACGCCCAAGTACCCCCCGCGCTTTATCCAAATTCCGTAAAAGCCCGTGCGTGACGCAAAGAATTCGGAATGGACAATGCCAGTTCGAGTGTAGTGAGATGATTTTACAAAGGCAACCGCTATTGAGCAGCTAATTAGCATCGAAGAAACCATCGTTGGATAGTGGATAGGGAGCAGTGAACAGTGCACCCACCCGTCCGCCAACTGGCGCTCCAATTGCGGACCGGCCGTAACGCGTAGGTAACTTGGATAATTGCCCGTAGAAACCGCTGCATTGGCACTGTGATTTGAGAAACCCTGAGAATTCGCCCCGCCCACAGCTCCACGGCGGGGCGGAGGCAAGGCGGTTCGCCGACGACGTCATCCGCAATATTTTTCTTTTCATTTTCACAACCAATAAGGGAAAGGAGAAAGAGTAAGGGGTGCTGCCTGGGAAACTCGATAGTCGCCTTTTGTTGTTGGGGGACAGAGGCGCATCCACAGTGGGGCTTTCCTCCATGCGAGACATATTATCTGTTCCACGGTAGACTCTCCTGAGAAAATTCTCTCCAAAATGTGACTGCTTCCGAACATGTGAGCGGCGGGGGTGCAAAGTCACTGCTGTTCTCGATGAACGGAAACGGGAGTGGGGGACGACTCGGTCTCCCCTCCTCCTCCTCCCACTCCGGCGTATTTCGCAGCCATATGTGCAGCTGCTCCTTTCATTGATCGCCTTGGGTTATTAAGTGCTCTCCGGCTGGTGCAACAAACCAAACAAACTCCAGTTGTGGCACATCGCCCGACGACATCTCTACGCCTGCGACTGACTCTGTTGTTTTGTTTTTATTAGTGTCATTAAAATTTGTTGAATGGAAAGGTCAATACACAGCGGACTCTAATGGGGGGAGAGCACGGAGCTCGACTGACCAAGCCAAGCGGTAGAGCGGTGGAGTAAACCGGTTCGAGGTTTGTTTTTTTTTTTTGTTTTGGGTGAACTGCCTGCCGACTGCCTAGATTCCATAGTGTTCATTTTCAAAGTCTCTTATCTGGCACTTTTTCACATGATTCCCACCGGCTAGATAGTTACTGCGACTGCGACTGCGACTGCGGCATCTCGTCATCTACAACGGGCGCTCCATGAGCCGAATACTCTAAAATTTCTTGCTGTGAGTGTGGTTTTTTCATGCAAGACGCGATGGCTCACCTTGCCAGCCAAATTCATGGGCACATTGCCAAAATAGTGAAACTCTGTGCTCGATGTCAATGCCAGTGTCGGTCCCATTCTGTTCCACTGAATTCATGGATGGCGAACTCGAGATATACCCTAAGATCCAGTTTCTAAGAGAACTTCCATCTATAAATTGGAGTTTCTAAGAAATCATAGTGTTATTAGTTCATCTCTGCTAGTCCTATCTATAAATGGGAGTTTTTGCCCCTTTTTTATTCTTAGAGAAACTTAGTAAGACTTTGTATTTAAAACAAAGTGGTTTAAGCTTCTGTTTACCCATTGCATAAAGAATTATAGGAATGCAAACTCTGTTCTTATCAACGTACTTGTATCAAGCATTTCTACGCTATCTTGAAGCTAAATTAAACACTAAGCAAAAGTCACCGCACTTGTCGCAGCCGCGCAATTGTTGCTGGCATGCTTTTCATGTTTATGATGCTTTGACTTTCGCCTCGTCAAGCGCCAAGAAAAGTAAAAACTTAATTCACTTTCAACCGAATGGTGAATGGCCTGGTACATGTTTGTACATTAATGCGAAAAGTCCACATACACACAAGTGTCTTTGGAGGGTCTTCATAAAAGGAAATGGATTTCGCTCCATATTCGTGCTTTAATTTCTTGATCGAGAAGATGGTTTACCAAAATCCCTCATCGTATGTGAGAGCATTTAAGCTTTACTTTGTTTAGAGGCTATATACACCTTGGTTTAATTAGTGTTTCCGACATTGAAGCCCACGCAAAATCCGCTGGCTCATTATGTATTTGTTCATAGTTTATTCCGCTTGGGTTTAATTATTTAAGTGTAACAAAGACTAAACGCCGCTTGACTTTAATGGTGTCCAGTTATAAAATTTAATTTTTTCTTGGCCAATTTCGATAAAGAAAGGTGGATAGACAAGCCATTGTACTAGAGGTAACACCTTGTACCTGCATAATTGCTGGAAGCGGAGCGTTAAAGTGTAGCAGCGCTCTGTTAATTTTCCTCCAAAGAAGCGCTGATGGGCTTTTCGTTTCTTCTTCTAAACAAAAACTGAAATTTTTCATTTCCCCAGATTTTCAGATCCCCCAGGCCGACTGGCGATTGTACTGTCATAAATGGGAACCAGCAGTAAGACAAAACAGGCATTCATCTCGTCTTATGACTTTGTTGATGGCATGCAAATGTTTTTTCTGAAACTTTCTCAAAGAATTTAATGAATGAGAAGCCCCAGAGGGGACTGTACTGTGTAGGTGGTGGTGGTGCAGAGCTCTCTGTATGTGGATCATTGTAGTTGCACGTTCCACGTTAAGCGATTGTTTACTTTTTGTCAATAAATTGGTTTTGGTTATATAGCCATGGCTATACGACACCAGCACCAGCTAACCGCCTGCAACCACCACAAAGCCTTACAAAGTTGCTCTTGCAAATTGAGAAAGAAAACGGACAGGTGTTTTCCGGTTCTGCACACTTGATGGCTGCTCCAAATGCTCTTTCCTTGTCCGCCACTCATTCCCATTCCCATTCCCACTACCATTCTTTATTTACTCCACTCCCCTGGCTGCACAAGGTGCACTGGAAACATATCCGCTTGTTTTTATGGTCGAGTGCCGAATCATAGGAACGGAAAAACGACGCTAAATAACAAGTATCTGGCCTTACTTTCGTTACAGGAGTCGCGTTTGAAGCGTTTTGCATGAGAAGATGACAACCACAGTCCAGATGGAGAGGAACCCCAACGGCGGTGGACCCGGGGGCATGGAATCGGCCGGAGAGGCTCCCTCTGCGGCGGCGGCCGGCGGCGAGAAGAATGCCCCCATCGTGGGCGTGGCTGGCCAACAGAAAGGTGAGGGTAACTGAGGCTAATAGCCCTAATAGCACTTAATTATGATAGATGCATGGACAGGAAACCATTTAATTCAATAATGAACTTTCGATGAGGCTTAATCACAAAACAGTTTCAGAAATAACCGACAAGCCATTAAGTTGCTTGAGATCTCAAGTCTCATAAATGGCAGTCTTGGCTGTAACTTAATGTCTCTTACTCTCTATACTGAAAGCTTTATTTCTTAATTCAACTTATTGTATAATTGAAAGGGTAACTAAAGCAATCTCCAATCAACTAGTACGAAATCTAAATCCAGTTTCCGAATCGATTTGTTTCAGCCGAGTGATGGGTTCACGGTCAGTGATTGATTTAATTTCGGGTATTTTCTGTTACGAAATCGAAACACGCGATCTGGCATTGAAATTAGATAAGTGATGTGAACTCGATTTTGATTTTAGACAATGTATCAGCGCCGAATTGCATTTACCTGGGAATTCTTTTGTTACAGGTTTTAGTCACAGTTCTAATACATACTATACATAGTTATTCATTTTAAAATAAGCTTAATCTTGCTTAAAGAGTGAAACATAGGTAGCTCTATAAAACTTCCTTAGTTTCCAACAAACCAGTGCAACTTGATAGTAGACTATTAATTAGGAACGCCCTCATCCATGACAACCCAGAGCATATTTATCTACATATGGGCTAAATTTAAACATCAGTCCCCTGTCCCCAGTCCCAAGGGAGCGCGACATATGGAGGACGTCATGTTATGAAAGGGTCGCCTTGGAACCGGAAGAGAGAGAGCGAGCGGGTTTCTCCAGAGTATGCATTCTCCAATGGAATTGAGTCTATCTGACTGGGTGTCCAGTGCAAGGGGGTTTCTCCGGTTGCTCTTAAAAACTTCGCATAGTTTTAGGAAAACTTTGCAGTCGGCTGGCTGACGCTTTTCCAAAGGAAGCGCTCACACTCAAATGTCCACAAGGCAAATATTTACCTAGCAGAAACCAAAACAAATCTGGCAACTGAATAACCAATGCGAGACCCAGACAGAAACTCGTTTTCAGACCGCGGCTCCCGCGACATTTTTGTGGCCTGAAATAACTTAGCCCGAGAGTCAAGTCGTGTTGGATCGGTTTTGGGCGAGTCGGCGAGCTCGAGCTTGGGCCAGTGAGTCATTTGCGTTTTTGCAATGCCTGGCTGCAGTTCGTCGGGGGTGGAAAGCCGTAAGGTCGAAGGCTTTAACTAACGATCCTAGGTAACTAGATATATATATATCATTTATCTTACTCCCAACAGCACTGGATGCTACCAAGCGCAAGAAGCTTAAATCGCGACTCACATCTTCGGCCTCCACTGCCGAGATGCAGGCAGCATCTGCCGCCTCTACCATCAATCAAAGTAATTCGGGCAAAATCGGCCGGAGTGGCGTAAGCTACTCCAAGGACCATCTCGATGCATGGCTGGAGAACTGCCTGCGGGATGCCACGAACGCCCAGTTGTCGTCTTCATCCGAGTTTTTGGACTTTATACCGCCCACAGCCACTGTTCCTAAGCCAATGTTCGTGAGTCAGGCGGGAGCTCAGCCTCAACAACAGCAGCAGCAGCAGCAGCAACAACCATTCCCAATGCGTGGACAGCCTTACGGAATGGGCACAGGCACGCCCTTCAGCCTGGGGATTCAGCGCGTGAGTATCAGTCATTAGGGTAAACTGTGTGTCGTGAGCCGGGCCCAATAATTCCACACTTTCCCTCACACAGCAATCGCACTCCCTCTCGCATCGATACCCGATGCTCTTCCCACCCCAGAGCTTCAACGGCTACGGCATGGGCTACGCCGGGGACAGTGGCCAGGAGTTCGCCAGTCTCCCGCCCCTGGTCAACATGATGGGGAGTGGGGGTGGCGGCGGTGCTGGTTCGGAGCACGAACCCAATTCCACAGACGTGTTGGATGGAAGCGGCAGCAATCCAAATTTCAGCAGAGGGTGAGCCTTATGGAGGACCTTCTCAAAATGCCAACTAATGTTTGTTTTTTCAGGTTTCGATTCAGCGACCCCTGCCTGCTGAACCCCTCCGACAATGATTCCAAAGTGAGCGGTCAAAATACCCCGTACTGTCGCAACGGCAACATAAGTGGCAGTGCCTGCGATCTGGCGCAGCAGAACCAGTTCTTTGCGGCGCTGATGGAGCAAATAAAGATACTGCACGACACCAATTCCAGGATCTGTCAGAATCTGCACGAAACTAAAGGTACTGGCCATGTCCTCCTTACCAACCTATGTACCTTTTCATTTCTGCTTAGCGACTATAGAGCTTCCGAATTCTTTAAGATATTTGTATTTCCTGCTATTATCGATTGATTTTTTATCTATTACCACCCGATCCTCTTTCTATGTATTTGTTGCACCCGTAAACACAAACACACAGTCGATATTGAAGCCTTAAAGCACGCTCCTTTTGGTCAGCCCTGGGCGCCGTCCGGCGTTGGGGGCATGCGGCACCGTAGAGATAGCTTGAGCGGATTGAGCACCCAAAGTCAACCGTTGGTTTTTGGCGGTGGACTAGGCGGGACGCACAGTCCGGCGCCCACCTTTCATTCAGGTACAGCCAGGCGGTACAATCGGGACCTTCTGCCCTCCAGGCCACTAATTCCTAACAATGTTTTTTTGTTGCAGGTGCATACACTCCTGGCATGATGACCGATGTAGTGCGAGAGGTTAAGGAGGCGGCCCGCGTACGGGAAGATGCCCTGCTCAGCCGGTAAGCATGACTGACTCCAGGTTGATGAGAAGGATATAACCTATGGGTCAAACCATTGCAGGGTCAAATCGATGGTCGAGGAGAGGCAGTGGAGCGTGAACGATGGGAATGTTCGTATTCTTCGCGATATTGACGAGCTGAAGGTAAGTCCAAGTGTAGTCTCTTTTTGCAGCTTTTAATTACAAGATTCTATCCCTGAAACAGTCCCATGTAATGCAGTTGCGCCTGGAGCGGAAGGAGACAAACAAGCGACTGACGCACCTCGAGGCAGAGAACAAGTACCTGCGCCAGGCCCTGGCCAGTTGCTACAACCAGCGCCAGTCCTATCAAGATATTATCTACGAAAATGATCGAGCTCGAGGAGCAAGGAAGCCCTTTCCAAATGGTGGAGGAGCCGTAACACGGAGAGCGCACTCCTTCAATCTCCACTACGGAACTGTGCATCAGACTCCGACCCAGGCCACGCATTCGCTGGAGGAGGACGACGAGGGGGAGGAGGAAAATGTACAGGAGCAAGCCGAGCTGGACAGCGAAGTGCAATCGGTGGTCACCAACAAGCGACTGTCCTGCTCCAGCAACGAGTCCCGCAGCAACGGAATGCCAACGCCACCAACCAAGCTACTGACGCAGCCCACCTCGCTCGAGGGAAGCCCGCAGTCTGTAAGGATTCCTCCGTCGTTTGCCCTGATTACCGACCAAGTCGACCCGTCACATCCTCCTCCCCTGCTGCCGCGCAAAAAGGAGCACGCCCAGATCAAGCGAGAGCTGAGCGAAGCTGCCGCCGCACGTAAGGAGGCAAATCAACGTATAATAGCGTGGGTGTAGTCTATGCTCTATTCTGTATTCTAGCACTAACCCAGCACCGCCTTATTTCAATCGCATGCAAGTTCTTAATGACCCCCGAGCACCTAACCTAACCATCACCTCATTACATCATAGAATCTCGGTGACTAATCACAAAACACTTACATACTTTGCATTTCTGTTCTTCTCTTCCGGCGACCAATACTTTCTCGTGTACTGTAACAAATGTGTAGCCTTGAAAAATTGGTTAAAGACCTAGGCGTCCAGGTGGCCCTGGCCAGCAGCGCTCCAGCACCTGCACCTGCACCAGCCCCAGCAGCAGCAGCAGCCCTGACAACGAAATTCAGCGTGGCAGGTGGACCGGTCACAGACTTATAGTTTTAGCTGCCGGCCCCTCCGGGTTCGAACGGCCAGCGAAGGGCAGTGCGCGTCACTTACTTATAGCAACCGGATCGGCGGAAATGGCCAGCTCGACGAACCTCCATATTTCGCTTTAAAATAATTTATAACTCCATAACCTGTGCTGGGCCGGAAACTAAATCATCCAACTCATCTTGCAAGTCCACAGAGTCCACAGGCTGGCACAAAATCCTGTTCCCATAACCCTTAGCCCTTCTTCTTAAATTGTTACTAAAACTCAACTAGAGGTCGTAGGAGAATTTAAACTAACTGAGAAAACGTGTACCTATATTGCGATGAACAAAAATCAAATCTAGATTCTACCGACGACGAATAATTGTTAATTTACGAGAATGTTGAATGCTTAAAAAGGTATAGATAGCAGTGTATAGTTATATACCATACTTGTTAAGTGCCATTCGATTAATTATAAAGTATATTTTAAAATATATTCGATTCTATATTACTAAAACTTGAGTAGACTTTTATTTCCTTCTTCATACATATATTACATACATATATGTGCATTTATTAAAAACAATTTGTCCAAGAAACACTCATACATTGTTAAGAAACTAAAAGCTTAAATGGTTCCTCGACCGCAGGCCCACCCAATGCGATCCATCTGGGTGTTCGTCAATCCGTGTGGGTTACAGCGCATCTACGGGTACGGGATATAGGTTAAAAACAATGTCTGTCACTAGCAAGCATATGATGAAACTATGGAAATGCGATTAAATTTTGTAAAAAAAAAAAAAATAATGAAATGAAGACGAAGGACACAAATTCTGTTTACATACATTGCGCCGCCATGTCGCTGCTATCGATGCCGAGCATGGCCAGCTCGTCCAACTCCGCCTGACGGCGCAGCTTCTCACTGTCCGACGGCGACTCCTTCGGCTCTGGTATGTCTAAGATGTCCGTCTGATTCGTGACGGGCTCACATTTTTTGTCCTCCTCAGCTGGCGCTGGTGCTGGAGCGGGTGGAGGGGAGCTCGGCATGGGAATGTCATCTGCTTCGATCTGCTTGAGGGCTTTAGCTTGTGGCTCCGATTTTCCGTTAAGTGCCGGAGATTCCTTGTCCTTCGTGTCATCTTTTTCCGATGCATTGACAGATTTTGAAGCTTCTGCTTCTTCAATGCTCACTAGATGGATTCCCTGCTTGGCCAAGTCTTGGAGGTTGTGCTCGCTAAGAACCGGCTCGTCCTCGACAATTGTGGTTACAGTTTGGGGCACAGTTGCTGCCTGACTGCTGTCATCCGCAGCCTCCGCCGCCTCCTCACTTGGGAATATAATGTTGAGGGCATCGGCCAGATCCTGGGGTAATGCCCCGTCGGCTGACTGAGCCGCACTGTCCAAGGGACGCGCCACCAGATCGGTTTCGGGCTCGTCAATGCCTGGTGGCAAGACATCGTTCTCTCCACTTTCGCCCTCTGACTGATCTCCCTCCTGCTCTCGATTTTCTCCATCAGATCCATCGCCTGGTGGAGGTGGAGGCGGACAGCTTGTCATCAAATTGGCGAACTGGACAGGATCTGGCATCAGTTCGTCGTAGTCCATCATCATGCCAGCATCCGGGTGAAAGGGGGGTGCGTTGCCAAAGGCATCCTCCATCATAGCCATTTGAATTTGAGCTGCTGTGGGAGCCGAGTGACGCACCACCATTTGTCCGGGCGGTCCCCCCATAGGTGGTGGTGGAGGAGGCGCGTCGAAGTTACCATTGGTGTATACTGAAGGGTCGAAATTCGTTGCGGCCGACGGCTGTTTCTTGAACACTGGCATCTTTCCAATAAAAGGCAATTTCTTTCCACCCGGACCTACAGTCACTGTAGTCTTTGGTACCTTCGGCTTGCCTTCCGTATCCTTTTTCTCCTTCTTAGCTTCCGGCTTGCGTTCAGGCACCGTGCGGGGTCGGAACTCGGAATGCTTGACCACTGGACGCTCTACCCTCTCTTCCGAACGGCTGCGACGACGGCGACCATCACGCGACCGGCTCCTACGACTGGATCTTATGGGAGATCGCGAGAAGCGTCTGCGACCTCGGCTCCGGGATCGACTTCGAGAACGCCGCCTCTCCCCCCGATCACGATAACGATCTCTGTCGCGATCTCGATCACGACGATCTCTGTCGATGCGACCGCGACTCATACTCCGCGAGCGACTACGCCGCTTGGGACTGCGCGATCGCCGACGCTTTGATTTTTCATCTGCAGCGGTAGCTCCTGAGGGCGGTGCCACACTCTTATGCTCCTCCGTTTCCCGAGGCGGCTTGTTCTTTAGCTTTCCCTTTAATTTTTCCAATAGTTTCTTTTCGCTCTCACTTATCACAGGCTGAACGGTGTTCCACTGCTGCATAAGGGTTTCGTCCCGTTTCTTTTGCCCCTCCACTGGCTCCTCTCCGCCGGCAGACGTCCACTTGCCACGCGCCGATGAGGAGTTTATGGAATCCTTGATTATCGGAGGAGGCGGCGGTGCCACCGAATGTGAAAGTATTTCCGGCTTAGCAGAGATCACCGGTGCAGCTTCCTGTTTCCGCATGGCGACGCGAATGGAATTGGCATTAGCCGGCTTGTCAGTTGGAGCACTTGATGGCTCCTCAACGCGCTCTTTCTTTGGCTGCTGGCTCCGTTCGTCCTCCGACGAAGAACTTTCCGACGAGGATGATGAGCTGTTCCCGTCTGTGGCACTTCGCTTGCTTTTCTTTCCGTGCTTCTTCTTCTTTTTCTTCTTGTCGCTGGAAGGAATAATATTTTTGGATTAAATCGTTATTAAAAACATAGTCCCATACTAACCTCTTTTTCTTCCGTTTCTTGGACGTCTTGTCTTCGTCCTTCTTGCCCTTTTTGCTCTTGGAATCATCGCGCTCCTTCTGCTGCTGAAGGGATCGCTCACGATTCGTCTGCCACTCGATTTCATAGTTGGGAGTTTGTTCAATAAAACACTGCAATAAAATGTAAACATATATATTAATAGTTAAACTATACTTTTAAACAATACCCAATTACAAAATCTAAGCACCACAAGGATGTAATATATTCAAACAAAAAGGTATATCTATATTGAAATCGTTTGTTTCAATTAAACGCCATAATATTCACCCAATGAACCATTTTTAATTGCTCTTCTTTTTAGTTCAACAGCGTAAATTAAATCACAAACTTTGTTGGAGTTTTTGGAAAATCCAGATCAGGAATAATACTCCTAAAAGCTGTCAGTGTCGACCAGAAATCGAAAAGCATGTGTGATTTAAAATTTGGCATGGTACCGGCTTGCTTTTCGATCACAATTTTCAACGCATTAAACCGAGAAAAGTATACATTGTAGTTTAAAGGTATAGCAGACCTAAAGCTAATCTGGTTTCTGTATTATTTTGTTTACTCAAAACTCACCTCGTATTTTTTAGAATGTAGCTTTGACTTAAGATGAGCGGATGCGCAATGGAGATCGCCAATCCAAACACTGCAGAGCTTGCAGTACCAGGCGTTGGCTGGAACCAGAAACTGCATACCTCGAACCGGAACGCGCTTAGAAGGTGCATTCTCGTATGTCGGAAAGGGATCGTGATCTATGCCCACATGCCATGGGGTCTCAATGGTTTCACGATTCATGTGCTCCTCGGAATGCAGATGCTTCAAGTAATCGCGTGCCGATTTCGGGAAAACATTGCAGCTCTCGCACCAATGCTGTTCAGGATCGAAAAACACAAAATTGTAGTTTTGTGCCGCAGCTGTGGCTGGCTTTGCATCACCCTGCCTAGTTTTCATGGTCTTGATGGCGTGGTGCTTGAGTCGATTGGTGGGACTACCTTCAGCATCACCGTTTTCTTCTCCCTCCCCATCCGAGGAGGACTCCGATGAGCTAGAATCGGATGAGTTGGAATCCGAGGAGTCGCCGGAGCTTTCGCTTGACGAGTGGGATCGGCTCACTGGTTCTGGTTCAGTTTTTACAACAGGTTTGGGCTTGGGCACATCTTCGTCTTCGTATCCAATGATGCCGTTTAACATGTCGATGACATTTTCGATGGTGTCCAGCTTTTTCTTAATTTGCACCTGCAGAGAGTTTATAGAATAGGTGGATTAGACTTCTGAAATTGGCAACACACTGCCCAAAGTGGGCAACATCCCCTACCTGTAGGCGATCGTTTTCCTCAATGAAATTTGTAGTGGTCGGAGAGGGTGGTGCTTCGCCGGCAGCCAAGTCTTCACGTTGTTCCTTAAGGACTTTCATTTCCTTTTTAAGAAGCGTCACTTTCTTGACGTAGTTTGCGCGCTGTTTTTTGAGCTCGTCCTTCTGCTTCTCAGCCTCTTGAGCCACGGCTGTCGTCCGGAAATGCGCATTGGGAAAGAAAAAGGGAAACCAATAAGTTTACATTCCTCCAGAAAAAGAAAGGTTAAAATTTCATTTACAAAATGCATTCTCGAGTGCATTTCACCGGCTTGTTACACACGGATGCGGTCGCCGGATCAGATCGGGAGACGCTATGACCGCGTCGTGTTTGCTTGTTCGGCCTTGTCCTCGTTGGGGGGTTGGAGTGCATGGTGGGGTGAAGACGAAGGAAGGCGTCCAGCAGGCCGGTATTGCGATTTTCGACTACGGCTACATAAAAACGACAAATGTGCGTTTTCAAAGCGAAACTGAATGACATATCTGGACCCCTGGCGCGGGTCAATCTGTGCTCGCTCTCGCAGCGCATTAGACGGCTATATATTTGATAATCTTTACAATACATTTTCGATATTTTGTGGGTTGCGAGTCTTTAGCGCGCGTTTAAGTTACAAGTACAAGCAATCATGACAATAGTAATAAAACATAATGTGAGAGGTTTACATGTGAATTTTCGTAGTGGACACAGTAAAATTCATTTTAACACTTACCGTCCGGCGGCGGCAAACCTGCACCTTCGACGGCAGGCGCCTTTTGCTCCTCCTCATGATGTTTAAGTGGCGGCACTTCTTGACCCGTCTGCTGTGGGGCTGCTAGTGTTTCCGGAGCAGGAGGCGGCTGTTGCATCCAGACCTGATGCCCATATTCTAAAAAAAAATATAACAAGACTGGTTGGTACACAAAAGATTATTACTGACATCGAAGGAATTTACCATTTACACCCCAGGCGCCTGTGGGTGGTGGCCCATAGGCACCTCCGAAATTGGGCTGGCCAGCGGGACCCGGCATTACATATCCTGGTGGCGGTCCCTGTGGTGGGAACGCATTGGGTGGCATTCCATACTGATGGCCATAAACGTCCGGAGGACCGCCGTAAGTTCCCTGGCCATACATTTGGGGTGGCATGACTCCATAGCCAGGATTCATTTGCGAAGGTGCTCCGACTTGCTGATGAGGCGGGGGATGTGGAGGCGAAGCTGGCTTGTTCTTGGGGGACCAACGACCTGACGGGCTCATTCCGCGACCGCCTCGCCGTAGAGGAGAGATACTTCGTGAGCGGGAGCGCCCGTATCGCCTTCCTCGACGAGGTGGAGAACGCCGTCGGTCAGGTGAGCGGCGTCTATCGCGATCAAAACGCCGGCGAGGGGGGTAGCGGCCAAAATCTGGGGAGTCATAACGCCCCCTGCGAGGGGGAGTTGGCGAGCGAGACACCGAGCGTCTTCGTCGTGCTGGTGGAGATCCTGCGTTGCGGGAATCAGGACGACCACGGGATGAAGAGCGGCGTCGTGGCGTTGAACGGCGCCGAGAGTTCGACTTGCGGTTTTTTCCCGACCTTACACTCCTGTCATCACTTTTTTCGTTTCCGCTTTTCTCGTCCACGCCGGGTGGCCCTGACGGCAGGTCAGCCTCAGTTCCCGACCGCTTGTCCGACATCTGCTTCGAACCCGAGTCTACATCCATCGCCCGGAGTAGTCTTTGTCGTAATCTAATTCCTCTTAACCTTTTTGTGCGCGTCTAAGATCAATTGCAATTTTTTTTTGCTGCGACATCAGAGTTGTCAACGGGCAGTCTTTTTCTTGAAAATTTTAGTGTTGAATAGTTTTAAAAAAAAAACAGTGTTTCAAAAGAAATAATGGCGGGGCGCTAAATATCGTTTTATTTTTATAAATTCGTATAACAATTTATTTATTATCAAAAATTAATTAAAACAGTGCTTTAAAAATGTTATTTTGTCGAAACTATTATTAGCCACCTCTGCAATTCTTTTAACACTATCGATATATTGAGCTAAATTATCTCCCATCTCTCTTAAAATAATTGGAACTCTAAGGGCGGCATGTTCAAATTACCTTTAAATTAAACCGGTAAGAATATACCTATAAATTGGCAATTTATATTTTATACATATTTTCTTTATTTGCAGTTCTCTGTTATGTATATAGCCTTGAAATCATATGTTTTAGTTTCAATAACTATATATTATAGGATATAGCCGGTCGATCCAATTTTTAATTTTCCTGATCCATACACCCTTAGCTTGAAGAAATATTTACAACTTTTGGAAACAAAGTCAAAGTTTTTCATCCTTTTGCTGGTTAAAATCCCTCTTAAAATCCTTTTAATATTTTATTCTGGGACTTCTTTAACAACAAAATAAAAAACTCGAATTTTTGTGGTTTATTGAATTAAATATTCTTCAAAACTCTATCGGCGACGTTGTGTATTCGTCTCGAGAGGTCTCAACAATTTTTATTAATAAATGAAATCATTTTTTTTTTATAACAATCAAATTATAGTTCATTAATAGCACATCCCGTGTTTAAATTTAATAAAACTGCGACAACAAAAAGTTAGCAAGAACTGGTTGTTACAAAGTTGTTAATAGTATATGTTGAAAAATACAATAAACAAAAATGAAGTTTTTCAAATGTAAACGAAAAGACTCATTTTAGTCATAGACAGAAGTTATCTAGTCAGTGCTCTTCACAGTGTTTACTTCTATGCCAATCTCTAAAAGCATTTTCTGATAAAAAAAAAGTTTAGTTTAGTTCACAGTTGCAACTAATTTGCTATATAAGACGCTTGGGTGGCACCAGTCGGCCAACATTTTGTCGCAAGATGAAACTACAGATCGCCCTTTGTGCCATCCTCGTGGTTTTCTGTGGTCTTGTCAGTGCCTACGAAGGCGATGGCCAGCCCGGTTGCAAGACCCAGGCGGAGCTAGAGATTCAAGTTTTCCGCAACCATTGGGATGCTACATCGTACTGGAAGTGTGAAGCTCTAAACGAACCGGCCACCGAAATGAAGTGCCCCGCAGACACTGGATTTGTGGATAGTCTCAAAAACTGCGTCGGCTGGGAAGAGTGGGAGTGGGAGGCACCAGTTGCTCCTTTGAGCGAAGCGGACCAGTGATAAAACACACGAGAAAAAGTGCAAAAAGCGAAAAGTGGTTATCCAATAAATGAAAAATAAATTACTGCGTTAGGAGGCAAAATACAGCAGTTCTTATTATGAGTGTTAGAATGTATGTGAAATTTAATTTAGTCTCTTGTACGCAGGCCCCAAATTGAAGTGCGACGCGTTCCCACAGTTGGACGGGATACCGAGCTGTGAATGAACTTGTTGATCCCCATTTCTGGCATTTGTTTTTCAAGGACTTCCATTGCTGCGTCTGACAGCATTCCAAATATGTCCAAGTAGGTGAGAGAGGGCATATCTTTGAGTTCTCTGGAAAAATATTTTCTAGATTAATTAAGTACGATTGTAAATCGGAATAGACTCACATGAACCTGGAAGCAGGTATAAGGTAGCATCGAGAAACGGATAGGTATTCCAGCATTTTAAATTGCATAATGGCCGGAATGACTGCTGGAGTAAGGCTGTTGCAGTCGGATAGGTCAAGTTCCAGGAGTTGGGGGCAACGTCTTTGCAAATTTAGAACATCTATGGGAAGGAATTCAAAACTATTATTGAGGAAAATAGTTGAGGAAAATAATGGACCGTTGCACTCACGATAGTCGAAAAGCACGCGCCGGCATCCTGCGACATTCAAACGAATAACATTGGGACTGATGTTACTGACCAAAGCTGTCACAGCTTCTGCGCTTAGGTCGGTCCAAGATATGTTCAGGCTACTCAAGTTGTTAAGAGACTGCATTAAGACCCTTACGCCGCCCGCTGTAAGTCCGGAGGCCATAGTCAGATTAACAGCTTCCAGATTTTTATTCTGGGCGAGCTCGGCGCATATGTCATCGTCCAGGTCGTTATTTTCCAAGCTGATCTTTTTTAGTTGGCGACATTGCGAAAGGAACATGCGCAGACAGCTTTTGCTAATGGACGCCATACTCAAGTCCAAATATAGTAGTCTAAAATTAAAATCAGCTGATGGCGTAAAAGCCGGTTCCTGAATCTATATTTCACAATGAAGGGAAAAGGTTTAATGGTTTTGACATGAGCCAGCTTAAATGAGATACTTACACTAACTTGCGCTAAACGCAGGACTAACACACCACGGTTCATTATTTGCTCCAGGGCTCCTGGGCGCAGTGTGCGCAGGCCAAGATCCAGGCGCGTCCACAAGGTTTCGTCGCGAGAGCAGCGATTGAATCGCTTGCAAACGGTAGAAATGCGCAAAAGCGTCTTTTTAGGCAACCATTTGAAAATATTTAGTACTATCTCATCCGACAGTCTTTCGAAGTAGTTGATTCCACTGCTGATGTGGGCGCTCATAGCCGGCGTGCGGTATACGAAGAAGCTATCGGTGGGACACAGCCAATCTGTTTGCGGAGGAGGCACAACCACAGGCTTCTTGGCTTGGCGCAGTTGGGCTTGGCGACTAGTCGAGGGTTGCAAATTAAGAGGGGCCGCCGCTTCGCTTTGGTTGTTGCATGTGACTGCCACTAGGGGGTTGCGCAAGCGTTTGCTTGGCGAATTGGAGTTGCTTCCAGCCTCAGACCCGAGGGCTGAGCGCTTTACCTGTGTCAGGGCCTGCAGTTTCTCGGCTGATTGACGTAAAAGGCGCTGCTGCGCTTCATCAATGACGGTTGTATTGTTCAAGCTACTGTCCAAAGTAGTGTCTGCAGTGGAGCTCATATTCAGGCGCTGCTGCTGTTGGTGCAACATGCGCGAAACGTTCACGTAGGGTGTTGTCTCATTGGAGTTGTCATCGCTGGTGGCACTGACCGCCAGTGCAATGGCTGATAGGGCCGAGGAGCTGCTTTCTTCAGAGTCCAGCATGCCGATGCCCATCTCCTCCAGGGCTTCGTAAGTAAGTGCTGATGGCGAAGAAGGCAGTTCGTGATGACCAGATTTCGTGGCAGAAACGGCGGGTGTTGGGCCGCATTTGTTGGTTGAGCGTTTTCTGTAAGGGTGGCAGGGGAATTCGTTAAAAAACGCATAGCTGGTTGTTGCTTGCATCAGCACTGAGGTCAAGAACCCAGTAATTAAGCTATTACACTTTCTTGACCTCGTTTTGTTTGCCTTGTCTCTGTGACGTCACGGGAACAATTTTCATCGAACTCGGATGGTCCCGCAAAGAATTAAGATACTACCGGTGAAAAGTTATTTACCTAGTAATAGGACACAGATTTTCCATGTTTTCCGAGCCCCGGTGCTTGCGGCCGCTCATATTTGCACGAATTTTCCGCGTTCTCCTCTTTTTTTACGGCACAGACAAAAACTTCGCGCTATTTTTACCGGGCTGCCACCCAAACGACAGGGTTGTCACAAATGTCAAGTGAATTGCGAAATGTCATAAAAATGTGATAGCTTGCCAATGACAGTATAAAATGACTCGATAGAATGTCGATGACGAAAATTAATAACTATGTTTCGATTTATTCATTTAATAAAAGAATATATCTAAAATCAAATTACCGTGTCACGTCTGGCAACGCTATTGCGCAAGCTGTAGAAAAAGAGTTACCGTATTTGCACAAACAAGAAATCCCGTTTACAAAGAGCGAAGCGTCAAGACAAATAACAAAGATTAAACAATATTCTTAACATTGTTGTTGTTTTTTTTAAATTAAGTCAGGTGTAAAACAAAGAATCCCGTGAAAGAGACAATATTGTTCTGCCGCAGAATTGAGAAGAGTAAGAAACCACACGGATTATAGGAACTTGTACGATCGGCTTTAATTTCACCGAACTTTCTTTGTTGCAGTTGGAGTCTGGCATTGGCAATTTCCCTATATAAACGGTGAAAACCGTCGCAAGCCGTTTCTCCGGACCCGCCGTTGGCATAAACAACGTTATCAAGATGAGCATGCGCACACGTGCGTTGGTCTTCTCCACCTTCTTCGGCAGCTGCCTAGCCATCGGGCTGCTGCTGGTCAGTCTAACCACCAACCACTGGGTTCGTGCCAATCCACGGCGAAATTCCTCCTCGGAGGCGGTGGGAGAGGTGAACTTTGGCCTGTTCTACGGTAGCCAGCAGTTAAATCCCGGCTTTGGTGTGCGTACCAATCCGGTTGATGGTAAGATTTTTGGAATTCTAATAAGAACTACAATTCTTCTCTAGTTAGACTTTGTTTTTAGATTCAGCTATCAGAACTTAACAATATTATTTATATACCTTCAAATTAATACATGCAAATTAAAAAATACCCTTTCTTTAAATTAGTTTTTGGTTCAATCTAGCTGGGTTGTATTATCGCAACCCATATCCAGTATATGTTACAATTTTTATTATATAAAACTATACAAATATAACGATACCTTTTTTTTTACAGTATACACATTCGTTCGCACGGAAAACACTGAGACTAGCTTTTGGCTATGGCTTCTCACCACTCTTGGCACCGGATTTGGTCTTCTGGCCTGCGCTGTTGCTGCCATTGCTGCCGTTCTGAAATCCGCCTCGGGAGCCAAAAAAGGCGGCACTATGGTGCTGCTTTTGGCGGCCAACATATCCGCAGCGGGAGCCCAGATTGTGGCGTTTGTGTCCTGGCTGGTACAGTTTTTCCAATACTTCACCCATAACGTACTTCTGACGGAGCAACAACAACAGCACTGGTACAGCACAGGACTTGCGTATCTGGGCTACAGTTTCTACTTGGTCGTGATCTCCACTATTGTGGTACTCCTCAATATAACCGTTTTGCTGTATGCGAAACGTCGGGAGGTCCGAGATCGCCTCCGCCTTGAACCGCCTAGTGAGGACAAGAATCAAACTGCCATAATGCTCTACTAGGATAGGCAAAACATTCTCAAATAACCTCAACGGGCCTACTCTGACATGGAAGAGAGTAGCAACACTTAGTAATCTCAGCGGCTCAAATATTTGTGCCTTAAGGATGCCTATTGCTTGCCAAGAGAAATGGCTCATTTATATACACTCACTTACCAATATACATATACTTAGATGTACCCAAAGCAGAAGTATTTAGGCGTTTCACCGGCCTCCTGTGAAACAAAGCGCACGATCAATATTTATATATACACCTTATGTCTACTTACGTTTTGTATACTCGAATGACCTTTATGTACTCTGATTTCTTTACTCTATGTATTTTTATATGTGCTTATTTACGAATACAACAACAGTCATTATTAAGAAACAGAAAACACCGACGCTTTGTTTCTTGATTGATCCGTCAGACCAAGGTGTTGGCTGTGCACTTTTTAGGGCAACCTCCCAGGGGAAATGGGAAGCGGCAGTAGCACACGCTACGCTGCGGGGAAACATCCGCATCATAGTCCTAAAAATTCCACTAATAAATCAATTAAAAAAGAAAGCCATCTGGGTGGTTGCGTCTTGATGAATTGCCTGGAAACTGGCCCTTTCCCGAAATGTCACAACATTCATCCAACTGCAACTACAGCGTTCCAGCTAATTACTTCTAAGGATCTGAATCACAGTAACCCGGACCACACGTTGAGCGGCAAATTCCAAGTGTCATCGCATAGAATTTCGCAAAGAAGTTAATTATCTTTTTTACTCGAATCTAAGGCGCATTCGTCCTTCTGAGGGCCCCTGACGGATGGCTGTTTCCTTTCCAGGACAATGCAATGTTTGTGCATCATTGTCCGTTCTCTGGCAAGCACTTCCTATTGCCTACTATGATCGAGCCAATTATGTCATCATTAGTTTCGATTAGTCCTTAGAGCTCACGTTGATGGGAAAACGACCGGGCACTTCCGGCACCACCTACGGTTTGTATCTTGGACCCGCTGCCCCGCTGGGCGATTCTCGGGTGCTGTTTTGGTTTGGTTTTCGGTCTGATTTCAATGAAATTACGCAAGAATGATGGACGCGTTTTTGATCGAGGCTTGATCGAGGCATATCCTACTGCCATGAGCCGCAGGCCCCAAGGGAAAGCGAGGATTTTTCAATGTTTTCATAGCCACTGGGTTATCTAAGCAAACAGCTTAGGACCATGTGTCAGGACCTTCCACTCTTTGGTTCCTATATAGATGCCTCAGACATATGTATAAGAAGAAAACATTATGCAAGTCGCGGCGTTAGGATTAGACCACAAATTGCGTACATTGGTGAGGTCAGATAATGGAAAGACAGGCTCATTAAGACCCAAACCCGGACCAGATTACGGCCACACAATCGACTTATTAAGAGTGTTTATGCAGATAAACTCATCGTTTAGCGAGTGTCGGGACATACCCACTTTTCCGCCTAGGATTGGCGGACAGACCCATGGAAAACACGAGCGGAAATCGCTAAAGCCGCAGGATAAGCACCTAAGCTCGAAATCTTGTGCAACTGCAATGCTGCCGAAACCAGGCTGTGAAAACACAATTAACTGGAAAGTCTCGAAAGATTTATCAATAGAAATACCAACTTCCAGGCCAAACATAATATTCCGCCACACACGTTGCCCAGGCAGCCGCGAATACGTGGAACTGTGGCACCTTACTCCCGAAAAATCCGCTTGTTTACACGAATTGGTCTTTATTTTTTTATAGATCGGTCCTTTAGACCATATCCTATCATTGTGAAAGCAGTTCCAGCAACCGCAAAACACATATTCTAAAAGAAAGCCAACAAGAGGGCCAGACAAACTGTCTCCTATTCTTGCTCGGCTGTTGCTCCTGCTGGCCAATAAATTTCCCAATTAAATGGATCCTCTGACACTTTGTATAAAACGTCAGCCCCGGCTACTACCCCCCGCCTTCTTTCGGTTGTGTTGTTGTTACCTTCTCGTTCGCTCTGATATCATCCCTATCGCACTGGCTAAGGAGGTCTTGAGGCCCAAAGGCTCAATGAGGGATGAGGGTTGTTGGGCGAGGGGTTGAAAATAGACCAGACATCGCACTGACTTGCCATGGACTGGCGCTGTGAAAGGTAGCAGGACCCGTTTCGCTACGCTGCGAACCCACCAAGGCAGTTGACTCCATTTTTTATTCCTCCTCACTCGTTGCTCATTTCGATCCTTTGGCATTTGTTTGCTTTTTTCTGCACTGTTTCTCGCTCAATTGCCATGGCCCGGCTATTGTAGAATTGCGAAATTATGGCCCGAATATTTCTCTATTAGTGGCACAAAAGACATTTCAATTTCTCACTCCGAGCATGCTGGGTGGCCGCCAAGAAAGTGGTCCTGGTAAGATACCATGGTGGTGTTGCGAAATTTTTTTGGACCACCCGACGTCTCTTGTTTGGCCTCTTTGTGGTCTTGAATGGCTGATAGGATAGTGCCTCCTACGAGGCAATTGTTCCAAGACGTCACTGGGTTATTGATAACCGTCCCACTTTCTTGTTAGGAAGTAACTTCTTTCACTCTACGATACGAGAGTATTGTCTGCGAAACAAAGGCAATTTTCTTATAACGAAGTTTATTGCAATATTTGTTTATATTTTGGGTTCTATTTAAAACCAATTTTTTTCTTTTTAAAGTGAGAATTCTAGTTCCTAAAAATTACATGAATAGCAATTAAAATGTTATTTATTATATACTGAATTTTATATTCGGCATTATATAATTTAAAAGTGTTTCTTTCCTAAAAAATGCACCCACTTTATATGCTTTTCTTTATAATAATAAATTTATAAAATTTACAGATTTTAGACATACTGCTTTTACGATTTGAAACTCTAAATTGTTCTATATAAACGTCCTTGGGAAGCACCAACAGCCGAAAAAATGCCGTCGCTGAATTTCCAAACTAAAAATATTTAAAATTTTCAGTTTGAAACTTTTTATATCGAAATCTTTAAAGCTTGAGTTTAGAACATATAAATAGCAAGTGCCATTTTTTAATACATATAAAATGTCTTTAAATGTATTGTAGTTTTATAATATAAATTTATTTGACGGGTAGATAGGCCTAACATTTATTTTTAAATATTCAATTGGAAGAAAAGTCTCAAGTCGAATTTTTGAATAAAGGCATTAAAATTTTTGATTTATTAATTTAAAGTGAGGCCTAAAATTAAATTGATTATCATATCATATTTATTTTATAACAAATCTATATTTTATGTAAACATCTACTATATATCACTCTATCATGATTTATGATTTACTATGAAAAAAAAAAGAAACTTTAAGATGCTAAGAATAGATTTAGAATGTATGATATTCAAAAAGAGACTGTTTAAATATACATTTTGTATTTCTAATAATAACTTTATTTCTGGGTTAAGCGCTTTTATTAGTTTTTATAATATATATTTTGTGGTTAACCGACGGAATTTTTGTTTTTGGGAACACCAGACGTCAGATTATAATCGTTTATTTCAAGCTTCTCCAAGCCATTGTATTTATCCCTAAAAATGTGTATTATGTAATATATATATTTTCATGCAGTAATAAGTAAATGTATGGGAATCACGGACAGGCAACTAAAACCCTATGTAATATTTGTAAAAGACATGATCCCTATGAAAAATGTACACTTCAGACTTAAATTGCCGAACGCCTATGTCAATCAAATATCCTTTTATAAATTGCCAGTAATAATGAAACAATTAAAGGCAATAGATTACCACTATGAGAAATGGGTGTTTGAACTTGTTGCAGTGTTTCTTGGGTTTCGACTATTTGTCCAAGTGGTCAGAGTAAAAGATTTGGATCGGTTTCAATCGACGTCATACATTATAATTCATTGTGTCACTTGTGCGACGTGGACGAGGACGAGGACGACGTCGCACTGTCTGGGAGATGGAAGAAATATTCTCAGGCGAACACACAGGTAGGAGACAGGTAGGTGTGTGAGAACTGCACGCCCCTATCAAACGGACGCATTTGGCATTGTCCAGGACTTTTATTGAAAAACCTAGCATCGGTAGTTGCCCACCGGTCTGCCATGGTGCACCAAATTGGCTTCAGAAATACAGCCTATTGTCCGATCGACAGGAGTCACAATGAAATTGGCCAGGTCGATCCTTTGGTCGATGGATTGCTCGTTCGCAGAACGAATTCCATAAACGAGCGTAAGTGCAGACACAGAGTCTGCAGAGTCCTAGCGTCCTGTCTTATTGCTCAGGTGGGCCCATCCATTGTCCCTATGAATGACGCAACTTGTCAGGTGAGTAATGTGGAGTCCGAGAGCTAGCCATTGTCCTAGATTTGGATCGACGAAGGACTGTGGGAACACTTCTTGCCAGATATCAGATACCAGCGACATTCAAAATAAATGTCCTCCAAATATCGATCAAGACCATTTGGTTTTTGAATGCTATTTTGCTAAATTTTACCCAAAATGACTTGTGGATTTGAATCCTTTGATGGGTGCGGCGGGTGTCGGCTTTGAAATCGCCGGCATGACGGGTAATTTGGCAAATGATTCAGTTGACGGGTTGTGACACATCCTGTGGAAGTCATTAGTATGCAAACAAAATGGCGGAACGACAGCTCGCTCATCCATTGTCCCAGAAAGTCCATTGAGAACTAGAATTCATATATCTTTTTTGAAATTTTTTGTATTTTCTGGTGTAAACATAAATCGTATAATGCAACTCGGAATATTTAACTATAGAGTCTTATATCTACGTACAAATTGTATATTGCTCGTAACTGCATTCAGCGTTTCAAAAAGTGAAAATATCAGCTTAGATCTAGTATATAGTATAGTTTTATGTATACATATATGGGTATCTCTTAAATCTCTTAATCGCTTAGCATATGAGAAAGGATCACTTAAGGAGGTATATTTACACATGTGCGGGAACTAGTCACGTAGCTGGAAGTGTAAATACTCTTTAAAAAATAAATATATCAATATTTGAATATATCGTCGTGGGTCGCGGTCCCTCAATCCCTCCCTGTCTTAGAGATTGATAGTGGTTGGATTGAGATTGCGCCAGGTACGGCTGAGGTAGATCTGTCCAAGATTGGTTATTGGCCGGCATTGAGTTTCGTTGTGGAACGTTTCTGTTGAGACTTTAAAGCGGGCAAGCGCTTCACAGATCGCTGGGTGGCGGCATCTTCCGCGGGGACATCTTCTTCCCGCATCAGTAGCCGTACAGGTAGGGGTACATGGGCACAAAGATGGCCGGGCCCAGTTGGCGTTCCTGCGGCATGTGCGTCTTCATGTGCTTCTTGAGGTGGTCCCGGCGTCCGAACTTCTTTCCGCAGGCGTTGCAGGGATATGGCCGGAGTCCGGAGTGGATGCGCTTGTGGCGTGTCAGTTCCTCGTTGCGGGTGAAGGTCTTGCCGCAGGTGTCGACATCGCACTTGAAGGGGCGTTCGCCTATAGAGATAAAAGAGGAGATGCGTGAGTAAAGCTGATCCAAAGGAGGATGAGGAGGTGTCTAAACTTACCGGTATGGATGCGGATGTGTCCCTTGAGCTGACCGTTGTTGGAGAAGGCCACGTCACAGTGGGGGCACTTGAACTTCTTGGGGCGCTGCTTGCGGGCGTTGAGCGCCTTCAGCTGAGCATCTTCCGCCATGACGCGGGCATACTCTTGCTCCATCAGGCCCAGTGTGAAGGGATCCATGCCGAAGCCTGCAGCGGCGGCGGGAGTGTTAACAGCGGCGGCAGCAGCAGCAGCGGCGGCGGCGGCATAGTAGAGGTCACTGGCCGGCGGCAGGAACGGAGCCTGTTGCGGCTGAGGCACAGATGAGGAGGAGCAGGCGGCTGTAGCCGGATGGGGGAAGGCAGGCTGAGGCGCCACATCCAACAGAGGTGTGGAGGTACGGGTGTAGCTGCTGTGGTTCAATCCATCCTCGTAGCTGGACTTGCTGCTGTGCGACGAGGAGGATGACGCAGATGAGGAATCGCGGTCGCTGTCATGCCCGAAGCTGCTGCTGGCCAGCTCCGTCTTGATGGTAAGGGTTCCTGGCTCCGACATCGGTTCCGGCTCCATCTGGCGTTCCTGCTTTACGGCTCGGGTCGCCGGAGCGGGCGACTGGCGCTGCGTATCCCAGGGACGGAACAGGCGCGAGTAGGTTTGGGGAGGATGCAAGTTAACCGTCGACATTTTCGTAGGTTTTGTAGACAAGAGTCTTCTTTTTACGTCACTGAAGCACTTGGTAGGTGGGTTTGTGAAAACACTGTACACGGATTTCGGATTGGTTTGTGGCAAGCGAAGCTGTGTGTGCGCTGCAAGATCTCAACTCGAACTGAGCTCTCCTCCGCCGCCGGCGCACAATTTAAAGAGATTTCTCGTTCATTGAGCGCGGCCAGGACTCTGTCAGCGGAACTACCTAGTTGCCTACCTACGCACACACACACATACGCGCGCGCACGTCCTGTGCTCACGTACCCGCGCGAGGGTCGCTTCATTCATCGATTTGTTGTCTGTCTGCCTCTGGGTTGGCTGCTCCGGGGTTGGTTTTTGCCACATTTCGCTCAATAATGGCGGCCTCACACGCACACACACCACTGCAGGCTAGTACATAAGCATTTCGTATATGAAGGTCCTGGAGTAGTCCTGCGGTTTCCTCAACTTTCGCTTTCAAAGGGGGATTTTGTTGTTTTTTTTAGGATTTAAATGAAATATATACTAATAAAATATTAAAATATCGTGAATATTACATCCTCATTAATTTAATTCATATATATAACTAAAAGAGTTAATATCTTTTAAGAGTTCCAAAACAGGAAAAAAAAATCAATATACAACATTTTTTATGAGCTAAAGAGCTAATACAAACATCATTCAATAATATTTTTATACTCCGCCTTTGCAAAGTAATTTAAAGAATTATATAATATTTAAATCTATATAATATTAACATCAACCTCGCAAAAAAATCTAAAGATACAGAATTTTGAAAAATTTTTTGTGCAAATTTCATTTTCTTTATTCAAGGTTTAATATTAATTTCCCCCTTCATTTTTGATATCCTCTCTCCACCTCACTATACTCTGCCTATGTAAAAAAATATATAATAGTATAGTATCTATTTTTGCCGGAGATTCCCCGCGGGGTGGCTTCGGATTGCTGAGAAACTTTAAGTGAAGCATTCACGATTAAGAATTATACGCTTACCCACCGCAAACCCTCAGCGCCTCCCGGGTTGTTGGCAAGGGGGCTTGGCTTTGGCCTCTTTTCCCGTTCCCCGTTCCCATCCTCATTCCCGTTGTCATCCCCGGAGCTTGGCTTCCCCGGAAACAGACACAGAAACCCTGTTAAATTTGTAACTCGGTTATCGGTGGGTCGGTTATCCTGGCTCGGCCCAGGCAGGGATGGCAATTTATTATTGAATTAAGTGCTTCTGTCGAGGAGGGATGCCGGCGTCTCTACCAAATATGCAAAATGGGCTTCGGGGTTGGGTGTCCAGGGCAGAAGCGTCCATGGATACACAATAAGCCACAAAACACAAAAGTTGTAGCTATTGCCTCGGGGGCTTGACACTCGAGGGCTGTTGCAAAAGGTTTGAGCTTGTATAACGGCGCCATCGTCCTAAACTTTATCTTTTGGGGATGCTCCCTGGAAAACTTTACTACCGTTTGTAGGCGTTTGCCTAACGCGATTCGGGCCCAGATTAATTTCAGGAGATACGACGCACAATCCATAATGTGGGGGAAGTGAAAGTTTCACATTTGAGCGAACTGAGATATTTAAATACATACGAAGGTTTCCTTTCAGGACCTTTTTTTTTAATTGGGTTTGAAATTGGAAGTAAACGTAAAAACGTTTTTGGATCTAGAAAAGTTTGGAAAGATTGTGGTACAATTTTCTCTAAAATTTTATAATTTTAACTCTTAAGTGTTAGTTTTCAAACAGAAATTACGTTTTAAAGATGAAAATTTAATCTTAAAATTATATCACATGAAATCCGATTAAAGGATTTTCTTTTATAAAATACTTTTTCCCTTTTTAATGTAATGTAAGTTATATGAAGAAATTATCGATTTAATTCGATTCTCCAGGTAACGAGGCAGAACCCCGAGGTAACAAGGTATTAATATTTAAACACTCAAAATAAATAAAAAAAAATGTTACACAGCAACATTGTTAAATTTAAAGAACTTTTTTCCTATGTAGTACTTTCAAAAGAAATATTAAAACAAAATAGCAACAAAATATCAGCAACATTATTAAATTTAAAGATGGTGTTAATGAAAAAGATGGGAATAGGGGGCTGTGAAATATTTTTGTCAGTCATAAAATCTTTGAAACTAGCTAATTTTGTAGTTTCAATGCAAAGAATGGTATTCGAATTGAGGATACAAGCTAAAACTCTATTAAAAACTATAAAAAGATAAATACTTGTATTTAATTTGCCTTCTGGCAAAATGGACCAAAACTATTGCTATTTTTTAACTCCATACATTTTATTTATTTTCCAAAATGGCTTCCCTTGAATTAAACTTCTTCCTTAAGTTGGCCTCAATCTCGGAAAGCTGCAATTCCGAATCCCATGCTCTGTAAGCCTACTGCCCTCTCATTTAAGACAAAGGAGAAATCATTTGGATTAAGTGCAACTGCATTGTTCTGCAGCGCTAATGAGTGCGGCGGCCTGCCGGGTGTCTTGGATGTCTTGGTTCGGATTGTATAGGGTTAGGTAGGTATCTGGGAGGGAGGAGGTTTTAGTACCTGCCATAAAACGCAGATTTCATTCAAGAGTCCGAGTCCAGTTCGCAGGATTCATTCATAAACAGGGATTGTCAAGAGCAGGACCGGCGATCTGGGTGGATCGGTGGGTGGACGGGTGGTCGAGTGCAGGGATCAATGGTGTCGGGCAGGTAGACTTGTAGTATATCTGGTGGGTGGTGGTGAGGTGAGCCATAAAAAATCCACAAGCTTATATTTGCGTAGGCTGGGACTTAGGCTTTCGGCCGCTCGGGACTTTCCCGTGTTTATTCTTTAAGTAATGAGCACTGGAATTTCCGCGCAATAGTCTCAAAGATCGACGGCAGATCGTAAACTGGCACCTACCTAACACAATGCAGGACTCGTAAACGGTAAGAAAGGAAGTTATAAAATAATTAGATATCGCAAGCCGCCTGGCCAATGGCCAGTTTCATTCATAGAATGCTGCTGGGATGCGGTGCCAAATACCTGAGCCGGAGCCAGAGTCTGAGGACTTGCTCACAGGAAGGGCACTCATCAGATAAGCAAAGGGCGTCATATTCATATTTAGATTAATTAGGAAATTTCACGTGAGTGCAACCACGCCACATTTGTGGGGAAAGTACGCCGTCTGTTGGAATAGGATAGACCCGCGCCGGCGACGCAATCAGGGGAAAACACATGTGCCTATCCTAACCAAACTCCAGCTTGGCATCGGAACTTGCCATCGATGCCATCCTGTTTATCGTCCTCCTAGTCGCATCCGCAGATAAGCCTCCGGTTCGATAGTCATGTGTGATTTTGGCCGGTTAGAGGAACCAAGATTAGGTCCAATCCCAATCCGCACCAGATCAGGATGAGTACATCCTCTTCAGGGAGACTGTATTAAGACTCAATCCCTGCTTAAGATTCAGCCACTACTAGGTTTAATCTATGATTTATTGAATTTATGTAACAATTCGTTACAGATTTAGTATATCTTGACCTGAAAACATGAATATTTTTAGAATATAAAAATATTATATTATTTATTATTAAACACACACATTTTATACATTTTAAAAACGGTAACACTACTACTGTACAGTGGCGGATTTAAGGAAAAAGGCCCAGTGGGCAAAATTTTTTCAGGGTACATTAAAGGGTATTTTGAAGGGGACAGCCCAGAAAATTTGACAAAAAATCTTTAAAATATTTTGTTCCCAGATTTTGATGCAGATTAATGAAGAATCGATCCACAAATCGTTTAAAGTATTCCGTTCAAGAATCGGATGAATATTTCCTAACATATGGCCTTCGCAGTGGGTCATATGGGGCTCCCCATGCATTCTGCACATTTTGAAGGGGACAGCCCAGAAAATTTGACAAAAAATCTTAAAAATATTATGTTCCCAGATTTTGATGCAGATTTATGAAGAATCGATCCACAAATCGTTTAAGGTATTCCGTTCAAGAATCGGATGAATATTTCCTAAGATATGGCCTTCGCAGTGGGTCATATGGGGCTCCCCATGCATTCTGCACATTTTGAAGGGGACAGCCCAGAAAATTTGACAAAAAATCTTAAAAATATTATGTTCCCAGATTTTGATTCAGATTTATGGAGAATCAATCCACAAATCGTTTAAAGTATTCCGCTCGAGAATTGGATGAATATTTCCCAAGATATGGCTTACGCAGTGGGTCATATGGGGCTCCCCATGCATTTTGCACATTTTGAAGGGGACAGCCCAGAAAATTTGACAAAAAATCTTTAAAATATTTTGTTCCCAGATTTTGATGCAGATTTATGAAGAATCGATCCACATATCGTTTAAAGTATTCCGTTCAAGAATCGGATGAATATTTCCTAACATATGGCCTTCGCAGTGGGTCATATGGGGCTCCCCATGCATTCTGCACATTTTGAAGGGGACAGCCCAGAAAATTTGACAAAAAATCTTAAAAATATTATGTTCCCAGATTTTGATGCAGATTTATGAAGAAATCGATCCACAAATCGTTTAAGGTATTCCGTTCAAGAATCGGATGAATATTTCCCAAGATATGGCCTACGCAGTGGGTCATCTGGGGCTCCCCATGCATTTTGCACATTTTGAAGGGGACAGCCCAGAAAATTTGACAAAAAATCTTAAAAATATATTGTTCCCAGATTTTGATGCAGATTTGTGGAAAAGAAATCGAAGGTGTAATTTTCAGCACGACGGGGCCCTGAAAGCCTTTCGTCGGGGGCGCCCAGTGGGCAAGCGCGCCTTAGCCCACCTGTTAAATCGCCACTGATACTGAACCATTACCACTTTTACATTACGAATCGATCCAGAGATCGTTTAAGGTACTCCGCTTGAGGATCGGATGAGAATTGGGGAAGATATAGCCTTCACTTTGGTGGACCCTATAGGGTAAAACCCCATTTTTAAGGGATCCTATCCACTATGAAAAATGGGCAAAAAATCTAAAAAATATTTTGTCTCAGGATTTTGATGTAGAATGATGGAGAATCGATCCAGAAATCGTGTTAGGTACTCCGATTGAGAACCGGATGAGAATTGGGGAAGATATAGCCATAGTCTGTGGGCCATATAAGAGAAAACCCCGTTTTCAAGGAGCCCCTTCATA